TGTCCCACCCCCCCCCCCCCCCCCGCCAGAATCCAAATCCCGTGTTTTCCCTGGTTCCGTCCATGATGCGTATCCATACTAGAGTAAAAACAAAAAAACATGCAAAACAAAAAGAGGCCGACGCCTAATTGGTAAGAGTATACAAGGCTGTGTGCGTGCGTGATAGTCGGTGTAGTAGTAGGGTGTAGGGGCAAAAGTCTCGTCTCAGGAGGAATGTCGTTATCGGTGTGTGAAGGACCCCTGGCATAGAAATCGCCTCGGAGCTCCCGGTAGGTGTTCGTCAAGGACCTGAAGGTAAATTATGAAGAAAGAACCGTCCCCACGACGAATCGCAGGCCCGGTCACTCATAACGATCAACGCCCTGCACAGCGTCCTCTCCTGCTCCAACAACAACAACACCAGAGCAGCACCTCCACTCCGGCACTTCTCGCCTCACCTCACTCACCCCTTCGCCCCGCCGCCCTCGCCCTCGCCCTCGCCCGCCTTACTGAACCACCCGCCCTGCTCCCACTGCCCGGCCCTGTACGCGCAGCCGTCCCGCACCCCGCCGTCCCGGATGCCCGACAGCAGCACCTCCAGCCTCTTGAAGTCGATGGGCTTGAGGATCCACCCGTCGAACCCGGCGCCCACGTACGTGTCCTTCTCGCGCTCCACCAGCGACGCCGACACGGCAAAGATGGGCACGTGGCCGTGCGGCCGCGCCAGCGCCGACAGCTGCCCGCCGCCGCACCCCTCCTCCTCCGACGACCGCCGCTCAATCTCCCGGATCATCTTGGTGCTAGTAAGACCGTCCACGATGGGCATCTGCATGTCCATCAGCACCACGTCAAACGTGCTCGGCTTCTCCTTGTACAGCTGCGCGCAGTCCTCCCCGTTGACCGCGTGTATCACCTCGTGCCCGGCCTTCTGCAGCCGCTTGCTCAGGATCTTGAAGTTGATCGGGTCGTCCTCGGCCACCAGCACGCGCAGCCTGAGCGGGCCCGTCGCCACCTCGGGCTGCTTCTGCTCCTTGGCCGCCGCGTGGTCCGTGACGTCCGAGATCTCGAACAGGACCCCGGAGCTGGGGTTCGGCTGCGGTCGTTCCGGCAGGTCCTTATAGTTGTCTGGAATCCTGACGGGTTTGATCGGTGTCTTTGTGTCCTTGATGTGCACCTCCCCTGGTGGCGCTTCGCCGGAAATCTGCACTTCTTTCCCGGCCATGGACACGGAGCGCGAAGGCCCGCTGGGGCGCGCGGTACGGGACTGCTGGTTGTTGACCGAGCCACCATCATCAGTCTCCCAAGAGGGAGTCGTGAAGAAAGGGCCACTGGAGGTCTTTCTGTGGAGGGGTGGGCTCTGGCCTTCCTGCCCACCGAACAAGGGTGTCTGAATGGCGTCGATGAGGCGTTCGGCATCGCTCTTGTTGCTCGTGACGCTGCTCTTGCTCGTGCCAGTCCGCTGACTGGAAAGGCTCTTGATGTCCTCCATGCTCTTCTTCTGGCTGATGGACGCAAGATTGGGGTTGGAAGTGCTGCCGCGATCGACGAGCAATACCTCTCCTTCATGACGACGGCTAACGTCGCTCGGGACTGAGAAGTTTGAAACGGACGCTGGAGCTGCTGGGACGCTGGAGCTCCCTTCGACTGCTTCCGGCGAGTTGTTCGGTGGCAGGTCAAATGGCAGCTGAATGACAAACCTCGAGCCTACGCCCTCCTCTGACTTGAGACGCAGCTGGCCGTCCATGTTTCGCACAATCCTGGCCACCACTGCCAGCCCCAGCCCCAGAGTGCGAGTGTTCTGGGGTTTGCCTTCCGTCTCGTCGAGATTCCTGGACTCGTCAAAGTCGGTCGTCACTTGCTCCAGGTCCTGGAACAGATTGTCCAGGTGCGAACTGCTCATGCCCGCCCCGGTGTCCTGTACAACAATCTCTATCCTGGCGTGGCAGTCCTGCACTTCCGCCGCGTAGAGCTCGATCTTGACCATGCCCTTAGAGGTGCTCTGTACGGCATTCGCAGTCACATTCGCCACGGCCTGTCGCACGCGCCGCTGGTCGCCGATGACATGTCTGGGAAGCCCGGGGTGCTCAACGACTTCGTAATTGATGTTCTTGCGCCTGGCGTCGTTCTGGAAGGGTTCCGTCGCCTCGCGAATGCAAGCAGGGAAATCGAAGATCTCATCCTTGACCAGCTCCTGGCCTTCCTCGGCCTTGGTGAGATCCAGCAGGTCGTTGATGACGTAGATAAGAGACTTGGATGCAGAGTGAGACCTGGCGAGGTTGTCTCTGATTTCCTGGTCGAGCGTGCCCTCGAGAGCGATCTCGAGGTAGTTGATAATGGCGTTGAGCGGCGTGCGGACTTCGTGGGCAGAGTTGGCCAGCAGAAGCCGGGTGAATCTGCTGTTTTGTAGCGCTGCCTCTTTTTGTCTCCAGACCTCGATGAATTTGCCTGTAATGCTTCCGGTCAGCGCCATGGTTTCAAGAGCAGGAACCCCAGCACATCAAGATATCGCTTACCGTAGACGAGACAGAGCACCGCTGCCGTCTCGACCTGCTCCTCCGACCACTCTCTGCACTTGCCGAGGACAGTCTCGTGCCACGTCCTGAAGCTCTTGCGCGGCTCAAGGTACGCGGCCGTGCCCTCCTTGATGAACTTCTCGTACGGGTTTCCGGCCCATTTCACCTCCCTAATCTGACCCTTGCGGAAAAACACGATGAAGTCGTGGCCGCCGACGCTGAGAGGGACATAGAGCAGACCAGCAATGACAGAAAATCCCGGCGGGTAGCGCAGGTCCGGAAAGTCCTGCTTGACGTCTTGCGAGGTGACCACCGACGTGAACTTGCGCAGCCGCAGGTATTCCAGCATAGCCAACGCTTCTTGTGACTGCTCGATCTTGCCCATGATCTTGGTCTCGCCCCGGATGGACAGCATGCCAAAGTCAGCATCAAACAGCTTGAGGAGGTCGTCTGACGACGCAATGATGTAGCCAGATGGGTTCTTGTCGGTCGGTGCTGTGTTGATCAGTTTCCGCGCTTGGAGCCTCGAAGCGTACGAGAGGCGCTCGATGTTCCTGGAGACGGTGTCTCCGACCAGCCGACACATCTTGCGGATGGGAAACGACACCCGCATGCCCTTGTGTCCGTATGAATGGCAGGCGATCAGCCCCCACAGCTCGCCAAACGCATTGATAGATATGGACATGGACGACCGCACGGCCATGTTGGCAAGGTACTTGAGATGGATCGGAGACATGGCGCGGAGGTAGCTGTGGGTCATGTCGAGTGGGACTTCCAGGTCCTCCGTCGAGCGACACACCATCCGCGCAGTCTCATGGTCTCGGTCATAGAGCAGACGCACCCGGTTGATCTTGTACAGCTCCCGTGCCTGCCTGGGGATGTCAGAGGCGGGAAAATGGAGGCCCTTGTAGAGATCCCTCGTCTGCACCGGATCGACCAGCTCCGTCACAACCTTTCCGTTGAACGACGAATCGAACTGGTAAATCATGACGCGGTGGAATCCGGTCAACTCCTTGACAATACCAACGAGGATCTTGAGGAAGCTCTCCAGGTTCGATGCCGAGGCCAGCTGCTCTTGCACCTGAGACATGATGTCGAAGACCTGCATCGCGCCTGCCTCACCTCGACGCTTGCGTGCGCTTCTGAGCACCCGCAACGGCTTGCTCAGAATCTCTGTACTCTCCGTCAACTCCTCCAAGGTGGGATTCGATTGCAGAGTGTCTTCGGGGATGTCGGGCGTCAGCTCGTCGGACGGTCTCAGGGGAAAGTCCAAATCGTCGTCCAGTTCGAACTCGCAGATGACCAGGTCAGGGTGGGCTGCGTTGATGTGCATGGCACACCACAACTTGTTGGATCGGGACTTGGGCGGGCGGACAGTGACGCTGAAGACCTCCGGCCCGTTCACAGCCGGGTCGGCGTCTTCGTCCCTGATGAAGTCGATGTGGTCCAAGAGGTTGTCGGCCTGCTCGTCAGAGAAGATGTCCAGGAAGTTATCAAGCTTGAACAGCTGCTGAGGAGTATAGCCAATGATACGCCTCGAGTTCTCGCTGGTGTAGCGCACCGCAAAACGACCATCTTGCTCCTCTCGAATGGCGAGCAAGAGTCCGAACCCCTGCACGGCGCCAGGCGTGTGGATTGGCTCGTCCTCGCACCGCTGTAGTGTCCCCTCCCGCCCCGTGATGACGGCGTGACCCTCATCAGTAACAACGTGCTGGAACCGGGCGGCCATGAGGGCATCAGGTATGGATTCGGCCGAGGCGCCACCTAGAGACCCTATGCTCCTCTCCTCGTATGATTCGCCGGTTGCTTGTGACCTTTCGTCGTCCGAGGCCGGTTCGGGTTCGATGGATATAGGAGGGACGGTGCCGTGGCGCTCTGCGTCGGCCTGTACACTCGACATGGCACCGCCCATCGTATGGCCTCGACGCCGCCTCGACTGTGCACTCGGCCCCACGGGCGAGGTGATGGGAGATGTGATGGATGTCTGGTGGGCGGGCTCGGTATTGACACTTATACTCGAGGCGCGAGTGGCGGCCAACTCTGTGTCGATCCTCGTCGCAGTTCCCATAGGTGTCCTGCTACTGTCAGAGGTCTGACGAAAATAATCCAGTTCAATAGACTGGCGCCCGCTGGTCGAATCGACGCTGATGGCGGACCGGATGGGGAAGACACGATCAGAGTAGTCCTGCTGGCTACTGCTGGTCCCTTGGCCGTGGCCCAGCTGGCGGTCCGAACTTGCGCTCCATGACGAGGGTATGCTTGGCGGTATGGTGGAGGTGGGAGGTGGGCCATCGAAGTCGGGGAGTCGTGTCGGGTGGCTCTGCGTAGGGGTCGGCGTCGCCTGGCTGTCGACCGAGTCGGAGCCTGCAGAAGTGGTCGAGACATCTTGGGAGCGGTCCCGGGGCGGTGGCCTCGAAGGGTGCGGGGACTGCTCCGACTGCTCTTGACTCGTCTCCATGATGATTTATGCCAGGCCTAATAGCCTCTCTCAGGAGCGCGTCCGGACGGTAGCCAGTGTGATAGGCGGGGTGCAGGCGTCGTGTCGACAGACAAGAGAGGCTGCGCGCGTGCGCTGGAGATCGCGGTTGGGCGCCGAGACCTGTGACGACCGCCTTGAGGTGGGGAGTCGTTGATCTTGGCCCTACAACAATAAACACTCACATCAATACAAAGTCTGTCGACAGGTGAAGGGCTGGAAAGGGTTCAAACGCACCACCAGTAATCGTCGAGATAGCAATATCGGGGTAGGGATAGGTGAGAAAACACGGAGTGTGCGTAGAGCAAGGCGACAAATGGGCCAGGCCAGCACGCATGCAGCCAATCCAGATCGATGAGCGCTGGAAGGAAGGAGGGGGGGCAACAAGGCCTCAGTGGTCTGGCGGAAGGGAAAGAATGAGCGGCGGCGAGTCGGGACGAGGAGGTCACAAGTGGCCCGGGAAAGGCGCTACTGGCTCGGGGAGGCGTGAAGATCGACAATGCAGGGCAGAGGAGGGAGAAGAGAGGAGGAGGGAGAGATGACGAGGAGTGCTACGTAGTCAGGTCCTTTGCCATGCAGGGTCGAACAAGGCCATGGTTGATCTGCACGATTACATCTTTACGCATTCAGCAGATGGGAAATGGAAATAGAAACGCAGCCAAGTACAGGGAGATTGACGAGTGGCGAGGTGAGGCAAAACGCCCACCCAGGTCTGGGTGCAGCGCAGACGAATGACAGGTTGGCATGCCCGCCGCCCCAATGTTTCTGCTGGGACGGGCGAATATGGAGTTTGTGGAAAATCTGATTCTTGAAAAATGCGGATTTTTGGTGATCGACACGCCCACATGCACCCTATCATTCCGTGCTGATGCTTGCTCTAATAGCCGACAGACTGGCACCCTCTGAAACCAGATTGAGAGTCTTGATGCGCACCATCATTCAAAGGCACAATGCCAACTTTTATATCTCGAGTAAGAAGGAAGGACTACCTCGCTCGTTATGCATTCACTCCTCCTCAACACCGGCCAACTTTCAAGGTGTCGGTTAGCATGCTGCCACACCCGGGCTAGCTGGCTGGCTGGAGCGTACCCTGGTCCACGGATGATGTCTCCAGCGCGAGCACACCGAGGGTCCCCCCTAGACCAGATCGTGGCTGCCATGGGATAGGTCGCTGATCGCAGTACAAACCAAGAGAAAATACAAGACATTTCGAGCTCTCTAGGTCTGTCCAAGTAATCCATGGATTTCTACCCAGGGCGGAGCGCTGTGGGGGAGCAAGGAGCCGGGGACTGTGGACGGTGGAGTAAGTGCCCGTGGATTGGGCCTAGCGAGCCCAGCAGATCGTGTTCTAGGCCGTAGGCCAGCCCTCCGCGTGCGGATACGGGGCGCTAACCTTGGCTGCTAGCAGCTAACCATACGAAAGCTCCCACCTAGAGGCCGCCCTTGATGAAGACATTGTGAGATGGCGGGCGCAAGAATTCCAGGATCTAACAGAGCACATCGTATCATCTCGAGATCCAAGGGATGGAGGATAGCTCCTAATAAGCGCCGATCCAGAGCTCGACGGAACATACCGTTCCTTGGAAGTGTTATCCGAGTTGGGTGCTGTGCTCCTATCAAAGAGTCAAGCCGTACAGAACTCGAGCCCACTACGTATGTATGCCCGCCTCTCAGACCTGAACTTTTTTAAGGTCTGACCAGCACTGGTGATGGCGGGTGTGCGGGCTCCCCCTGCAAGCCATGGCTTGGTGGCCCCTGCGATTGGCCCTGCCGGAACCAGGTGTGGGCAATCGATGTCGTCATGGCCGCTCGCAGCTGCACCAGGGGCCCCTGCCCATCCTGCAGGCGATACACCAATCACGCACCACCGTCTCCTTCGTTCTGGGAAAGCTCCCATCCGCGGCAACCTCGCCTGCCGCTTTGGGCAGGATGAGGCTATCGTGAGCCAGCACTAACTTCACGACATGTCTCTGCTTCTCCGCCCAGTCCAATATTGAAGAGAACCCCCTTTTCTTTAACGTCTCCCCACATGAATTCAATATGCATTAGAGGCATTCTTTTTATCGTCGAGCTATCATGGCACTAAAGCTAGATAGAGATCCTAGAAATGTCCCCGACAACCGACAACCATTTCTTTACTCTGGATCGACGAATTAGACGCGGCTTAGGCGAGATCTCATAGATAGAGATTCGATACGCTGATCGAGACAGGTATCACTGTTAGTGTGGGATGGCTATCCTAACCCTCTTCCCATAAGCTTATAAGACCATGCCAGCAACCGACGGCGTGTCCCGGCAGGCCATGCAAACCTCTTTGACTCGGGATAGCAATTCTCATGCACTCCTGCTTCAAGCATACATACGCCCAGTGAGGCTGATGATTCGGGTCTAGCCGTGAGGTGATCCAACAGCTTTCCATCAAAGCGCCCTAGACAAAGCTTTTGACATGACCTACGACTGGTGAGGCGAATCGTCAACCGGCCTCGGCGGGATTACAACGTCAGGTCGTAAATGATCTACTTGCCCCATCATCTATCGAACAGGTGTTACACCCTTACGGCTGTAGCCGCTCCAGCCCAAGACCGATGACAGCCCTGCGCTTCAGCTCAACACAACCATGCCAGGCATCGCCGAACACTGTTCATTTAACAACGACCCAAGTCATCCAGAGGAAGTTTGTTTTTCAAATCCGCGGAGCTTCACTCCTGCGAAGCAATTCAAACACTTTTTTGTCTTTCCATTCGACCGCGGAGGCCGCCTCTGCCCAGCCCATCTGCGGTAATTTTTTTCTGAATCCCCATAAACCCATAACCCAGCGTCTTATTAGCAAGTCACTCGTTCCTCAAATTCCCGACCTGGAACCCACCCGCCGCCCACGCAGCTTTTCCCAACCGGGCGGAATAGGCTTAGACACAGTGGCCGCCGCAGCGCTTGGAGTCAAGTAAACAGTGCAATTGAGGCGAAAAACGAGACAAGAAAACCAAATGCTTGGTAAGAAAAGGCCGAGCAAGGGGAGAGAGAAAATTTGCGCATAATATTAGCCGATGTCATGCGTTGTTGGAGCTTTGAGCGCTTTTTCTCCCTTTTCTTTTCTTTTCTTGCTTTATCCCGCAAAAGCGAGGAGAACTCTCCAAAGCATAAAAGAATCCCATGCCCTTTCCCCCTTCTTCTCCCACCCGACTTTTCCCTCTCTCCTTTATCGATACCCAGACCTCTCCAAAGTCGGGCTTGCCAGAGGCTAGTCCCTCGTTGCCGGCCCGGCAAAGGCCTGCCAACATGAATCCTCGACATTGAGCCGGATCAATAATGCACCTCGACTACCGCCACCAGACTGGACCAGTTAAGACGCCCGTGCTTCCATGTCCCGGCCGAGCACCGGCGGCACCACCGGCCCAAGGAGCAAAATTTGCAAAAGAGGTGCCACTACATCGAACAGCCAGTGGCTAGCACGTTTCAAGCTTGAACATGAAATGATGGATGGGTGTGACCCGATCGCCGCCAGAACTGCGCAGTTGCAGTTGCAACACTGCATAACACACACACCACCGTCACCAACGCCCTGGTACAGGAACTTCTGTGGGAACACTCGACACCGACACCGACACCGGCACCAAAGGGTCAGGGGACCAGTTTTTCCTTACGACTGGATGGATAGATGGACGGCAAAATTCGCTCGAACCAACACTTTCCCGACAATTACGCCGGTAATGCTGCCGTCGCCATCGAAGAAACCCGGGTTTGCCGAACACACCCAACATTGACCCACGCAATGGTCCAGGCGGTCAGCCTCTCTTCCTACCGCCACTGCACTGCCCGCCGGTTCGTCGGAAGCGGCGGCAACACTGGACTTCCTTCCACAAGACGACTGGACCTTCGGACGGAACGGCACCCATTGCAAACGGCGAATTCGAATGTGTATGTGCATGTTCAAGCGAACAACAGGCCAAAGTAGGTATCTATTTACAAGGTTTTGTGTGAACTTTTCTGATCAAGCCCTTCCTTTGCGCCGGGCTCCCAAAAAACACCTTGCCTACCCGATTCTTTTACACCGAAAGCGCTCTATAAGTCTATGGACTGTGCTTTTGAAAGTTTTGCGTGCGAATGTCTCTATACAAAAACAAGAAACCGACAGGTAGGACGAGAACGTTGTCCGCGAGGCAACGACGACGTGTCGTGCTTGTTGGAGGTCGTTGACGAGTAGCCGACGGGGACGAACGTCAGTTTGCAAAGTCCACGGCTCAAAGCAACAAGAACTCAAACAAGAAGCAAGAGTCAAGTCAAATGAGTACAGAAAATGATCTATGTACTCGCTGCAGAGAGCAATCATTTGCAAGCCAAGTTCCTCTCTGCTGAAGCAACGAACGGAACTCGTTCTCTTCACAAGCCTTCCGCCTCCCTCCACAAGAGCAACGCCGTGAGTGGCCTTGCAGATGTATCTGGTTTCTGTTATTTTTTTTTGTTCTGTTTCTTCCCCATTGTTCAACCGCTTCCAACCCCCGTAAACGCAGTTTCATCCAAATCTCGCCTAAACAAAGACATGAATTGGGTGAATACGCAATAGAGACGGGAAACCATCGAATCCACTGTATCCAAAATTGGTTTGTATATGCGATTCGTGAGCTGGTCATCATGCTTTTTGCGTTCATGCCCGTCCTGCCAACACCGTATAGAAAGAAAGAAGATCCCGCCGTGATATTCGGTACGCCGGTGTAACCCAAAAAGAGAAGAAGATATGGCCAGGATATATATACCGAGAGAAATGTTTCCGGACAAGTTGTGTTGAATCAGACAGGAACCGCGAGGCTTCAACTCTGTCATTGTTGATCCCACAAGGGAAGCATGCCTGTTTCCGTGTTGTCACTCATGGCTGGGAGGCCAGAGTAGTCACTGACCCAGAGAGCCGGGTCGTCTTCCACAAACGAGAAGCCGTTGGCCCCAGCCGAGGTGACACCCAGGGAGGGCTCGTCGCCGGCAAGAGAGGCCGGGGTGGGCAAGAACTTGTTGCCCACCTTCATGATCTTGAGGTCGTCGTAGTCCATGGGACCGAGATCGTTGCTGTTGAAGAGACCGGTTTGTGGCCCGCCTACAGAGAACGTATTGGGTGCGGTGCTGGCGCCAAATGCGCCGCTGGCGTCGAAATCGTCCAGGCTGGGGCCTAGGAAGTCTTCGACCTCGGAGACGTCACCAGAGGTGTTGGTAGTCAGAGTGGGCGCCTGCTCGGAGCCGCTGAAGTCAAAGCCAGCGAAGCTCGGCGGCTGGCTGTAGCTGGAGGGGGCAAAGTTGTCGCCGGTCTTGCTGGCGTTGAAATCGAGATCATAGTGGCTCCAGTCGACCGACGTGGCACTCAGACCGGCACTGAAGAGGCCTGTCTCGTGATCTGACAGGTTGTTGAACAGGTCGAAGCCACCCGCGATGTACGAGGGATACTCAATGCTGGACAGGTCGAGGGGAGGGAGCTGTCCGTTGAGCTGCGAGAAGGCAGCATTGCTGTTCATCATGGGCGAAGCGGCTTCCGACTTGACCCTGCGCTTGCCGTGCAGGACGTGGCTACTGATGGAGCTATCAATGGTGCTGCCGGAGTCGCCATTGCTAGAACCGTTCATGAGGTTATCAACGGAGCGGTTTGACAGGCTGCTCGCGCTGTGCAGCGAATTGACCCGATTCAGCTGGTAAGGACCAGTCTTCTGGGAGGCCTTGTTGTGCTTGTAGGTCGGCTTGTGGTGGCCGTTCTCGTCAAAGGACAAGACACCGTCCGAGTGGATGGTGTTGGCTCTTCGTCTCCTCGCAAGCGGGTTCTTGGCGCAGGCCGACTTGGGTGCGACGCTCGGCTCTTGATCCGAATCCGACTCCGGAACGGGATCGAGCGACGGCTGGTCCTTCTTGTGAGAGCAGGTGCAGCGACCACCGTGGTTACAGCAGCAGCTTTCTGTAGCCGAGGAAGCGAGGTGGTCAGAAACAGACAAGATCGAGCTGAAGGTCCTGGGGTTAGTGGCGTGCTCACCCTTGTGGCCCTCGACCACACCTTGCAAGTGAATGCACTTGTGTGTCTTCTCTCCGCAGTCGCACTTGACGTGGGAGGACTTGGACTTGCGCATGGCGCGACAATGGCCGCACTGAGAGACGGGACGGCCCTTCTTGTTGATGTGCTGAAGAGGGCGATCTGCAGAGGGAGGAAAAAGCAATTTGGTTAGCCAATTGACTCTGACCATGAAGAGCCGGCGGCCGGTAGCCCGCTGCCAGACACCATTCCAGGCAGAAGAGCGGCGGAAGGCCTTGCGGCGTGGCGCGGCGCAAGGGCGGCGAATATCACTCACCAGAATGTTGGCAGTTGCTGACGCGATGGCCGCGAACACAGGCCTCGCAAGCCCATTTCTCGCCGTCGATAAGCATCTTGACGGCAATTGAGTGGTGAAGAAGGATGCGCAACGATGTGCAGGTGGTTTTCCGTGTTTTCAAGTACGGTTCTGTCGAGGGGGCCTGCGTGACGGGTGCCGCAGGTCAAGTCGGAGCCTCTCCAAATGGTCGACCAGGGTTCTTCCGGTGGAGGGGTGGTTGGAAGGCAGCGCTGAAACAAGGCTGGCTTCCGAGAAGGAACAAAGAAAAAGGACGGTGTGCAAGAAAAGGTAATGCGTTCACAATAACATCTTTCCGGGGTATATGGCGTAAAAATGTGGTTTGGAATATTCCGTAACTCCCAATGGATCGCCGACGCCGAACAAGACTCTGGAGAAAAGAGGTAGGATTGAGTGGAGAGTTTTCTTGGGGGTTGCGGTTTTGGTGTGGTTTAGGTGATGTTTGACGGGGGACAAGAAGTCAAAGCGTGGGTTGGGTTGGAGGTGTTTGGTGGTGGTGTGTGTAAGTCGAAAGGGAAAAAGGGTACGCCTCGCGCGCCTTCCTCAGCAAGTGAGATTTTTCAGCTGCTGTTCAGGTGGTGGGAGAGGACTCAAACGGCGCTGGGAAACCGCAGCGACAGCCGAAACGGGTCGGTGTTTCCTGTGACGGGGCAGAGGTCGGAAATGCCGCCCGGGTGGTTTTGGAGGTCAGGTTTCCTTCCCTTGGTGACGACGAAAACGTCTGAACTCAGCCGCGTCTTCTGAGGCTATAATTCTGACATGACGAGTCCGAGGAACTGTCAAGAGGGGAGAGGGCAGAGGAAGGAGAGGGAGGAGAGAGCACGACGGCGCGAAAGAGAAGCAGAAGTAGAAGGGCAGGCGGGTGGGCGGCACCGACGACGAGGGAGGTGGGTGCTTTAATGTCGACTGTAGAAGTGGGCTCCAGTCTATTTCGAGTGTCGAATTGGACCAGGAAGAAAAGAGGTGGGCTCCTCCTGTCTGGCACTTTTGGCACTCGGTCGGTCATGAACTCACACTTGGTCCTGTTCCCAACTAGCTGGCGGCACCGGTGGTCCTGATCGTAGTCGAGTACAAGAGAGTGCCATAGTCTAAGCGCCAACAAGAGGTGTAGCGCGCTCGCAAATGACGGAATGGTGGAGGGTACGGCGGCCCTTGTCTAGGCGAAAGACGGGGCGGGAATTGACCGGTCTCTGTGCGTCAAGTGTCGTTGTCTCGCCTCTTCTCCCAGGTGGGAGCAGCAGGCAGGTGGGTGGAGAGGGACCGACTTGGGTTGAGGGTCACTAGGGTCTGCCAAGGGGGGCGTGTGGGTGGGTTTCTTTTCGACCCTCTAGCACCGAGGGGAGATCGTGGATTTTCCTGGGTGGATTCCCTCCAAGAGAGAGAGGAAGAGAAACGGTGGGTGTGTGAGGTCAGGATCAAGACTCGGTGCTCCGTCCGTACTTCGTGCTGTTGGGGCCCTGCAAGTACCGGATACCACCGGGCCCAGCGAACACGCCCTCTACCCTGCTGTGACATTTACGGAAGATGCTGAGCCAGGCCACACCACAGGCGGCGGCGCAGCCTGTTTGGTCAATCCCACACAGAGAACACAGAGCATGCAAGTAATACTTCGAGGCTCGTCCGTCCAAAGTCAGCAGCTACCCTTTGCCACAGCTCAGGCCACCCCTCAGTCCATTGTGCATCAATCCATCCATCCATCCGACCAGCCATCCGCATCAATGAGCAGTCATCCGGCCGGAAAACTCGAACAAATGTCGGTTCAGCGTGGGAGAGGGAGAGTGGGCGTTGGTGATTGAGGGTGATGGTGGTGGTGTGGGTGGGATCAGAGTCTAGCGAGTGCCTGTTGGGCGATGGCTGTTGGTGGCTACGTTCGGCCTTCTGCTGCCAGGCTGCCCACCATCCCCCCGAGAAAAGAAAGAAAAAAAAGGGCCCCAGGGGACTATTTGCAATTTTTGCCTGCCTGCCACTGGCGCCCACACAGGCCGGGCAGATCAGTAGTCCTCTTGTTCACCAGCACCCACGCGCGAAAGTCTCGGCTACACGACCATGGTTAGCCGTATTGGGTGTGGCTCCATCGCCGCTTCTTTCTCCTGTTTCGCACGCTTGCCAGCCGGCATCGCTGATTTGGCTGAATGTCCGCCGGTACCCACGGCCACCAGGTTAGCCTCAGGCACCCCCGTGAACAGGTCGGAGTAGTTCCAGTTTGCGTTCCATGGGTTTTACCTGGTAAAGTTATGCAACTCAGCGCCTATGCCGTTGTACTCAGCATGTATATCCATCCATCCATCCAGCCTGGCGGGCGCGCCATCGCCAGGAGAACAGCGTCAAGTGCAGTCCCACTAGCCTCTTGCCGGGCGTTCCTGCCCCGCGACTCTCTCGAACCTGGCCCCTAGTCTGAGTGATCACCGTATCTCTGGCAGCCTTATTCCAGTCCGGAATACTGTCCGGAAAACCCTAAGGCACCAAACAAAAACAAGGCCCAGATCAATGCTTTCTGTGGTCATTCTCGGCCGGCTCCGCATCTCTCTTGAAAGGATACAACTTGAGCCAGAGCGCGCCAGGTCGCCCCGAAGGAAGAAAGACCAACCAGGGAAGAAGGGCCTACTGCGGACAAACACCACCAAGGCGACCCGGATCGCCCAAATTGCAACTGCATGTCGCACTCAGGACCAGTGCAGAAGAGCAGTGGGGCTGGGCCATGCCCGCTGGCGCTTCTCGAGGGTAAAGGAGAAAATGATGTGCCCTGAGCCAGCCCAAACCCAGACGGACCCTCTCACGCCTCAAGCTCGCAATCAAGTGCAGACAGGCACGGCCCTAGCGCGCTTCATTTCATGTACGATGGGATGCATCGAGCTACTGCTCCCTGTCCACGAACCCTCTGGGCCGCTGCATACGCCAAGTATCATGCTTTCTTAGCCGGACATTCTCCCCTTCTCTTCCTCCTCCTCGCGTGTCCAGTCATCATAGACGGCTTCTCTAGCCGACCCTGGACCGCATCGCTGGGTGAGCGAGGGAGGTATCTTGCTTCAGATGCCTGCATCTTCACGGACACACACACGCATGTACGCCCTACCCACTTTGATATTGCGTACGCACCGTTGTTTTCACGATGGCAGGCGATCTCCCTGGATCATTTACACAGTGGAGGGCACCAAAAGGGCCCCGCCGCAGCCAAACGTCGACTAACGTTGGCAGTTTAGCAGGGTCTAGGGCAGGGCACGACGTCTTGAGGAGCCCGCACCCCCAAGAGATCGTGAACGGAATGGTCGATGGCTCGACGAGGCTAGAGGCATGTTGACTAGAGCGACGCCTAGCAGCCAAGAGACGATGTCGGACTGGCCAGCGATTGGCATTATCTCATCTGCCAAACTTATGACAAAACTCGATTGTCCAATTCGATTGATCCGGCCGCTCGCATACGAGACCTGGCCGCCAGGACGGAACCGGGGACCTAACAGCCGCTAAAGAATTGAATCTTCCTGCTGCATTTGCACTCCAAACAGCCACTCCACCACTCGCTGCAGCATTTCGTGGACAGAGGCCCCGGAAAAGCTCTGATCTGCCTTCCCTGGTCTTGCTTAGCACGAAACCGACCCCCATCCTGGGCCATCCACCCATCTACCATCTACGAGGTACAGAGTACGGAGTACCTAGCTCACCAGGCCAATCCACCGCCTACAAGTAGTGCGTCTGCACACGAGCGAAACCCTGGTTTCGGTTTAGCTGGCGACCCTACGTAACAGCGAAGAAATGTCAAATGAGATTGCACCAAAGAGAATACGGAGTAGCTCTCAGATCCGCAATAGAGTGTAAATCTCAATCTTGCGGTGAGCGGTAAGGTTCTGCCTCGATCTGGCCTCCCTCCTTGATACATCCTCCTACAGCAAAGGGAAAGACAAAGTCCACAGGAACAGAAGCAGGAGAGGGTCAGGCTTCCTTCTCAGAGACAGCGCCGGCCGGCCTGCCTATGACGATGTAGCAGTGGCAGCGAGGATGCAGGGTGCCAGTAAAACGTACAGCTAACGTTACAAGTACTACCAGGCAGCTTGGTTCCCTTGGCTTGCGCGATCCATCTCAATTGGCTGGCAACTTCACTGAAACTGACCAGACTCTACAGGGAAGGGTTCAGGCCTGTACGATCTGCAGCAGGGGACCAGCGCAGTGACCAGAGAGCCCCATCGACCTGATCCAGTCCGTGGCTCAAGGCTCGCACGCACACACTACATGCCGGTCCTGGCCCTTTTGCACACCCCCCATTCCTCCCGCTCCCACCAGATTCCGGTCAAGTTCTACAGCCTGTTCTCAATGTTCATGACATAACTACCCAAGCACTTGCTTGAGTAGGTTGGGTCGTGCACATCCAGCTGCCCACTTTGATTGCTGGTCCCGGCATCTACAGTAGCAGAGGTCCCTCCTCATTGCGTGCAAAGTCCAACAAGAGGCAGTGTACGAGCCCGACCGACCTCATCCCTTGTGCTTTTCACAGCCATTAGCAATTGGCTTCTCCTTGGCCCTTGGCCTTGGAGATCACCTTGTGCTGGTCAGGCCGGCTCATAAAGTTGGCCACTCACCGACTCTCCAGTTACGTCCTACCTGTGGCTACCACTGGATCGCTTCCACACCACAGACACCCACCACCAACTCAAGTCCACTCTGGATTGTCCTGGGGTCCACCGTCGTGTACTGCCACGCACGTCCCATGAGCGCGGCGCTGGAGATGCTACCCACAGTTGCGGATTGCCTCTTGAGGAAATCACTTTTGCCTGGTAGCTCAAGACTTTTGATGGGCACTTTGCTACACGTAAAGTAGAAACAGTTGCCGATTGACAGGCATCGCTTGCCGAGATGAGGATCCAATGTCAAGCAGGAGGCCATGCGACTGCCCAGCTCCTTGGCTCTTTACGCAAGAAGCATACGCCCCCGAGTTCATTGATGAAAAGGCGGCTTACACGGCAACCCTGGGTGGATCAAATGTCGACGGGCAATTCAGCCACCGTCACGGCAGCTTTCCCTTGCGCTTGCGTTTCAGTCAGCCATTCGGTTGCGGTTCGAAATACGACACAAAAAGCAGAGTCGTCAGAATGACAGGTCCTTTTGAAATGTGCCCGTGATTGGGGACGGGCAGAACCGGGCATACGAAACGGCCAGTCCTGTCGTGTCAAATGACATGCCGTCTTACGCGGGCACCCAGACACACACATGCTCATGCTCATGCTCGTTCCGTCCTCAGGACAGGGCCGAAAACAAAGTGGCTGAAGCCACCTGCTTTGGGAAGCTCAGAAGGGGAGCTTACTCCTGCTGCACCCTGTCGACCTGTGGTCCAGGGACTTGCTGCTCCATGATGTCAAGCATGCACGCCGCGCAGCCGTGGCCAGGCCAGCGATTGGGGAGGAGGGCCCTCCTCCGACCAGGTGTGCTGCAGGCTGCTCAAAGGAGGGACCTGTCCCACCCGACCAAATCCCCGACCGTTCGCCCTCTCTCTCCGCCAAAACATCGGATTCGCCCACTCTAAACCTATCACTTATTACAGGGCATTTCAGGACGACGGTCACACGCTTGGTGACCCATGAGGGCGCATACCAGCCAAGTCACCATGGCTGGTTGGGGAATCACAAACCACTCCCAGGGCCCGAAGGTGAAGCTTTGTGGAAGTTGACTTATCTTGTCATGATGAATAGGAGACAGGTCGCTTGACCAGCTATTTTCGTGGACCGACAAGGCTTCAATGCAGCTCATTCTTTGAGTTGCCGGATATTGTGCATTGCAGGCTGCATCCTACGAATACGGTCATAGGTCTCGGCGCTGGCCGGTCGACTGTCATATCACTCTCGTTTGCTAATCGACTGACATGGTGCTGTATCCCTCGAGACGGCAGCCCTCTGCCTCTGAGAAGAGCAAGTGAGCTGGGCACAGGGTGGTCTCCGGAGAGCAAGCAGCAAATCCTGAATGCGAAGAGATGGAGGGCGGCAGCGGACCCTGATTTGCCAACTTCGTCTCGTGTCAGACAAGCACCACAATCAGGGTATTCCGATCGATTTCGCGTTACCGCGCCGCCTCCCCAAAAGGACCCGTCTCACGCTTCCATGGCGGCTTCTAGAAGGCCATTGTTCTTCTCTGTTTTACGATCCTTTCAGCCGTCTGAATTTCTTGGCAGTGCCCCATTGACCCCGCGCCCGTTGCCCGGCTCAACCCGACATCACCGACTGGATGCGGAGAGGGGGGGGAGGGGATGGGAACCAAGTTGCAATGACGGGTTGCTTTCCCTGTATCTACCCCAAACCCAGGGCCCTTGCCCATGGGGGAAGCTAGCGAATACCTGCAGAAAACAGGTATTGTCACGGTGTGCTCCGGGGGCCACCCTCCCTGCTCCTTGGTGCCTTGGGGTGTGCATTTTGGACATGTCGTTCGCCTGCTCTTCTCCAGAGTCATGCGGCCATCATCTTTGAAGATCGCATGACCCGGCTTCTCTGCTCGAGGCTAGGTCCGCCCTGGTACCGGTCGAAGAAAAGCCGGGCTGGCTGTCTGCCGGACGAAGGAGACGGGATGGAACTGCCCAAAAGAGACCCAACCCTCCTGGCTGGGTTGCACTCTCGACATCAGTTCCGTCGGCGCCAATACCGATGCTTTGCAACCAACGCCTACCGACGGCAGATAGGCACAGCGATCGACAGAGACCGGCTTCAAGAGCAAACAAAGCTAAATTCTCCCCCAATGCGCTGCAGATCGTGGAGCATCAGGCCACACCGCACCTACGCCTCGCTGTCAACTGTCCACATCCCGCACGGGGGAAGACGGGAGTGCCGCCACTGATCGGCCGGGAGGATGTGAGAGGAGGCAACGGTTTCTCTCTGTGTGTCTGTTTGCATATGCATGGATGTGCTTTTTTCTTTTTCTTTTGCAAGGGCGTTGGCAGACCATTGCAGGCGCATTGCATGAGAGACAGCCTGCCATTGAGGCGTTCACCGCATCGCTTGATTGGGCGAGTGAGTGCGTCAGGCTCTCTGGCTGGTCATTGTGCAATAGGCGACTGGCCCACGACTCCCCTCCGTTCGCCACCACAGGTAGGTCTAGACATGCAAGACATTGGCTACGCTGGGGTTTGCTCGTTCCCCTCTCAGCTCTGGCTGCAGGAGGAGCCGAGGGTGTTCGTTCCATCCGCATCCTCCCCCCCGCGGACACACGGCCGCGAGATTGTGTGGACCAAAGTGCAGTGCAGTGCAGGTGCGGAACCCCCACGGCTTGACAGCAACCATTTTCAAACACCAAGATTGCAAGGCACTGGCTGGGGGTCCGTCATTGATTAGGTATCAGCAACTTTTCTGTCGTTCGTGTGCATCATTTTGTGTAACCGGGACAAGAGGCGAAGAATACCACTGCGGTTGAGCATCTGTTCTCGGCCGGTGGCTGAATTCGAGACCTCGCATGGGTATATCTGATCGATCACTTTGGCGTTTTTGTCTTTTCCGCTTGCATAACTAACTATCCAGAAGGAAATTGTTTTGGTGCTCATGTAGACTGTCTGGCAGCGATTCGGTGAGTCCGTTATCTCGCCACTCTTTCTGTTGAATAAGTCGGTAGGTAGGCATGACAGAGGTAGGACCACCAATCGATCAGCTGCTTCTTCTTGGTTGTCGCTCTCATGAGAGACAAAAAATGGTCTCGCCCTTTTGTGTAGTCATTTAGCTTGGCCACATTTGCAGACTTGATGCCGTGTGAGACGAGCGGCTTGCGCCGTAGGTTTTTGTGAGTCGCCTGCTCCTTTTGCTTTGCCACTTGGCTTGATGGCTGATGGCTGAGATTGGCGAAGGCTTCACCGGCTGCGAGGGTCGATGTAGATTGTTCAGATAGTGAGATCGTGCAAATGCCTATTATAATTTATGCCTTTGTCCGAAGCGAATCAACCTACCACCTGAACACCGCAAATGTATGCGCATGATATCAAGAAGTGGATCATCAAGCTTTACCGACACTCAATTGCATTCACTGCTCATCCAAGACCAATGTCGAAGTCGCAAGCATCCGCCAGGCTTTCACTTGGAATTGATTTCCATGGTCTCTCGCAAGCTGTTCGGCTATCCCCACAAGCTTAGAGGGAGCTTAGGAAGCTATGGCCTCCTTGAAACGGCGGGCGGGGCGGGGGACGTGACGCTATGTCGGCATGTCGGCCTCGGCTGTAGGTGATGCGATGGCGTCCCAGTAGTGCATCATCCGCCGCCATCACTGGACATCATCAATCTCGAGCCTTGAAACGTGCCCACGATTCCACCACAGTCTTACTGTCTAATTTTCTGAAGTCTGCTTAAGCGTTGTACCTCAAACTTCGTGTGCTCGGAGCTTCTGGACCGAAACCTCTCACGATTCAGCAGGAGCAGGATTGGGGACTCATTATGACTGCATCACAGGCCGGGTCTGCGGACCCTTCGAGGTATACCTCTCCCCCAACGATGATTGTAAACCATTGATATACCTCCTATACCGACTTCTAACATCGAGTGAGATAGGCCCATTCACATTGTCTTTGTGGGCGCCGGAGCGGTGGGCGGCTTCTACGCCTCGCGGCTGCACCATGTGAGTGGACGATGCATCTCATATCACCCAGCAGCACACACGTTTTTGAAGCTTGATCATCTGGGAATATAACTACCGAGAGATCGCCTTTTCTCATATTTCATTGACAATGAATTCTGACTGACCATGCCTTCCCCCCTAAGCCCTCCCACAACATCCACGTCTCCCTCATTGCCCGGTCAAACTACGCGCCCCTGGCCAAGGAGGGCATGCACCTCGAGACCCGCTCCTTCGGCAACTACACCTTCCATCCGCACGCCGTGTTCCCCTCAGTAGCGGCCGCCTCCACGGCGCCGGCCTCCAACCCGCTCGACGGCTCGTCGTCGTCGTCGCCGGCGGCGGCGGCTGCGGCAGCACCGCCCAGCACGGGCTGGGACTTCATTGTCGTGACCACCAAGGCGCTGCCGGACCGCGGCGACGACTCGGCCACCATCGCGCCGCTCGTGGGGCCCGGCTCGGCCATCGTGCTGATCCAGAACGGCGTGGGCGTCGAGGACCCGTACCGCCGGCGGTTCCCGGGGACGCCCATCGTCAGCGCCGTGACCGTCATCAGCGCGGAGCAGATCCGCCCGGGCACGATCCGGCAGAACCGCTGGACGCGGGTGCACCTGGGGCCCTACACCGACTCGGCCTCGCTCTCTGACTCTGACTCTGACGGCGACGGCGACGGCGGCAGCAGCAAGAAGGAGGGAAGCAGACGGCAGTCTCCTTACGACGACGCGCGGGCGGCGCTCTCGGAGCGGGGCGCGCGGGCCACGGCCGACCTGGCGGGGTGGCTGGCGGGGCTGGGCGGCGTCAAGGACGCCGAGGCGCTGACGGAGCTCGGCCTGCAGACGGTGCGGTGGCACAAGCTGTGCATCAACGCCGCGTTCAACCCGTCGGCCGTGCTGTCCGGCGGCCGGGGCAACGCCGACATGCTGACGGACCCGGAGCTGCGGGCCCACCTGCGCGGCGTCATGGACGAGGTCTGGGCCGCGGCGCCGACGGTGCTGGGCCGCTCGTTCGAGGACGCCGGGAGGGTGGAGGGGCATGGGTACGCGACGCCCGAGCGGATCATCCGGAGCACGGAGCGCAATGCCGGGGCCAGGCCGTCGATGCTGCTCGACTGGGAGGCCGGCCGGCCGCTGGAGATCGAGGTCATCCTGGGCAACCCCGTGAGGATCGCGAGGGCGAAGGGGGTGGAGATGAGGAGGCTGCAGAGCATGTATGGGCTGTTGAGGAGTGCGCAGTCGGTGAGGGAGAGGGAGAAGAAGGAGAAAGGGAAGGGGAAGGGGAAGTTGTGAAGGGCTGGGGCTCATTGTACTCTACAGCACTTGAACTACGTATATCAAAATGGTATTGAGCCTGATTATTACAAACTCTATGGCCTTGAGAGATTGATTGTATGTGTGTCCAGTCCTTGTCAGCATAAAGAGCAGCTCCCATATTAACTTCTCGAGACATCAAGGAAATACAACTAATTAATTATTTGTCAAGAATCCTACTTCGTTCCATAGATCATACAGCATTTCTCATTTCCATCCATGTATGTAGTGTCACTTATTCAGCGCTACAGTGTACAGCGCCGGCGAGTCTCGTGGTGAGAAGCCACGGCTTCACATGTCATGACTTACACACAGAGGCATCATCATATCAGAAGCCAGTGGTTGTGGCTTCCTAGGTAGTGATGATGACCCACCCCACTGCCTTCCTCCCCCCAGCAAGTCGTGAGCTCTGTGCACGGACCACGCCTTCCCTCAATAATTTGCAGTTCGAAGAATTTTCGGGCCCCGCTCTTTCTTGCACGGTCAAAACTCCTGCCGTTCCCTTTTCCCTCCCAATCTTCGGCCTCCTGGTTCTTCCTATTCCGCCGGAATCAGATCGTCCAGAAATAATCCATCGCATCGGATTATCATCAAGTCCATTTACTAGGTGAGCACTCTTACAACCTGCCAACCAAAGATGCCTTTCCCCCCTTCCTACCTTGCTGCTGGCACCACCATCGTGTGCGCGAGCCTCTGCGCTCGCCTTTGCCTCTGCTGTGCTGAGGGCTGCTCGCATTGGACGCGCATCGCACCAATTCTTGTCATTTAGCCATGCAGTCTATTCCGAAATACAAGCCAGACAAATAACTAATTCGGTGTTCCGAGATGCAGAGTTAGCCAGGAGACAGATGATGCGGTCCTTGCGCTGTACCATTGTGTGACTGTAGCGTCGATTGTTCCGACTCTGCTGCCTCGACCGCTCCTCGACTTGACCTAGTCATCACAGAGTTCACGACTTGAACACGTCGACACGCGAGCTTGTCGCGACTGCGTCCTACACACTGAATCATACCGGTCAACCCCCATACACGATCTACCCGTACTGTATATACGTGTCTACACCTTGAGACATCCCGGGCCAGTCTGTACCAGTAGTTGTTGGAGCTTTTCATGTGTCCCTCGGCCACCTGTTCCGCACTGTCACCATGGAGAAGAGAGACCCGGGCCAGGACTCGGATGACTTGATCATGCAGCAGTACCCTTCGCCCACAGCCGACGGCCAGGACCTTGCGCAGTATTATGCTGCCAGTGCCCAGCGCGATCCCCAACTCGACCCCCAGATCGACCAGGCGATGGACGGCCAACACCCCGATGCGGCCGCGCAACAGCAGGAGCGGCGGCCCTCTGTTAGTGCCGAGGAGCTGCAGCTCGCTGCGCAGCTGAGCCAGGGGCTTGCGCCCATGATGGAGGTCAACCACGAGGAGCACGACGTACAGAACCACGATCCTGGCTTGCAGGACCAAGACCACAGCCTGCAAGGCCCGGAGCAAGCTCTTCACGCCCAGGGCCCTAGCTTGCAGGTACAAGATCCCAACTTGCACACCCAGGAGCCGGCTTTGCATGAGAGTGACCCCAGCTTCCATCATCCCCAAGAGGCAGACATGCACACCCAGGATCATGCCCTCCACTCTCAGGACCCAAATTTCCAAAGTCAGGATCCAAATATGCAGCCTCACGACCCTAACCTACAGGGTCACGACCCCAATCTGCAAGGCCACGATCCGAACTTGCAAGGCCACGACCCGAATATGCAGGGCCATGACCCCAACCTCCAAGGCCATGACCCAAACTTGCAGCCGCATGACCCCAGCCTGCACCACGGCCTCCCTCACCCAGACCAGCAGCAGCCGCATCAGTATGGCGAGTCCCCTCAGCAGCCACAGCACCTGCCCACCCCTTTACAGATGGCCCAGTTCGCCCAGCAGGCTGGCGGTTATGTGCCGGTCGATAGCACCCCTCCAAGGAAGAGGTCCAAGGTGTCACGCGCCTGTGACGAGTGCCGGCGGAAGAAGGTCAAGTGCGATGCAATCTCGGAGACGGGCGAGGAGTCGTGCTCCAACTGCCGGCGCTCGCAGATCCAATGTCTGTTCAGCCGTGTGCCTCAGAAGCGGGGGCCTAGTAAAGGGTATGTTCTCATCCCGATGGAGCTTTCAGCAACTTCCCACTCGTTTTGTTACTCAAGACTTGTTGATACTGACAATGTATGCCGCATAGATACATCAAGGAGCTGGCCGACAGGATCAACTCCATCGAGGGAAAGCTGGGAAGTCAGGTCTTGGAGGGATTGGACCTCAATGGTGCCAGGAGAGAGTCTGGGTCTTACTCTCCCTCCGCGCCGCTGAATGAAAATGCCAAGAGGCCCTTCTCCAGTATCTCGGGCGATGGCTACGCGACACCGACCCCGAATCGACAGACAACCTGGGGTTCTGAGCCCAGGCCCAACCAGACCTTCCAGACGCCTCAGGGCCCGCGCGAGGCTCAGTCTCCAATCTCGCTCGTGCCTCGTCCGTTGACGGTGAAGCCGATTACGTCCGAGACACCTGCGCCGGCGACTGAGGAGAATGGAGTTGATGTCCCCTCAGATCATATCCGAGGTCTCGATGATCCGGTCTTTCATAGGTATGCACAGCTGTATACTCTTAGTGCGTGCCAATATGTCATATACTGATGACCGTCTAGCTTCATGTCGATCATCTACCCGTCTCTCCCGTTCCTGGCAAGCACGAAGCAGAAGATCGAGGATACTGCTGCCAAGTGCCAGCCGGCTCTCCGAGCAGCCTTCATCGAGGCGCTGTACGCAACCATGGAGTCATTCCAGGCCATTGCACCGCAGAGTGGTGATCCTCGCTTGGCAAACCGCCTGCTCTTCAGCTTTGAGATCGCTCCCGGCAGCCGCTCCGATGTGGAGAACCTGGTCCACCTCCAGACACTCCTCCTCCTTGCCATCGAAGCCGACAACCACGGCCCGCAGGCCATCAAAGGCCGCCACGGCGGACCTCCCAAGTCCGCCCTGCTTGCGAGGGCCGTCGACGTGGCGTACGGCATGGGCCTGCGCGAGAAGCAGGTCGAGGGCTCCTTCGATTTCCAGGCCGACGCCGACTCGGACGACAAGGTTGCGATGCGGGCGTGGTGGGCGCTGGTGGCGCTGGACCGCTTCAACGCCGTCGGCACCGGCAAGCCGATGCTGATCCACGAGAGGACGACGGTCCTGCCTCCGGCGTCTATCCTGAAGCCCCTGTTCGGGGAGGCCGGGGCTTGCTTCATCAGTACGTAACCCGTCTTTGAACCTGGACTTGTGAGCAGCGATGATGGTCAGAAAAGCTAACTTGCTGAATCTAGAAATCATTTTTCTGCTCGGGTCCTACGAACAGGGAGTCCTGTCGCCCGTGCAGCCACGCCGTCGCGCCTGGGACGCGCCGCCCATCCACAGTAACAAGCTGGGTGTGGCCCTCGAGCTCTGGCAGTACGACGTGCCCGCCGACATCACGCCGGCCTCGCACCCCGTAGTGTTCCTGACCTACTGGCACTGCCGGCTGCTGGCCTACCTGCTGCTGCCCAGCGTCCACTCGACCGAGGTGCTCTGGGCGGCCAAGGAGACGCTCAAGGTGCTGTCGCTGAGCACGCAGCTCGTCAGCCCGCTGAACCACTACTTCACGTCGCTCGCGACGCTGTCGCTGGCCAAGCTGACGAAAGTGGACAAGACGCGCGAGCAGGCGTCCAAGCTGCTGCTCGAGAATTTCCTGGAGGGGTCGATCGCGCCGTCGACGTGGGACAACGCGATCCGGGACAAGGTCGCCGACATGATGCGGTCCGAGACGGCGGTGTCGGGCGGCTCGGCCACTGCGGCTGCCGCGGAGGCGGCGGCGGCGGCGAACCAGAACCTGCAGCACCTTGCTGACCTCGCCGCGGCGGCCGGGGCGGACAGTGGCAGTGCTGCGAGTGCCGGCAAGGGCGGCGACGGTGCTGGTGTGGACGGGGCGGACGGCGGCGCTGGCGCGACTGCCGCCGACAAGGAGTGGCCGCCCTCGAGCGTCGACTTTGAGGACCTCGGGTTCAACCCGCGGCCCATGCTGCATGCTGGTTATTTGAGCGCTATGATACCCCCTGCTGCTACTACTGCTGCTGATGCTGCTGCTGCTGTTTAGGAGACGATGGAAGGATGACTCTTTTAGGTGACACGTTATTCTTGTGGAGACGGCGTTCGTCGATTGGAGGCTTGAAGCGCTGTAAGAGTATGGGCTGGTTGAGTTGAGCCTGAACATTATAAATACTTGAACGCTTAATACAACTTTTGTAATTCGGCGCTTTCTTGGTCTGATGATGCGCATGTGCTTTGAGTTTGCATGCTTTTGTTTTGTGTGAGACTCATGTGTGTCTTTTGAATCGAAGCGTGGAGGGAGTGTTCCTCTGTCCTGTTCCCCGGGTTTGAAGTGTGTCTACCGTATCTACTACGTAGGAGCGGTGGATGGCGCGTCTGCGAAGCCCTCCCACTCCTCTTCGTCGTCCTCTTCACAAGGCTCAGCCTCGTCTTGACCTCGCTCATACCGCTGCTCCGTCTCAAAACCACCTTCACCCTCTCCACCCATCTCCTCCTCCCTCCTCTTCTCCCAAAACCCCTTCCCATAACTGACCAGAATCTCTTTTCCTTTCCGAATCCACCCGTCATCTTCCTCCTCCTCCTCCTCCTCCTTCTCCTCACCACCGCCAGCCCTCTTCCTCCCACCACCAGCAGCCACCTTCCCCTCCCTCCTCCTCCTCGCCAGCTTCGCAGCCCGCCTCTTGCCCAGAGGCAGCACAAAGACCCCCATGCCCTTCTCCCCCCGGACCGCGTCCCACACCTCCCGGAACTCGGCGTTGGCCCGCCGCGCCCCCGTGCCGCGGTAGTCGTTGACGAAGCGCGCCTCGTTGCCCGCCCGCGCCGCGTCGACGGCCACGCCGGCCCCGCGGTCCAGCCACAGGTCGTAGTCCGACGCCGCCGCGTGGCGGCGCGCCTCCTCCTCCTCCGCGCCCGCGCCCTCAGTAGTGCCCGTCATCCCGGCGGCGTGGTAGTAGTGCCCCAGGTACGGCACCACAAAGGACCCCGGCGGCAGGTCCCGCGCCGCGAAGAGCCCCCGCTGGCCGCGGGCCGGGTGCGAGGGCGCGGTGATGGGCGCGATGAGCACGTCGGGCCACGGGCCTGGCGGCGGCGCCGGGGGGATGCGGGGCAGGGACGGGTCCGGCGTGCGGAGGAGGGCGAGCTGCGAAGGGGTGATGTGCCGGGAGTAGGTGGGCTCGGTGAGGTAGGTTACGTCCTGGGGCCAGTTCTTGGGGAGGAGGGGGCAAGGCGATGCGCTGCTGGCTGCGTGGCGGCTGGGGAGGCCTTTTCTCTTGCGTTTGCCCATCGTGATGAGAGAGTATCAAGTGCTATGATGTGGATGCCATTGTAGTAAGTAGTTGTGCGCGTGCGGGTTCGTCTATGTTCTTCCACTTCCGCGCTGCGGTTTAAGTGTGTGTGTACCTACTTGTGCTGGTTTTAATTTTGACAGGGTTCCAGCTTTCTCACAATCTCCACTCATCTCACACCCGCGGCGACCTTGTTTTGACAACACTTTAATACAATACAGTAAAGCCACGACTTCCCAAAGTGAGATCTGAATATCTTCATTTATGTACCAAGGAGATGATGCAGTTATATGCGTCCCAGCATTCCATCCCAGGGTCCAGTCCAGCCCCCCCGTACCTCTAATGCAGAATGCCCCCATCCCCAAATGCTCAGATTTTGGTCCCATGCAGTCTTATGCTGGGCAATAATGCTTGCTGACTGTCCGTGATCTAACAATCCCATCCCTCCCCATCTTGCACCATACAGGTAACTTATTGTACATTCCAAATAAACCCTTTGCCCTTCTCACCACACCTTCTCTCCTCTCCTCTCCTCTCACTTCACTTCACTTCACTTTCCTCCTCCTAAACCACCCCTTCTTCTTGTCCTCCCCCTCATGCGCAGCCTGGTACCCCTCCTCCACGACGTTGTGCCGCCCCACGACCGTCAAGAACACCTGGTCCAGCGTCGTCGGGCTGACGCTGTAGTGCTCCACGCCCAGCCTCTCCCGCTCCTCCTCCAGCAGGACGACGAGCTGCCCGATAGCGCTCTGCTCCTGCACCGTCGCCACCGACGACTCCCCGCCTTTCCCACCACCACCACCACCTCTTCCTTCTACCCCCCCTTCAGCCCTTCTTGACGCAGCGCCGCCCGAGCGCGCAAGGACGACCTCCCTCGCCGGAATCGAAAACCGCATCTGGCCGTGGTACGTCTTGTCCTCCATCTCCGCGCCGGGGAACGCCGCGCCGACCCAGGCGCGCACCCTCGCCACGTCGGCGTCGCTCGTCCGCGGCGCCCCCTTGCACACGAGGTGCACGTGCAGCCTGTCGCCGAACCGCGCCCGCAGCTGGTCGACCGTGCCCATGGCCAGCATGCGCTTCGCCATGATGCCCGCCCGCCCCGCCAGCGCGTCCGCCTCCTCCATGCTGTGCGTCGTCAGCAGGATCGACCGGCCGGGCACCGTCGCCGCCAGCGTGCGCCACATGACGCGCTTGGCCGCCGCGTCGAGCCCCGAGCTCGGCTCGTCGAGCAGCACGACCGAGGGGTTGCCCATGAGCGCGATGCCCAGGCTCAGCTTGCGCTTGTTGCCGCCCGACAGCGCGTGCGCCTGCCGGTCCCGAAACGCCTGCAGGCCGACCGCCCGCGTCACGGCCCGCACGTTGTGCTCCACGTCCGGGATGCCCCGCACGCGCGCGTAGAACCGCAGGTGCTCGCGCACCGTCATCTGGTCCACGGCGTCGAACTGTGGGCACACGCCCAGGTGCGCGCGCGCGGCCGCCAGCCGCCGCGACACCGACACGTTCTCGACGAAGACGTCGCCGCCGCTGTCGGGCTGCAGGTCGCCGCGGATCATGCTGATGGTCGTTGACTTGCCCGCGCCGTTGGGGCCCAGCAGCGCGAACACCTCGCCGCGCTTGATGCCAAACGTGACGTTGTCGACGGCCGTGTTCTTGCCGAACGTCTTGCTCAGGTGCACGGCGCGCAGGCCGTCGAGGGGCTCCGTCGTCGACCCGCGCACCGACGACGTCACGCGGACCAGCTCGTTGGCGATCTCGGCGTCGGCGCCGTCCTGCGGGCCTGCATCGTCGTTGGCGGAGTTCTTCTTGGACCGCCGCGAGAAGAGGCGGGCGAACCAGAACTTGGCCTTGCCGCTGTCGCAGACGAGCAGCAGCAGGAAGAAGAGCACCGACTGCACGATGAGGTAGAGGATCGGCCCGCCGTACTGCAGGATGCCGCCCGGGTTGGGCGCGATCTGGTCTCCGACGCAGGTCGCCGAGAAAAGATTGAGGGCGAGGAACATGGATCGGATCACGGAGCCGATGGGCGCAAACGCCGAAACGAGGAAGTGCACGAGGAGCAGGTAGTTGTCGACCTTGTTGACCGGCGCGTAGGTGATGGTGCACAGGTAAGCGATCAGGTACACCAGGAACAAGACGGCCTGGCCCGCCGCCGTGAAGGCGTAGGCCGACAGCTGGTTGCGGCTGAAGAGCGAGATGAGGTAGGCCTGCAGCGTCATGGCGAGGCCGTACAGCGCAAAGACGAGGAAGAGGTAGCCGACGTGGTACCACACCTTGGACAGCGCCGCAAACAATATGACGGCGAGCGCCGACGACAGGATGACGATGGCAAAGTCAAATGCCACATACGCCGCCCACAGCGGGAATACGCGCACGCCGTTGGAGTACTCGAGCCCGCGGACGTTGCGCCGGCGCTCCAGGTTTGGGTACAGCGCGAAGAAGCCCGGGTAGGCGCACAGGGCGAGGCCGATGTAGACGAGCAGCTGCAGCGACTTGCCCGTATCGGGGGCCCATGGGATGTTGAAGGGCGCGTATGTGGCAGCGATGGACGTGTTGGTCAGCATCATGTCGAGCAGCGTCTGGCCAAAGAAGGCGTTGACCGTGTCGAGGTAGTTGGCCTTGTAGGCGACCGTGGGCGGCGAGTTGGCATCGCCGAGCCACCATCCCGCGGGTGTGACCTTTTTGCGGTCCCTCACGATGAGGTTCTGAAACTCCTCGTAGGTATTGGCAAACGTGATATTGTTGGCGATGCGGGCCAGCCCTCCCGCAGCAGCCCCGTTGGTCGAGTTGCCGGAACCGGCTGAAGCGCCGCCAAAGGCTGGCAGGAAGAGGTCGATCAGCTTGGTCGGGGAGAATTGCGAGGGGGGCCCGGCGACGAAGAAAATAGAGCCGCCAAAGTCATTGGTCAGGAAACTCTGCGGTTTCTCCTCGGTGCCCTGCTGTGAGGGCGTACATCCTGGAGGCGTCTGGTCGCGCACAAAGAGCGTGACCAGGCCCGCGGCGATGACGGGGATGATGAATGCTGCAAAGTATGGCACCCAGTTGTGCTTGAAGATGACGCAGCGCTTCAGGAACAACACCCACGCCTGGCGGACGTACCCGATGCGCTGGCCAGAGAGCAGCTCGAGGTCGTCCTGCTTCTCGTCCGTGACACGTACGTCCTCCAGCGCCGCGCCGCCCTTTTCAGTGCCGATAGCTGCCGCTGCACCTGCGCCTCCGATCGGTGGACCGTCCGAAGAAGAAGGATTGCTCTGGTCCTTGACCTCCTCCGCTAGCTGCAGGAAGACGTCCTCGATGGTAGGGCCCGAGAAGCGGTAATCGTGAATGCCCTCCCTCTCTAAAGTCTTGATGACCTCGGCGGCGAGACGCGACGACGGGGCGATGTAGGTGATGACGTCGAACGAGTTCTTCTTGAAGACGCCCTCGACCGGGGGCCCGTCGACGAGCGCCTTGGTCTTGTGCACGTGGATGCGGTACCCGCCGCCCAGCCTGTCCTTGAGCTCCACCGACGACGCCGCGGCCTTCAGCGTGCCCTTGGACAGCACGGCGATGTGGTCCGCCAGGAGGTCTGCCTCGTCGAGGAAGTGCGTCGTCAGGATCATGGTGCGCCGGCCGCGCTCGGCGAGCAGGATGTCCCAGATCTTGCGGCGGCTGAGCGGGTCGAGCCCGCTCGAGACCTCGTCGACGCAGCACACGGCGCTGCCGCCCGTCAGCATCATGCCGAGCTGCAGCTTGCGCTTCTGCCCGCCCGAGAGCGTCTTGGACTGCGCTTTCACCTTGCGGTCCAGGTCGACCGAGGCGATCAGCTCGAGGATCTCGGCCCGCGAGGCCACCTGCCCGGGCGACTTGAGCTTGTTGAAGATGAGCACGTGCTCCTCGACCGTGACCTCGTCCCAGAGGACGTTCTTCTGCGGCGCGATGCCCAGACCGCCGGTGCCGTCGATGGTGATGCTGCCGCTGGTTAGCCTGTTTGTGCCGGCGATCGAGTCGAGCGTCGTGCTCTTGCCGCTGCCGTTGGCGCCGAGCAGCGCGAGGATCTGGCCGCGGCCGGCGGAGAGCGTCAGGCCGTTGACGGCGTAGACGGGTGGCTTCGGCTTAGAGATGAATGAGAACATGCGGCGGATGAAACCCGGCTTGTAGACCTTGGTGAAGCCGTCGAGCTTGACGGCGGCCTCGTCGAGACCCTCGTGGCCGGACTCGCCCTCGAAGACGATGGTGCGTCCGTGGCTGCTGGTGCCGTAGAGGTACTGCTCGATGAAGGCGCCGATGATAGGATAGGCGATGATCTGGACTATCAGGAAGATCCAGAGGGCGAGGCCAGGCACGTTCCAAGGGCTGTCTTTGCCGACCTTGAGGAGGTTCGTGCCCACCTGCTGGCGCTCGAACCGGGCCAGGTAGGTGATGAAGTAGGTGTAGTTACACGGCGCAAAGAGAAAGCTCAAGACAGCGACAGTGGCTGTCTTTGGGTAGCTCACAGTCTGCGCGACAATGGCTAGTAGCAGGTATATGAGGGTGACGGTGACGCCGCTCAGCTGAGACTTTTTGAAGAATGCTCCGCCGAAGAGCGACATGGAGACAAATGCTAGACCCACGAGTATGTGGTAGATGAGCACGATGCCGACGTTGGTATGGGCAAAGACTCCGCGGGCCACGATGAGGGAGCCGACGACCCAGCCGGGCAGGTAGATTAGCGAAAAAGAGATGTGGTACGACAAGAGCCTCGAGGCCTGGGCCTGCCAGCGGCGCCTGGTCGGCATCATGGCTTCGATCAGGGTGGCCATACCAATTTCTCGCTCGGTAGCCATGAAGCCGACGGAGTGGTAGCACACGCCAATGACACCCGAGACGAAGGCGACGGCCAAGAAGTTGGTCAGGGAGTTCTGGTACTGCACGCGAATCTTGTCGGCGCGCTCCTGGACCGTCAGGGTGGTGTAGGGATATTCGTGGGTCGTGTTGGGCAGGACGGGCTTGTCGGCGGTGGGGTCCATGCCGGTGATGGCGGCGTCAATGGCGTGCTGGAAGGGCAGCATGTAGATCTGGCCGTCGTTGGTGCCCTTGTCGACGTCGATCTTGCCCAGGCCCAGGGCGCCGTCGTTGCGGATGGTGTAGTTCCAGATGCGGCCCTCGCCCTCGGTAGGCGACCCTTGGAAGACGACGGCGCCGTAGCACGAGGTCACGCCGCGCAGGGAGCTCCTGCAGACGGTATCGAGCTCCTGCGACACGCGCAGGCGGCGCACTTTCGCCCCGGCGCCCTCCACCACGCCGGCCAGAACGTTGATGACGCTGTCGATCTGCCCGCCCGCAAGACCGTTGTTCACGAAGGCGACGGTGTCTCGACCGGAGCCACTGGCGTAGGACAGGGCGTCCGGCAGGGACTTGACGGGGCGGGAGTCGCCGATACCGAAGAGCGCAGGCGGGACGAAGAGGTTGCGAGCGAAGGTGAAGAAGGCCATGAGGATGATGGGGAGGATGAAGGCGCGGATGAAGGTCGGGAAGGCATGGCGCCAGCAGACGATGAGGAAGTTCTTGCGGACGAGGGTGCCCGTCTGCCGGAGGAAGGCCATCTTGTCGCGAAGGGAGGTTGCTCCGTGCTCGGTCGAGAAGATGCGGCGACTACGCCCGTCCAGTCCTCCTCAATGCTTCCACGGGACTCGTGTGGGCGTAGGCCCTTGGCCGCGATCTCTGTTTACCGCTTTTCAGGACTCAATGGGTCGTCTGAAGAGCAGAATATCGTGATAGCTGTTTGTTGGTAGGAATTGGCCACGGCGAATCATGGTTGACCATGGGCAAGGCGGGCACAATGTCCGATTTAATGCTGAGTGAGCGCGTAAAAGGAAACGTCAATTAGTCAGATCATGGGGGCAGTCGCTACCGTCTGCAACAGGCAGCACTTTTGGAAACAACAACAACAATGACAAAGTAGAACAAGGCAGGCACCGTCCGTAGAGATTGAGATAATAGAAATAAAAAAAGGCCGCGTCAACCTGGCAAGGGTCGGCTGGCGTCAGAAGAATCGAAGGCGGATTTAAGGTTGTTTCCTCCAAGAATGGGGAATAACTGAGCGATGAGACGTACATCACACACACCCGTGGCTTAGACGTCTTGGATGAGAGAGCGACTAGAGCGAGCAGCTCGTCTTGGGAGATGGAGACCCGTAGTTCGACACGACGCCACCAATGGCCACCCACAGCTGTCCAGCTGGGCGGGTCTCGACCGAGATTCGGTGATTAATTGATTACCTACGCCCCGAACGACCTCCCAAGTCCGCGCCAGCTTCCTCACTCCCCCTCACCATCTTGACGCCTCCAGAGCTCTCTAGCACGACCACTAGCCACCACACACCGCGCTAACAAGCGATGTTGGAAGGTATTAGAGCCTGGGCATTCGTCGACGAGGCATTCCCCCTCCGCTCGCAAGGTTGGCGATAATCGGGATTGGCTTGGTTTCGATGGCAGCAAGAGCGATTGGTCCCTCGCCAAGGCACAGACAGCCCGGCTCGAGATATTCGTCAGTCGTGGACATGGAGCACTGATCTACGTAACTACCTACTTGTAGATTGTTCTTCCTAGCACAACGAGAGGGATCCTCCCGTCCGCCCGCAAGCGAAGCTGTGGGGTTTGCCGAGCTCAAGGCGTCGCGCAGCGGCACCTAGACTAACTAACATCTGTGCAATGCTGGGCCAGTGCCTGATTCGCGGCATCATTTCCTGTTCCTCGACTGGTGAAAGCGTCATACTGCCGCTGCCTGGGACGATGTTGAAGCAATGATCGAACACACCTAGAAGAAGCACTATTGTATGCGGTTGACAAGTCAGAGGGCCGCACCGCATCTTGCGCCGGTGATCAACGAGAACGCCGTGCCGGTGATTCGACGAGGACGAACTCGCTTCCATATCAGAGCGCTGTGGAGGGCGAATGCGACCACCCACACATCATTTCGACCAGGTTGTGGGGAAAGCCAAATGCTAGGTAGGGACGATACCACGTGTGTAGCTCGACCATCTACTCGTGTAGCAAGAGTCCCAACTTGTCACCTCGCCCAGCATCGTGGTGCAGAAGATGCACGCACCCAAACCAGCGGGCGGATGAGTAAAGCCAAGGCCTCCCATTCTTCTCATCGTTGGTGGCGCACCCCGCTGGCCTCGCTCGTATGATGAGTGCAGATGTGTCAACGCCTCACGGTTCTCGACCGTCAATCTCCCGTCACAGCGGCCCTCATTTGACGCCATTCGGTTGACCAGCGTGGTCAGGATGCAGGTCGACTTGTGCCGGGGCCAATCCGGCGCACCAAGGAGCGGAGCAGGGGATCGAGATCCCCAGGAAACATTATCGTCAGCGCCCACAATCCACAATACGAGGGGCGCACAAACGAACATGTGCGAGCTTTGGTGCATGTCAGAGCTGCAGCTCGGCCCGATCATTGGACACGCCCTGGTATTTGTCCTTTTGATGTGTGCTGCTACTCCGTACGTCTCCAAAGGGTCAGCCATTTCATGTCACATTCGTTGGTGCGTGCCGGCCCGGGTGACGAGGACCGGTGCCGGAGGTGGGTGTCGCGGGCGCTGGACCCTGCAGCTGGCTGAGTGGAGAAGATCCCTGTCGCCACTGTACACACACACACACACACAACTTCAAAAAGGGCTGCCCGTCCTCCCCTCCCCTTCTTCTTGATGATGTTTCTCTAAGCACCCAAAACCCCGAACCGACCCCGTCGAAAGACGTCCCGCCATCGACGGACACGGCCATTGCGCGGACGACACGCTGTTATTAGACAGCTCGTTCACGCGTGGTCTGACCCGAGGACACACCTCCTGGTCGAACACAAGCAGATCCGAAGAGCGTAATCCAATGGCAAGATAGGCAATGATTTAATACCAGGGACAAACATTTACTCCGAGCAAAAGACACCTTCATCTTGGGAGGCTCAATCACAACGGGTTCCAGCCCGAATGCTCCGACACGAAGAACAACACTATCCACTCACACAGCCGATCTTGCGGCTTGGACTGCGGGTGTAGGCGTCTACCGGGGGCTCTCACACACCAGTTGAGGCAGGAGAAGGAGAAAACACAAAAAGAAAGGGTGAAGAAAAAAAAACGAAAGAGAATACGCAAGATGTGCACCCAGATCAACAACCTGTTCACGTGCGGACACCGGGGCTTCCGCAAGTTTGACAACTGCCCCCAGTTCGGCAAGACCTGCTTCGGCGCCGGCGGCAAGCACCGCGACGACGTCATCCAAGACCTCTGCCGCGACTGCAAGCTCCGCGCCCACGACGCCCGGAGCAGCCCCGCCCGCAAGGACCCCTGGTGGGAGGACGACCCGTGGAAGCACAAGCGCAAGGGGTGACCCTGCTCGAGGTCTTTGGTATGGCTTGTCTGGGGTTTGCGTTGATGCTGTGTGTCACCTGAGCGGCCCTTCCAGGGAAGGATCTGAGAGGCGCTCGTTGTTGTGGCACCGTACCCTGAATCTGATGATCTTGTGCAATGGCTTCGTTTATAAAGGAGTGGGAAGAAGGCGAGTTTCAAAGCAGGAATGCACTTGCGATGCCTTGCGGTATTACGAAGTTTACGACCGGATACGATTCACACGAGCTTTCTTTTTCTTTTTCTAGAGACTTCAATACGCACAACTTGAATGATCCCACCCAGCATCTCTACGAGTTTTCCTAATCCTGACTGCTCTTAGAAAACATGTATGCTGATGAGGGAACACTTGTTCTCCTCTTCCTCACAATGGCCTGGTAAACCTCACGGTTGCGTTCCGCACCATATGTCTATGTCGTCTGTATCTACCTCGAGACTATGCGGTCTGCTCTTGCCCATCACACTCCCCGCCGGTATGTCTATCATCCCACAAGCCCACGGGTATGGATGTTCCTCGTCTGCATCCTCATTCGAAGCCTGGCACGATGTCCCTGTTGAGCTTCATCTTGGTTAATCATATGAGCACGTACTCTCCTCCTTTCGCAGCAATTGCTCAGCTGCGGAGCGACACAAAAGCGCAGCCTGTCTCTCTAATCTAGCGTTTGCCAGTCCAACCTCCCGATGTCACCTTGAGGGCCATTCATAGTCATACTGGCCGGAGGGGCGGCTGGAATACCTGAATTCCTCGATGAGATATATGATGTCGTGTAAGATATACCAAGCGTTTGCAAGAGAGAATCTGATCCGGTCCCTATTGAAGAGGAGGGCAGCACGGTTGAGAAAGGCATCAGGCGTGATTTTGGATGACTGAATCTATGGGTCTGCAAAGGGGGCCGCTCTCTGGGCGTGGTTACTAGAGCAGGGGGACATTGTGACAACTACTTTGCTGAGGAGGGCATTCTTGATCAGTATAGTACCTTACGTGATCACGGAGCTGTCGTATCTTTCGCTGTTTTTCGTAGGCACTCTAGCACCGTCTATCCCTAGACCTGGGGATTTGTATCCATTCACCAAGAGAGAGTCTAAATCGACTACCTGGTGTGATCACCACCGTGCCCTCACTAGTAATGCATACCCTGGGCCTATACCTAACTGGAAGCGAGGATACCTTGATTCCGACCCTCTCTGAGAGGCTGTCTCGATCCACTCTTGACACTGCGCTATCATGACTAATTCCCAGAAATACTCACGATCCATCAAGCCCATTAGTTTGAGCTAGTGGGATAGCCCTTGCGAATTTGCTGAGCAAGGATAAGCATTGTTAGCAGGGACTCCGACTGCCAGGGAGGCATCCCAATCCTGGGGACTTACAATTGCCGATTAGGGACGGCCAAGGGGCCTCGCCGAGCACTGTCGGAAGAGGCACCGCCGGCACCGGACGCTGATCAACGCCAGAACCCCACAAGGTAGCATTCGCGTCTGTAGGGCGACCCGGATCTAGCGAACCAGAGGTTGGCCTTTTGCAGACCAGTTTATTGAAAATCCGGGGGACTGCATTTTCCCACGAGCTTGGCGACACCAACGGGCCCCGTCTCACTCAACGTTGAAGGGGAACAAAGTCGAGATATCTTACCTCTTACGATAGTGTACCATACCTAGACGAGAATTCTCGAAAGATATCGTGCCAATAACTTGGTCTTATCTTTTAGAATCATGAGCCATTCGCGGCCGAGTTTCGGGCCCGATCTCCACCCTCAGAACCTACATGTGGTGGTGGTGGAGGGGATAATGATCTCCGGTCCCGCACATCTCAAAGCTACCTAGCCACCATTTCGCCCTGGGGATGTCAGTGCTTGCTTGCCCAGTGGCATTTCGCCGCTTTCCAATCCCCGGCCTGTGCCCGGAAAGTGGCTACGTCTTGATTTCTCATCATTCTGATTCCCCATCCTGTTCATACCGCTGTCTGTGAAGGTTTGTCATGCTGGGCCGGGTAGTTCTCATGTCCATCTTTTATTTTTGTAAGAATAGCTTCGTGTCAGAGCTGTCGCTTGGAACCAGCTGTACAGGTCTTTTGTTGTCCTTGGGAGATGACTTCTGAAGATGGTTTCTCCAGAATCAAAACGCAATGAATCATCAGTCGACCTGGAAAAGGCTGACTCGTCCATTGGTGATTCGGACCTGATACGGCGTATTTCTACCGAACATCTAGATGACACCGCACACGCCACTGACCTTGCAGAGAAGCCCCAGTTCCATCGTGACGATGACCCTGAATTGCAGGATGTTGAGGTTCTCGGCGAAGCGGCAGGGCTGGGGAGCGGGATTGCTAGCAGGGTGTCGACACGGAACAGTCAAGCGACACTCGCGCCGCCGGACGGAGGACTGATGGCTTGGTCTATGTGTAAGTTCGCCCGCTGGAATTTAGGGAGACTTGATCGAGAATGATGGAAATCATGGTCACCGGCATGCCTTGCACGAGTTACAGAGCTGATTGCATCCGGATGGGATAGGTCTCTGCGCACATGTCGTCATCGCCAACACCTGGGGAGTCATCAACTCCTTCGGCATATTTCAAGCCTACTACACAGACTTTCTCGGCATCTCTCCGTCGGCAATATCGTGGATCGGCGCCGTGCAGAACTTCCTCGGCTACGCTCTGGCCATGTTCAGCGGCCGCATGAGCGACGCTGGGTACTTCCGCCTGACCCTCCTGATCGGATCAGTGCTCCTGGTCTTGGGCGGGATCACCATGTCCTTCTCCCACACTTACTGGCAGTTGATGGTGACGCAGGGCGTGCTCATGGGATTGGGCGCTGGCTTCCTCTGCTGCCCCATCATGTCGGTCACGTCGACATATTTCTCCTCCAAGAGAACCATCGCCGTCGCACTTGTGACCTGTGGAAACGTGACTGGCGGCCTTATATATCCGGTCATGGCGCGGCAACTTCTCCCCAGCGTCGGCTTCGGCTGGTCCATCCGGGCTATCACCTTTATGCAGGCGGCGAGCCTGTGCATTGTGCTCCTCGTCGCCCGAGCAAGAGTCAAACCCGACACCACCGCACCCATGGTCGACTTCTCAGCCTTGAAGGAGTCAGAGTTTAGCTTCTACACCTTTGGCATGTTCTTTGTGAGACCTCCTAGCCCACAGCCTTCGAGCAATGTACACAACACTGACGTTGGAGTTCACGCATGCAGGCTTTCTCGGGGCTCTACGTCAGCCTTTACTACTTCTCGCAGTACAGCCGCACCGCCGTACACCCGAACCTCTCGTACCAAGACTCGCTCAACCTCATCCTGATCTTCAACGGGCTCAGCCTCGTCGGCCGCCTGATCCCAAGCTACCTGGCCGACCGCGTCGGCGCCGTCAACATCATGGCGCCCACCGTCTTCGCGATATGCGCCCTCACGTTCGGCTGGATCGGCGTGCGGACGACCGCGGGCATCTACTCGTGGATCGTGGTCGACGCCATGGTCTGCGGGTCGCAGATGGGCCTCTTCCCGGGCGGGATCGCGTCGCTGACCACCGACCTGCGCAAGATTGGCGTCCGGATGGGCACGGCCTTTGCCGTCTGCGCATTCTCGGTGCTCGTGGGCCCGCCGGTCGCCGGGGCCATCCTCTCGAGCATGGCGGGGCGGTATGTCGGCGTGCAGGCGTACAGCGGTGCGTTGCTGTTTGTAGGCGGCTGCTTCGTGTCGGGGGCCAAGATTGCGAGGGTGAGGAGGACGGGGCAGAAGTGGACAGCGAAGATATGATGGGCACTGTACGCAGACCGAGTCAAGCGAGGATCAGAACAGTTGACGGAAGTTCACCGGGAGGTACCTCGATGTTAACAATCCATTTCCTTGCTCTGGGATTTGTAAGGACTATCCGACTCCCTAAAACCGAATGAGCCTGATGGATAGCCAAGTGCTTCTTTGGCAAGCCCTTCAACGAACCTGACTAGCACTTGCATGTTAGGGAGGAGAGGTCTAGCAGACCTTTCTTTCTGAAACAAAGGTGGATCAGGACACCAGAGGCACAGGACGAATCATATATATGTGGAGGTTCGATCAATGATGAAAAGTCACTGTTACGAATCACCGCGCTGCGTTCCTAGAGTGTTGAGTTGGCTGCAGCGGGAGGGAGACTGGCATGGTGCCTCCAGCAGTGACACGAGTAGAACCACTTTAAGGATTTGGGCAGAGGCTAAGACAAGCAAATCAAAAGGCTCACAAACTGCATGAATTTGTGCATAATCGTCCCCACCCGCAACGATGGTGCCCAACGGTACGACTTGAGCCCTTGCTTCTTTCATACAAGTACATACAGCAACTCCGCCGCTGCAACCCCCACCGCCGACAGCTCTTTCACTCCATCTGGAAATTAGCTCCGATTTATTATCACGCAACAATTATCTGCCATGATGAACAACGAAACGACCGAGACATGCATGTTCTTCATAGACGACTCCAACATTTGGATCGAGGCGCAAAAGTTCGCGGCGTCGGGCAACAGCCACATGCCCAAGCTGACCGACAGCGACCGGGACCCGCGCCTCCGCATCGACGTCGGCAAACTGATCGACACGCTCCGCAAGGACCGCGTCCAGGGCCGGTCCTTCCTCTACGGGTCCCGGCCGCCCCCGAACGACTCGGTGTGGAAAGCGTACGAAAAGTTCAGGTTCCAGACCAAGATCTACGACCGGTCCCAGGGCGGCAAGGAGAAAGAAGTCGATAATTCCATGGCCACGGACCTCAGCTCCGAGGCTACCGAGCTCAGCATCAGAGCCGAGTATGACCCCAAGGTGATGAAGCAGAAGAACGAGACGGTCTTTGTCGCAATCACGGGAGATCGTGACATGCTGCCCGCGATTAAGAAAGTACTGAAACACGAGATCCGGGTGGAGCTCTGGGCCTGGAGGTCGGGCATCTCCAAAGACTACCAGAGATTGAGTTACGACAATAGCCTCCTGTCCGTAGAGTTTATGGATGGGATCTTCGGTATGATTTCGTTCACCAACTTCCAGTCCACCCGCCAAAACAAGTCGAACCACGTCGACCCCGGCCAGGCCATCGTGCTTTGCGAATTTGGTGACCTGAGCCTGAATGACATCGAACATTTCATCTGCGACCAGCTTCTCCAGCTAGGTCGTCTGTTCTACATCACCCGCTCGCAGACAGAGACCGAGATGTTCGTCGAGTTCCCCAAGGTCGAGAATATCGAGGCGATGGTTCTGAAAGCTGGAGAATTATTCGACGGCATACTGAAAGTGCGGTCCTGGCCAGAGTACGCGAACAGTGCCAACAAGAACCTACCGGTCTTGGTCGAGACGAGCAACATGTATACGCCATTGACGGGGGAGAATGGGCAATTTGCAACCACCGCCTCACCGAAAGGAGGATACAGGGCTCTCAATGGACTTGGGGTCAGTGACTCTGGGGAGATACAAGGCCTGAAAGACCCCGACAACAACGACGGCTGGCAGACCGTCGCCCGGTCCGACCTCGGCAAGGATCATCGGCGTGGCCTGCGCCAGACTCAGAGATGCCCCGAGCGCATCCGTTGCAAGAAGAGGGGAGAATGTGGGTACCGACACACTGACGAGGAGCGCGATCTGTTTCGAGACATGCCCAACCAGAACTTTGGGCTGTGGAAGACAAAGGCGTGCAACAACGTCCCGTATTGCCGCCGCGGCAAGCGATGCGGGTTTGCTCATAGCGCAGCCGAAGCATGGTGCCTTAGGTGTCGTCTGGAGGGTCACTACACAGAGAAATGTCGGTATAAAGGCTAGAAGCTGGGCGATAGAGTGGGTGGCTGGAATCACGGGCAGGGTTACACATTTTGAGTCTGGCATATCGCATTCTTCATTTTGATTCCCTGTGATTGGTTTGGTATTGTGACTTGTGTTAATAAATGAGAGAGACATTATCTATACGACGCGCATCAAGTGACGCCCATCCCGAAACTCGTCGCACGGCACCTGCAGTCAGATACTGTAGGTGCCAAAACCGCAAATTTCAGCTCATCATGATACATCCAGTCTAAGCAGTTCCAATGCGTTGATAGACGAGCTTGTCGCGGTCAACTAACCCGAGAAGAATCACGAAAGCGTCGCCCGATTCCTTACGCGCACGTGCTGGAAGGCAGAACAAGGCACCTTCGTGATTTTCTTCGATCAAAATTGAGATGGCCATAATCCTCAGCGACAACTCTTACCCCATAAATTCTGATATCATGTTATGTGTGGATGCAGAAATCACATTGCCGCCGTTGTGTAGTGAGTGATCACTTTGTACTTGCGGGAGGTGGAGGTGGAGGTGGAGGTATACATGCACCAGAGCTTGGACAAGTCGTTGTGTTGCAATCGTAATAGATGGTCGTGACCCACGTCTTGATTGTCCCGGCTTTCATCGTCTTCGTTTTTGTCACGTTTTCGGGACTTTTGCACCTGTTCCCTAAGATTTTAGCTTTGCTCCAGCATTGATAACTATCACCACAACTTACATCTTAGATGTAGTTCGTTGTTGAGTAAAACTTAAGACGTAAGCGGATATCTTCCCCGCATGCCTATGAAGGAGAGGCTTCTTTTCCTGCCGAGGATGGCTACCATTCTATTTCCAGTAGACGTCCATTCAGGGCACCGTAGATTTCCAGAACTACTTCCACCCACAACCAGCAACACTACCTCATCAACATTATCACAAAGAAATCAAGATGATATCACCAATAGATTCTCCGTCGAATCAATATCCCAACAACCCTAAAACCAATCTTGAAGCTCATCCTGAAACCGCTAGACGTCGGTCTCACTGGCCGATCTGAACTATCGATCTTTACGAAACAATCTCCGATAACCAACCTTCAAAGCCGTTGACACCGCAGCGAAAGTTTGAGATCAGTCGATTCGGTACGGCCTACTCAAACCACGGATTCTTCAACCACTCCCGGATCTTATTGATAGCAAAAATATCATGCTGTCTGCTCGAGTTGGCATCCATGCTCTCAACCCATCCTTCGGTACCTAGGGTCATGAGCCGCTTGCCAAACGGTTGACAAGAGCCGAAGTCGATGAGAATTGGCGCCTTGTTCCGGGAAACCATGATGTTCTCCGGGTTGATATCGTTGTGTGCCAGCCCAAGCGAATGGAGGTGGGCGACAGCCGATTCGAGTCCTTCCATGACTTCGTCTTCGTCTATGGCTTGACGCTGCTTGACGTGCTCTAAGAGGGTATCCGGGTGTTTCTCCAGGACGAGCCCGGTGATGCGGTTTCGTCTCACTCGCACGCCGTAGTACTTGACTATGTTTGGATGCGGATGCTGCGAAATGCGTTCCATGACGACGGACTCGCTTAGGAGAATTCTCGCTAGAAAACCGTCGTTCTTGAAGAGTTCGTAGAAGGACATTGTCGGTCGTTTGATGTACGCCTCGTCGGTTGCGTGATCTCGCGCAATCGTCAACTCCTTGTCGCTAGGCACAGCAGGGAAGATCACATAGTCCGGCACAGGCTCCAAGGCCTCAGTGAGTTCTAGACTCGTGACTTCGTCCTTGGCCCTTTGAAGTTGCCCAAAGAACATCCTATCATCATCCGTGATCACGTAGAATGTGATACACTCGAGTTCCCCGGTTTTCGGGTCTCTGGTTTCAATGACGGCATCTAGATCTCCAATGGACAGAATTTTGGGGGCTTCCCTCGAAAACAAAGACGAAGAGTTATCCATGGCGATGGAGAGTATCGTGGTTTGATTGAGTATGAGCTGAGAGAGAGCAAGAAATATGCTTATAGTCAAGGTAAGATAAAATAAGAAGTGCAGGTCATGGCAATGAAGCGGCTCTCAGTGTTTATAAGGTTGGTAGGCGAAGGCGCTAGTCCCAAAAGGGGAATTTTCAAAATCCAATTCTCAGGATTGAATGTGCACTTGTCGCATATCCATGCCGGTTGGATGCAAATCGATTAGTGGTCAACAGCAAAGCGACAGCTGGAATAGTCAATGAAAGTTTGCTTTAATAATACGAGACGGTCCTGGTTACTGGATATCGACCACTATGAGTGTAAATCGTTCGCCACTGGACAGAATACTACCAGCGCGTCGAAGACAGGGCTGACACGCCCCATGTTTGTTAATGCGACGCTCGTGATAGACTGCTTTCCTACTTCACGGACCGCCCAATGCGACATAGCGCAATCGTCACCTCCATAACTCTGTTCCGTAGGTGCAAGGCTAACCCGGAGCTGGTGACATAGGTAGCAGCCTGCTTCGACAGATGTCTTGAGGCTTTGCCAAATAAGATGACGAGCTACAAGGGCAGCGCAGTTACGCAAAACCTCCCGTCAAACAGAACAGATCATGTTGGCGACTTGCGTATCTGTTGTTTTGTGGCAGAGGACTCAATCGCATTTGTCGTCGAGGGTGCTGCAGTTGTCGGTCGTGTTCACGTAGCTTTGCAGAGAGGGTGTTGTCAGTCCGGCCCCGTTTGTCTCTGTGCATTCAGGCACCAACACCTATGCTAATTGAAAGACTCTGATGAAGCACGCCGAAACGCCCAGACCGCACTCAGATCGCTTCGAAATGCTGCCGCGACTGCAAATGTAGACTCGATCCTCGAGAGGAGTGTCAAAACACACTGTTGGCTCGTGTCTGTCCTGCATCTTGACCCTGCGACACGAAGGGGAAACATGAGTAGGACGGGGGAGATGTCGGTGCTGGCCAAGATCTGAGCGGCGGAGTCGAGTATGGTACTGACGTATCCTTGGATGACTGCTTCCTGCAGTTCGGGGACCGGCAAATCGAGAGCTTGCCAGTGCGTGATCTCGTAGTCGAACACACCAGAAAGATATATGCTACAAGCTGCGTGGAATGCCTGCGCAAGAAGGTGGAACCCGTGCAAAGTGTCGGCCTTGGCGTGTAGGGAGGGTGTCCACGTCGCATGCCATGTGCTCAACACAACGCGAAGGCGGATGCCTTCTTCGGAGATTGCCAAAGCGTCATCGAACGATCGAGTTTCCTCGGGGGATCTGATGAATTCACTCGCGCTGAGAAGATGGTCAAATTTCTGAATGCGCTCTGAAACTAACGAACAACTGCTTACCGGACCCGAAGCGTCGAGCAGAAGACTATGGTGTCGAGTAACTCGTCCAGCGCTCTCCAAACGTGGTCTTCTCGCTTGGCACGCAACCTTGCAGAGAGATTGATCCAGTCGGGGGTTACCAAGAACGTAGGCTCGTTGAAGATTATCGATCTGGAAACCTCGAATATCTTCATCTCCGAGAAGAATCGCTCGCCGATTCCAGACTCGAACGCCTGAGGCCCACTGGCTAGAAGCGCGTGCGACGTGCCATGGATGATGTGTTGAAGCCAGCCTTGGCCTGTAGGGTCCATCATGAGCTTTTCATCTTCGTCAGCATCTGTATTCGCCCACGGGAGTAAGTTGAAGAAGTGCTCTACCTCAAACAGTCCGAGGAACAGAGTGGCCCAGAGCACAGTGTCCTTCTGGTGCTTCCCAGCTTCGTTGCTGAGAGCACTTCGAAGGCCACTGATCGACCTCGAATACGAACCCATACCCATTTGCATGTACTGACGCCTCAACACTAAATCTGCCTTCTGCAGCTTGATAGCCTCCATGGCGCCCAGGCAAAGCATAGCGTCCATGAGGTAGCCCCCAGACGCCGAAGGCGATGATCTGACCAACGCTTGGACATCTGCGGAGACGCCGCTGTGCCCCGAGAACTTGTTCTTTTGCAGGAATATGTCAAAAAAGTAGATATAGAGAGAGTTCGGATCTGCCTTGGGCGTGTCTATGATTGAGACGCGCTGGGATGCCCGCTGTCGGTTGGCATGTTTCTCGTAGACAGCAGTCGTAAGCTGTCGCCCATTATCGATTGTGATCAGAGCGCGTTTTGACTTGGCCCTCTCGTAGAGACAGACTAGGCCTTTCTTCGCGCAGCTTTGGCACACGGGATCGCCGGAGCACTGCCTCTCGATGAGTCTTGTTGATCCTTGGGGCCGCAAAGTTCAAGTGTGGAATCTTACCTTGAGATGACGCTGAAAGCACTCGACACAGCGGGACCGTTTATTGCGCCGATCATAGGGTCCTAGCGGCATGGCGCGCAGGCAACAGATACGCCTTTCCAGCTTGCGTTTTCCCACTGCAATTGCTCAATGCCTCTTTCGGGAGAGAGCACTGGTAAGTAAAGATTGAAGGCTTGACCGAAAAGGGCAGTGACTGCACGAACTTCCCAAGGAACCGGAGAGTTGATTCTTAAACTTTGATAGGTGGTCAATGGTGGAGAACTCACTTTTCCCGAAATGGAAGTCATCCAGCGAAGCTAGTTGTTAGTCCAGGTACACCAACTGAGTCCAACTCTCATATATCTCCACTAGACCTCAGCTCTGTGGAGACACCACGAAATCCACGATCAACAGAAGCGAGCTTCATAGAGGCAACAACACGCGGCTCGCTTGTAGCTTATGAAAGTCTCGCTGGTTCGAGGCCTAATATGGACTAACGCAGGGCTATGTTCGGCAGTCATGGACATCAGCCGGGCCACGCATGCACGATAGTTTAATCAGACTCCATTTCCCTTATGGCATATATAAAGCTGCAAAGAGAAGACATGACCAGAGCCTTTTTGCATCAATCTACATCATCCAACTCCTTACTACTCTCTCCTCTAGAACAGTTATCTGAGAAATTCTCTTGATCATGCGTTTTACACCCACATTCTTTGCTGTCCTCCTGGGCATCGCGGAGGCCATCGTCCTGCCTGAGCCTGTTGGGCCGTACAAGGTCGCACACGCAGCCTATCCTCTGACGGATAAATCTCGGATCGATCCTTACGCACCCAGCAACGCCTCTCACCCACGCAGTGTCATGATATCGGTATTCTGGCCTGTCGATAACTCGATAAAGTGCACCACCGAGACGGCGCCTTACATGCCTCCTGCATCGGCCAAGCTGCACGGCATCTTGGCAAACGCCATCGGCCTGCCGAACAGCACCTTTGCCGACTTTAGCGTTGACTACTGCCGCGTTACCGGCCGAAAAGGTTGCGGTGCAAGGCGCCAGATGTATCCTCTCGCCATCTTCTCACCTGGGTTTGGCAATTCCCGCTTGACATATTCGGCCCTTGCCAAGTCAGTGGCTAGCTATGGGTACATTGTCGTTACTGTCGATCACCCTTATGATGCCAACATTGTAGAGTTCCCTGATGGAACTGTGATCTATGGTGGTCATATCGGGGAAGACGATGCTTCTTTGGAGCAAGCAGTCAAGGTCAGCCCAGCTAAACAGCCCAAGCAATGTCATGAGATACTAACAAAAGGTCGAACCCTAGGTCCGTGGTGAGGACATAACCTTTGTTCTGTCGCAACTTCTGGATGGCCCTTTGAAGCATACCGTCGCACGAAAATTTCCCGGCCAAATTGCTTGTGACAAGGTCCTCGCCTTTGGTCATTCGTTGGGTGGCGCGTCCTCAGCCGCGGCAATGCTCTCCGACAAGCGAATTCTCGGCGGCACCAACTTGGACGGCAAATTAATTGAGCCTGTCCTGAGTAAAGGTCTCGACCGCCCCTTCTTCCTCTTGGGAAGGCCCAACCATCGGCAGGAGGAGACCACATGGGTCACTTTCTGGGACAAGCTTCGGGGTCCCAAGGTCGAGGAGGAGGTGTTAGGGGCAACCCACGGGTCCTTTACTGATTACCCGCTCCTTGTTAACGTCTTGAACATCCCTGAAGCTTATAGGCCTGCGATTGAGGCCCAGTTTGGTACAGTCAAGGATGTGAATCTTGTGACGAAGACGGTGGCCAATTTCTTCGAGTTCGTGCTGAGTGGCAAAGCCAAACCGCTCCTCGAGCAGGCGGCATCAAACTCGTCCGGGTTGAGGATTGTCGGCCAAAACATTGGCTCGCTCTAAACATGCAACGATGAAAAGTAAAATGACAATTTTACTTGACCAGAGATGAAGAGGGAATTCCACAAATGTATAACATGTAATCAACTTTTAGAGACGCATATTCACATATACTATAGACAATACACTAAATACTATAACCAAGAGGCCACGTATCGCATCCGTTGAGTTCCTTGTGCTATTTCCATGTCATACGCAACTGCTTCAACGCCATTAACCAGGAACAAGCACCAAACTGATGGCGGTACGAAGCATGAGCCTTCATTTCATACCTCCAATTCTCCTCTACAGCTGCTTTACGAGGCTAATCACTCCCGCATCTGTGCCCGCGCCTTTGCACGCCTCTGGCTGATGCTCTTTCGGTTCACCGCCGGTATGCGGTACTCCATCTCGCGCTCCATGCGGTGCCTATCCCAGAAGTCATGAGTGAAAGTACCCTTGAGCCGCTCCTTCTCCATCTTCCTCTGCTTCTTCTCCCGTTTCGACTCCCTATGCTTCTGCACCTTGTCCCCCAGCTTCATCACGTCGAGCACCCTCTCCCTGCCGCCCCGCACGGCCCGGCCGGTCCTCTCCTTCGCCTTCTTCGACGTGCTCGACAGGAACTTGAACAGGTGCCGGACGCGCGTGCTCCACGCGACGACGAGCGCCGAGGCGATGAGGAAGACCGACGCCGGCAGCGAGATCCACCCGATCAGCCGCAGGGACATGTTGTCGCCGCCGCCCCACTCGCGCGTGTTCATGCCGAACAGGCTGGTGAAGAAGCTCAGCGGCAGGAAGATGACGGTGAAGGTCGTGAAGATCATGACGGAGCGGCTCTGCGCGCTCGTGAGGTCCGCCTGCAGGCGCGAGAGGCGCACCTCGTCGACCTGCGCCTGCCGCTGGACCATCTGCAGCAGCTTCTCAAAGTCCTCGCGCGTGTCGTGGACGCGCCTCTTCATCGTCTCGGCCTGCGTGTTGTAGTCGTCCAGCCGGTGCAGCGCCTCGTCGAGGTACTTGAGGCCGTTCTTCACGTCGTCCTTGTTGGCGACGGTCTCGTAGTACCTCCGCATCTCTCCGATGAACTGCTTCTGTTCCTTGAACAGCGTCATGAGGATGGTGAGTTCGTCTTCGATGTCGCGGAGCTCGAGCATGGCCGATGTGTTGTCCCTGTTGGCCTTCTCTGCCAGGTCGCCCTCTTTCTTGTGCCGAGCTCGTATTGAGCTGGTCTTATTTTCCAGATCCTCATAGTCTACTGCCTTGTCCCGGAAGCCCTGTGTTCTGAAGCGTTTGAGAGAAGTGGTCAATCTCTCTGTCTAGGAAGCGAGAATGAATTTTCTGGTTAGCCCGGGACAGTATGTAATACAGATGTCTTCTCATACCAATATGCTCACGGCCTCTTCAAAGATGCGGAATATCTCCAAATCCGGATGTGAGGACTTCTCCATCAACACCGTCACCGCGTGGAGGGCGCACAGGGCAGCGAGGTCCAACCCGTTTTCGCAGTTGCGCGTGAGATCCGCATTGACTTCGTTGAAAATGCTATCACGAAGGTCTGCCTGCTGAAACATAGGACCCTCAGCTGGATTGGACTCCCTTTTTGGGAAGAATGTGACGACCGTTTCTAGGAAGACAAGACAAGTTAGCCAGTGATCAACACTGCCATCCTGTTCTAGAGGACATACTACTGTCGATAACCCACATCCAGAGCTGATCCACCATCAAAACATTGCCGTCCAAAACATCCTCATGTTGCAATGGTTTCCATTCAGCATCCTCAGCGTCGCTTTCAGGGGCTGTGTCATCCCCGTCGTCATCGTCATCCTCCGGGACTTGGTCCGCCACGCTTTGTCCAGTGTTGACGCGATAAGCGGGCCTGGCCTCGTACTGATCGGATTCCAATATGCCCTCTTCGTTGAACCGCTCCTTTGTCATCTTGTACAACATCTGGTCGTCGTCCCGAGCTCTGGTGTCGTGGAGAGAGGGATAGCCGTACTGGTCGAGGGTTCTGCGGCAGTTGATCGGGAGGTCGTGGCCGAGATACTCCCAGATCACGCGCAGCTCGGCGGATGGCTCGCGAGACACGGAGGACGGGACTGGCCGCGTGCGTTGGTGCTTGAGGCGGGCTTTGATCATCTCTCGGCGGCGCACTAGGCACTTGTACGAGTCGAAATGCAGGTAGGGTATGAAGAGATACACACAGTCCAAGTTGGGTGACGGGCGTGGTTGGGCATGATTCGGAGATTGGGCGTTTGCTTGGCCTGTGTTAGATCCCATGCATCCTTTGTTCATTGGTAGACTCGCAAACCGGGCTTACTCACCATCTCGGCTCGGGATGTGACCAAACGCAGGCTTCACAAAACATGCGTGGTGCTGCGAGTGCCGGCCTCTTGCATGGCGAGACGACCAGTGCTCGTGGTTGAAAGCATCTTCAAAGTTGCTTTTGAGGTCAACGGATAGACGGCCAAAGACTTTCTGCAGAGAGAGTCAGACTTTTCTCCAAATATTCAAAGGCCATAGACGAAGACTCTACCTTGACCCATGCCGGGTTGGTGTACTGCAGATGCACCCATACAAATCTCTGCTGCTTGGGATCGGGGAGAGAGAAGTAGCCTTGCGAATCTTGAGGCCTCGCTGATTCCCTGACGCTCTCCATATGCCCCGTCGTGATGTTGTCGCTGGAATGAAAAGGATGCTCGCTGAATCGCCGGTGGGCCGTTGGCCGCTTGTCATTCGGCCTCTGTGACGAGTGAGGACCCATATAATGATTCTCCTCGGCTTCCTCGCTTATTGGAGGCGTATATGCAGAGGCTGTGGAAGCACGCCTTGCAGATCGCGAATACAAATCCGGCGATGGCACCCTTGCTGGAGATAAGGGTGCCGTGTTCGGAATTCCGCCTTGGCCGACGTGCGTGTGGCTAACATCTGGAGATGTAGCAGCCTCCTGGAGAGAGGTTGGCGATATCAATGCCAGGTTGTCGAGACTTCTGCGATTCTCCTCGGTATGTTTCAGAATACTTATCGGGTTCATTCGAGGGTTGCGCGCAGGTGACCTCTTCCGAAAAGGGCCTTTGGACTTGGGTGGCGGGCTGATCTCCTCGTAGGAGTTGAACTTGGTTCGGGTTGTAGTCAGGGAAGTCCCACGCGTAGAAGTAGCCAGAAATTGGTTCATTGTTGGCGCAGCGTGGACCTCCTCCAGTCTCTGGCTCAGGCACCAGCTCAGCCCTTGTTCGAGAAATTTGTTCAGGGGATACAGGGTCGACCATGGCCTCACGAGCGTGGACGAGGACTCGTCAGTGTAGAATCCGTGGACCTCAATGTTTACTTTCTGCTCCAATTCCAGAGGACAGTGCGCGATGGAGCATTGTTGATGAGCCATGCCGATAGCCAGGCCGAGGTCCTTGAGATACAGCTTCATCGTCTGGACGTTGTGGCTACCGAAAGATGCACAATTCGCATGAGTGCTGAGAAGTGGGTATATGTGCTCTTGGCGTACATTGAGAATAGCGGACTTGATGGAGGTAATCGGGGCATTGAAGTGAACCTTGGTTGGCGCACCAGGCATCCTAGCACCGGACAGCTGTGTGTCCTGCGTCTCGTAGAAAGTCCATATCCGCATTTCGCTTGACAAGAGCTTGAATTCGTCGTTGATCAATAATAGAAGAGGATAGTTCACATCAAGTTGGTTCGAAAGCGAAGGTGGAAAGGGATCGGAGAGGCCAAGCGTTTTTTGGATGCTCGGAGCAAAGTGTCGCATCCACAAGTAGCTCGAACCGAGATGAGGAGTTGCTGTCGCGAACACCAGGACAGTTTAGCAAATAACAACACTCTTTTAACCAAGGGAGCGATACGAACCAAAGAAGCTGATCCCATAACAATCATTAAGTATTGAGGCGTACTGCTGGTTTCGACTCGCCTTGGCCATGGCAAATTTTACAACAAGTCCACCTACACCGTGACAAATGAAGAAGAGAGGGCGGGATTTTGTCTATCACGTTGTCAATATCGCTCAGTTGAGAAATGGTGCGCAATACTGACCAGGTTTGCTCTCTCGGCATGTAGGCATCGAAGCAGGTCATCTGCGAGGTCACTGAGTTGCGTATTGTCTTGGAGTGCTGCATGCTGATAGAGCAGAATACGCGCGATCTTCGCCCGCTTCTTGATACCTTGGAGGATCCACGACAACGGGAGCTTGCTCGGGATGGTGTTCATGGCTGGATGTACAAGGCTTGCTTCGGCAATGCCTCTCGAAATGCCACTCAGCTCGGTAGGCGGACTATTATCAAAGCTTGGTCGCAGGTTGTAGTCTCGCGTCCAAGTGCTCAGATAATCTGCCCCTGGGTAAGGTATCGCGACAACACTACCGCAGTCAGCTACGTGACCTCAAATATTTGCGATTGATACTTACTCGACGGTGGTCCCGGTATTTGACCCGCCGCCGACGATTCCTTCCCGGTGAGCAAAGCCAGCCTTTGCCGGCTGTGAGGTTGTGTCGGCTGCAATTGATGCTGCAGTGGATGGCCGGGAGGTTGAGGGAGGACGTAGCTGAGACTTCTTGATAGGAGTCAGAGGAATGGCTCCTGCATTTTCGTGATTTGCAGAGGAAACTGGAGAGCTTGGGTTCAATGCGATCGTGGGGACCGACGGTGCTGGCTGCTGCTCCCTCGCCTCTGGGGCTGGCTGCTCGTTCGAAACCATCTTGACACGACCTCTAGGGATCATTGACCGCCAAGTAAACGGAGGAAAAGGCCGAGGGAGACATGATGCGACCGGCAGCAGGGTTTTAACAGTCAGCTGGCCGTCACCACTCTCCGCGTTGGGGGCTGCGTCCTGTCGATCTCAGCCGCGAACCCCTCGACAACGAGGCTGCGGCTGGGCACCACCTCGAACGCCACATGCACATGGTCACATTGGTCAAGCATGCGCCGGCCAATGGCGAAGAGGGAAGGTACCAATCCTATCGAAGGGCACTTATTGGGCGCAACGGAGTGCCCGCCCGCTCTTATGCAAGGCGTATGCCCGTGCCCAATAATCGGCAGGGGGACCTGGCGGTACGGGTCGCGTGATTTGTTGCAATAAGAGAACAATTGACCAGTCAATTTCACATCCTAGCTGAAGACGCCATCCAGTGCGTGGCTTCTTCTGCTGTCGGCTGAGGTCCTTGCTGCTGTCGCACGAGAGGGGAAGTCCCCCGGATATGTAACCCTGGCCGTTGACCAGTTCTTCCTTGCCCCACGAACTTGGCATCTTGCTAAGGCAGCAGCAGATGATCTGCTTAAATCCGAAGCATGCTGTACATCTACACGAGATGATATCCGCATTGCGTAGATATGAATGACGCAGCTAGCTTGACCAAGTAATGGGCGTCCAGTTGCCGGGCTGCGGCTCGTCACAGAAGGACTTGACTGTCCATCTAACCAGTTGCTTTCGGGTAGCGGGATAGCCCGTGCGGCTCTCAGGAAAAGGTATATTCCTATGCATTAGGGATAGATGAACCTCTGTTAACTATTCTAGATCGCCCATGCCTGAAGTAAGGGATGCCTCTGTGTCGAGACGGTCTAATTGGTGACTCGATCACTGTGGGTCTGGAGCTTTGGTTGGGGTGACTCGGCAGGTGCTGAATTAATGATTAATAATCTTTTGCTGAATCAGTCCCAGCATGCCCACACGCCCTCGCGAAATGCCCGAAGTCGGGACTCTCGATGATGACCTTGACGAACTTCCGCTCCTTGTACTGCCCTCAAAATGGAGACTGCTCAAAGCCCCCGTGTCAAGGATGAACCTCCGCGAAAGCGTCGCGGTAGGCCAAGGAAGAACCGGTCCGATGACGAAACCTTGAATGTGAGTGCAGACCGACACCTTCATCCCTGTGGGGCTCAACATGCTGAATGTGCAAAGGCACGGCGAGAAAGAGGCCGCAAAGCGCAAAAGCTGTATCGAGTTCGCCAGCAGGCTGTCGAAGAAGCCAAGAAGCAAGAACTGAGTGGGCTGGAAAGAACTCTTCGTGATGTGGTCTCAGAGTTCCTGAGCTTTACCAACCATGTTGTGCAGTCCGACTGGGCAAAGCATGATCTGGCACTTATGGATCGCCTGCACCAGTCGACTGATCATATCCTTTCTATGGTTGACACCGAGGCATCAGGATCGTGTTCTTCATTGTCAGCCCTAACAGCCTTGCCAGACGACACCAGCAGTGTCCCTGAACTTGAACACTCCACTCTCGACGCAACAGAATCGGCACCCTTAACAGGGCAGCAAGTGACTGCGGTCACTGAAACCGGGTTGTATTACGGAGACAACTCATTGCTAGAGGTTTCTGCTAGCGATTCAGTCACACAGCCCCCTGTCATCGGAAGAGATCCGGGCCCAGGCTTTCCCAAGTACAAAACCTATCATTCCACCAAGGCAACCATACCAATGACCATCTCTCCATTCCACACGTTCATGACACACGCAATTGATAGACCAAGACTTGACAATCCTCTCAGTCTGGAAATCACCTATCTCGCCATACAGAAAGCCTATCGCTTACTCTCCACGGCGACAAACCTCACAAGCCACCTCGTCTCCCGTGTCTTTGGTTTTGCATTGACGCAACACTCGAGGCAGCAGATACTGAACTACCTGGACTGGTTCTTAGGCCCAGGCTATGCTCACATTGATTTCTTGGCAACCGCGTCCGTTCTCAAATTCACGGATGCTATGGTAGCGCAAAAGCTGATATCGTCTATGGGAGAGGAGGTCTACAATGCCGACAAGGTTGCCCGTTTGCTACGCGAGCGGATTCAGGGGGATGCATGTCAAGACATACTGGATATAAAGGTCGATATCAGCTCAGCAGACACGCCACTGATGGGATACTGGGTACAACCGGCACCGGTATGGGCCATTTCTCCATACCATTCCAATACTATGGCAACGATCCGTGTCTCAAAAGCTCGACTTTTGCAGAGTCTTACGACCGGTGGCTATTGCGTCGGCCCAGGGCCGGCTTTTCTCAGGCGAAACTTTGAGAAAGCCATTTTCGACTCAAAGATTGATACATTCTGTTGAGCCGCAAATTGTACGATGTATTTATTGTGCTGCTGGAAGGCAGCCTGTTAGCATTGGAGATCATAGAGTGTATCGACGTTATCTTCCTCACAGACTCGGGATACGTCACACTAGCTAACAGTGTTCGGTCCCCCATGGAACTACATACTGTCGCAGAACACATGTTTGGAGTATTAAAGTTGTGAAATATTCCCCAATGTTGTAAGGGGAGAAGCTGATTTAAAACAAGGCACAGTCAAGACACAGTCAACATTGTATCCAGATGGTCGACACAAGTTTATTAGGGGAGTCTAATTCTCTCATTAAGGCTGTATTGTATGCAAGCTGCATATTCAGCGAAATCTTTTTGTAAATGCTCTCGTTCAGCTAAGATGATTCAGCGTATCGGTCTAGGAATTCAGACCGACCATTGATGCATCATATACATGTACGACGAGAAGATGCTTATAGAAATGTAAATGTCTTCCTTGTGATCTCTCCCCCGCCTTCACCAATGAGTAGCTGAATTGCTCTGGAGGGAAAGTTCGGGATTTAATCTTCGAGGCTCTCTTGTTCATGATCCAGCTCCTTGTCGATCACAGAGAAAGATGCGTAGCTCATGACGTTGACCTGGATCCCAAAAGATATAGCAGGAATCCAGAACGCCAGGACGCCATTCCACGCCAGGGGGCCACTATAGACAAAGTGAGCCGCACAGGCTGGGATCATCAGAATAGGCGCGATCAGGCTGAACCAGCCAACCCATCGTGGGAAAAGATGTCGAGATGGAGACGGATCTCTGTCTCCAGCATAATCCTGATAGACCGCGAGGGCGACAAGCCACCCCTGGACCGCCAAGGGGGTGAACGGGACAACGATGTATATGATAATGATGTCGTGCAGCATCGATGTCACGGCCGGGCTCCGATCGAGGCGATATGCAGCCTGGCACATAAAGAGCCCCGGAATAAGTACCAGCATGGTCACCGCCATGCTTGCCATATTCCAGGCAGTAACAAGTGTTGGGTTGATGCCAGGAATGCGCTTCAGCTGCTTCGAGACTGCGGAGGCGAAGAACGGGTAGGTGATCCCAGAGAAAACCCACATGGTACCGCATATCTGTATGCCCCTCTCCCACTTTCGGTAATGCTCGAGGACATCGTCAACGCTGGTAGTTGGGGCCAGAATTGGCAAGTAGCCGCCTATTAAGAGTCCACCGAACAGAAGCAAGTCGTTGAAATAGCCGGCGATGATGCACGCTTTGTCAATCTTTCTGGCGAATTGCTTGTCGCCTCGTCGTCCCTTCAGGAGAAGAGGCTGGTTTTCTCTATTCATGGCGCCGGAAAGTTGAATACTGGTGAAAAGACTTAGAAACACTGGGGAAAGACGTGATCAGAAATTTGCATCTAGGACTCGTCCAATTTTGGAAAAGCAAATGGCTGAAGTTCAAATTGAACCTGAGATCTTTGAAAGAGAGTCGATGTTTCGCGGGATCCGGAGCTGAATCGTTCCGAGCCAACAGGAAGCAGACTCTCCAGTCTCCGGGTAGTTTTTTGTTCTCGGAGCCACGAGTGTTGCCCGCATCCCCAGATAACTAGTGCACAGCGTGGAGACGGCCTGGGCATGATTCTTGGGGTAGGAGTTTGGATGTAGTTAGTCTGAGTGATCGAGTTCGGTACTTAAAGGAGCCACAATTCGCTAAAAGGGGTTGGCCCTCTTGGCTCTCTTGGGGGTCTAAGATCTGGGGCAATGGAACATTCTTCCCTGAGAGATAATTGAAAGAAATTCAAGCGATCAACTCAACAGTCATTTCTACATTAGTGAAGAATATCCATTATCTTTGCCAATCCCTGCCTATCACCCTCCACTGTTCCAGCTTTATCCTTGTCAACCCAGCCGACGGTGTAACTGCCTCCAAAGTCGATAATCCAGGCATTGTCATCTCTGTCGATTAGGATGTTCTCGGCTTTCGCGTCGCCCCAGACGATACCTGCTTGGTGGAGCTTCTCTAGTGATGCCGTGATGCTGGCTGCCCAGTGTCTTCTTAGCTGAGCCGAGCTCTGAGCAGCTCTTGCTCCTGACAGCACGCCCTTTGCGTCAATCCAAGTAAACAGCATGCCAAACAAATTGGTTCCGTCTCGGACAACGCCGTGCAGGCGACAGATCCATGCTTCGGGGGGAGGAGGTATATGTGCCATAGCAACCTTCTTGCATGTCATGAGCTCCGCCTTTGCGTGCGTCGCACCGAATGAGAGCTCAAACCGCTTAAAGAAGAAGTAGGTGGTCGGGCTGTTGTTGTAGCCCTCGTCGCCACTACCGTTTATAATCATTACTTTTGTCGGGCGTCTGATCAGAACGTCTTGGGCACGATTGTAACATAACTCGATGTCGTTTGGGTGGTAAGATCGAGTCCACTGGTCTAGGTCCCTCAGGTAGTCGTCATTAAAAATGATCATGGGCTTGGACCAGCCGTGCTCCTGAGTGTTTAGCCGAAGGGGGTGTAATTTCTCGTCGGTGGCCTCGAGGGTACAGACAAAATGCGGAGGAAAGAGGTATTGTGAGAGGGTTGGCCGTCTGCTCGTCGCCGTTCTGGGCGCTAGCTGCGCGATCAGAGGCTGGAAGGGTTTCGACAGCCAATCGCATGCGTCTTCCATGTAGAAATCGTCTTTCTCTTCCTCGCCAGACCGCAGCAGGTCTAGACAATTGAAGTACTGCTCCGTGACCCGGGGAGACCGATGGAAACGGGAAGGAGAGATGTTGCAGTAGAAGGCCCGCCCATTGTTGGTTCGGATGATAATGTCACAGTCGTCTTCGGTTTCGTGTACTTGCCAAAGGGCAACATCATAGTGTGGAGCCTTGGCCATGTCGAGAGTTGTTGCTTCTGTCGTGGATTCGTGCATTTTTGCAGGATTCGAAGAGTCAGAAGACAAGGAGTGTGCGTGTGAGAGACAGACAGAGATGATCAATGGTACAAAGTTCGGGCCGGATTGGAATATATAGCCTTTCTTCCCCAACGTCGCGTGCGTACTTGTTTGCGCCACAAGGCAACGCGTTCTGAGCTCTTCACGCGCCGCGGACTATGTCTGTCAAAGTCAACTTTCTCTCGGACTTTGCGAGGGTTTGCATGGAACCAGAAGCAGCGCCTACCAACAACTTATGTGGTATGAGGGGTTAGCAACTTACTGTTCTACACCGCCTTGGCTGCTGAACGAATCGCCATCTCTCCTCGGGATGAGATGGAGACCATGGCATTACGGCAGAAACTCACCCGTCTCCCCGTCTAGCTAAGCACATCGCAATACTTGCTGATCTTCACCGAAAATATTAGCTCGCCCGGAAATTAACCTGATTGAAAGCTTTCACAGGAAAGGGGATATGGATGGAGATTTAAATATTATATAAACATTCTCATAAACGCACATTCCTATGCAAACTTCTTCTTCCACCAGACCTATTCGATCATGTCTGGAGCGCCGAACTTTGCCTAGACTCCGATAGGCTTAGAGGGGATGACAGTCTCGTATTGGCTCTTGGATCGGATAAAAGGACCATATCTGAATAGAACCCATGGGATGGGCAGCAACAGGAGGGCAACAAAGCCCAGTAAACTGCTTGCCCAGTCAATGCCCAGCTTGTCGTACACTGGCAATCGTTAGAGGCAACCCTGCGCAAAGCTGTGGACAACTCACTTTGAATTGTGAATAGCGGAAATGCTCCTGCAAAACAATATCGAGCGAGACTATTAGCGCTTGCGGCGCTGGCAACAACGCTACCGTGGTATGTGTCCGTGATGTATTGGATCGTGCTCACGAAGACGCAGAGGTTGCCCCAAGAGAAAGGAATCATGGCGGCTGCAGGACTCGCCCAGGAGATGCTCTTGCGAGCTGTCCAAGCAAACCAGAATAGGCCGATGGGAAGACCAATGCTCCCCAACATAGCCGGGTAGAGACGATATTCAGGTGGCACATGGCCTGGCGGATACTCGGCGATTCGCTTGCGGTAGAGAAAGACGTCGCACAGGATCACAGTCGTCAGGCCAAAGATACACCCAATGGCAATGGACAGGAAGACCAAAGCAGACTGTCCCAAGGAGAAGTGGTAGACTCCCTGAAATGTATATGGCACCCCAGCGAAGAAGCTGAAGAGCGTCCCAAACTCCGCCGACACGTAAAGGCAGATGAAGGCAACGATCGGTTCGGTAATGAGCATGTGGACTGGGCGTCCGAATGCCACAATGAAGAGTGCATGAAGCCGTCGTCTGAGAGGAACGGCTGGAGGATCAATATAGGTGCCATTCTTGCGAGCCAAACGGCGTTGGATAATTGGATTGTACGTTTCCCGGCCGAAGGCTGTAGGGACCATCGCCAGGATGGACATGAATATGAGCGTCCACTGAGTCCAGCGCCAACCTTTGCCGATGATGACAAAGGAGCCGATGACAGGTCTGGTCTGATAGTTAGTTTGTTTTGTTAAAGGTATCTCCGTCAACGGTTTACCTACCCCAATGCAGGTCCCAGAAACGGGACCAAAATGAAGAAGGCAGAGACCGGCCCACGGGTTTTGGGACCGAAGGTTTCAGATAGCGTGCCCGGCGCCACGGCCAACACCGGTGCCCAGCAAAACCCAGCCATGAATCTCAGGAAACAAAGTGCCCCAAAGTTATGTGTAAAGCCCACACCCAGCGTGAAGAGGCTGCCCAGCGGCAGGCTTGCTGCATATATGGGGTATCGACCAACGATTTCTGATAGCGGGCCGCCGATGAGAGGGCCGAAGCCGAGCGCAAAGACGTAGAGGGCAACTGGGACGAGGGCCACGGTACTGCCAACGTTGAACTCTTCCATTAGATGTGTTCGAGCCGAGCTGATGATTGATGTTCCAACAGATCTGTATGCGTTAGTCTTGACGTCTCCCCCTTTCTTCCCTGTTCAATTTTAAAAAGAAAAAAGAGTAGCACCCATAAGAATGGAACCTTACGTCAAAAAACCAGCTGATGAAATCATGATGACCTGAAGCGCCTTCTTCCAAGGGGGCCAGTTCAAGGGATTATCTGGGCTGTCCTTCCAAGCTGTAGTTTCTGCAGCGTTTTCAACCACATCTCGCTCGGATATCGTGTCGCCGTCTTCGTTAGGTTTTGAAATCATTTCAAGATCTTCAGGCCTAGTGGGTTCGCCCATTGCTCCCAACTCGCCCCGAGCTTGTGTCGTCGGTGTAATGCTTTCGACATCCGATGCCATTGTCTTCATCAATAATGTTCCATGCAACCGCGTAGAAGCGAAAGAAAGGAACCGCAGAGGGCTTTAATATGCACATAACCACTTATTAGAGGCCGAGCCAGGACCAGATGTTCCACTCCGGGTTGGTTCAATTATGATTACTGATCAGGCGCGAGACCGCTGCCGAGCACAGCACGCCCTGCAGTAGTCAGCCACATCATAACGTATTCCCGAGGTGTTATATAACCCAAAATTGCCAAATAGCGAGGTGCAGCATAATCAAAACAATTCGCATTTGACCCGATACGGTCGTCTCGTCGGCACGAGGATTTGTCAACACAGCAGATGACCCAATCGCATCTCAAATTAGCTGGTGATCGCCCGCGCTCATGGCTCATGATGCTCTTCTCATAGGTATAGAGCGTAAATGTGAAAAGCAAGATGAGAACAATTTGTAAGCCACAACTTCCACCGCCTATTCAGATTACTTTTGGGTAATACTTCCTCCTTGCTGAGCAGTAACACATGTATCTCTCATCTGGCAGACCCCGTCACTCTCAAAGTGGGAGACTCTGGCACACAAAGACCTGGCCTTAGGTCAACGTCTTGACTGCTTGCCCATGTTAAAGACCGCCGTCACATAAGTGCGCGCAGGTATGGAAAGGGCAATGCCATTGGACTGCCCTGCATAATGAATCCAATTCTAAGAGGTTTCTGGCTGGGCGGTCCAGTGTCTGTGATATACCACGACGACCAATAGCTCCGCATCATTCCAAGTCAAATCCCACGATTGAAATCGACTTGGTGTAAGAAGAACAGAGTTGACCGTCCGGGTGGCCGTTGCACACGGGGCCAGATATCGGATCGGGGCTCGCGGGGGCACGTGAGATGCCGAGGTTCCAGAAAGCGGGGCGTCTTGTTGACCTCACCTCTCCGCCTCCACCTATCTTATAACAGCCCCAAGTCGACTTCAAACCTGGAATCCGGCTTCGCTCGGGTTCATTACCCTTGCCCTTGGATTAGCTATACAAATTATACACTCTGCTTCTAATTTCAAATCCCAATTCCTTGGTAAACGACTCATTCCACCAAAAGCGCCGCTCCATTGTTCCCGCCATGGGCCAGAAGAAGATCGAGGCGTACATCGATTGCGGTAAGCACTCATCCGAAGAGACAGAGGGGAGGGACAGCTACATTAGAAGCCTTCAGAATGACACATTACTGAGCTGAGCAACCCAGTCTCCCCTTATAGTTTCTATGCTTTCGTCTATCTCCAGCGCAACAAGCAAGCATTGCAAAGCCTAGGAGTAGAAGTTGAGTAAGTCGACCGAAATCAAGTCAGCGCAATGTTTTTATTTTGTATTATCTAACACTGTTGCTCCCTAGATTCATTCCTGTCTTCCTCGGAGGAATCAACGTTGGCACCGGTCAGTAATTGCACGGTACTGGATGGGTTGTCCACGCACTCTTGCTCACTGTGTCCGGGAGCAGGAAACAAACCACCATGGACCCTTCCAGCAAAAGCCGCCTACGCGCCATATGACACACGTCGTGCTCAAAAGTACTTCGGGGTAAAGTTCGACGTACCGGAGTTCTTCCCAATTCTTTCCCTTTTGGTATGTAGGATCCACCTAGACACCCTGACCTGGCAGTAATCTAACAAGATACGATATGCATAGCCACAACGTTGCCTTACTTTTGTCAAGAAGGAATACCCGGAGAAGTTTGAGGCACTTTACGAGGCATTCCTCCAGACTCTGTGGCTAGAGTCCAAGGATATATCCAAGCCGGAGCAGCTCAGAATAGCTGCTCTCAAGGTCTTCAATGAAGAGCAAGTCGATGTCATCATGAAGGCTGCAGGTAATCCCGAGGTCAAGAAGATGCTAGAGGAGGCCACGCAGCACGCAATGAAGGATCTTGGTGCCTTTGGCTGCCCTTGGTTCTGGGTCCATGATGGGAACGGCAACGAGGAGCCATTCTTCGGGAGCGACAGGTTTCACTTTATGTGGGAGTATTTGGGGCTTCCCCATAGGGACCTGGAGCTCCAGACTCCCAAGCCGACTGGAAAGCTGTAATGTTCGTCAGTCACTGTACTACAATTACTAGAGCAGATTCTCGTGGGCGCCGCACTGTCCAACATCGAAGATGGCCACTGTGTTGATGAGGACCATGGTGAGAAAAGGTTGCCGGCTCTCTGTTGGACCTGTAGACAAAAGTCTCAATTTCTAAATAGATCATCTTGTACTCTGTGGTTTTGCAAAATTGCGACTCTGCTTGCCGGAGTTAGATCCTGACTTGGCTGTCATCAGATAAGTTTGACAATGAGCTTCTCCGGGCCGCCACCTGCCTTGAGCTCATTCAACGCAGCCTGGAGGCCACTGAGTCCGCCCTCAACGACGCGATACTTCCCAGGCACAAGAACGCCTTCCTCCAGCCAAGTCGCAAGCTGGCTCGACTTCCAGTACCCCAGGTCCCGCCGGCGGTCCCAGATCTCGGCGCCGTTGACGTACGCCAGATCGATCCCCTCGTCCACGTCGGGGACCTCCTGGCCGGGCAGCATACTGCACACCCGAGCCTTTTTGCCGCCCTTGGCGGTGTCGCCGCTGCTGGCGCCGACCACCTTGAGCACGCGGGGCAGCGTGTCGGGCGTGGCGACCGTGTCGATGGCGTACGAGATCTCCACGCCGGCGGCCCGCGCCGCGGCGACGAGCTCCTTCTCCGCCGAGGGCGAATGGTAGTCCACCACGGCCGCGGCGCCGAGCGAGCGCAGGTACGCGTGGCTGCGCTCGCTGGCCGTGGCGAAGACCTTGAAGCCCAGGTGGCGCGCGTACTGGACCAGCAGGAAGCCGTTGGACGACGCGGCGCCCCAGATCAGGATGCCCGCGCCCGTGGCTGGGCCGCTGGTGGCGGCGGCGGCGTCGGCGGAGGGCCTGGGCAGGCCCCAGAGGTCGTGGAAGACCATGACGGCGGTGCCGACGTTGGTGCCCAGCGTGGCGCCCTGGGCGTACGTGATCTTGTCCGGGATCCGGGACACGGAGGAGTCGAGGGCGAGGGCGTACTCCTGGAAGGCGCCGCGGTCGTTGTCAAAGGTGCTGAGGCCGTTGGCCGTGCCGACGACGCGGTCGCCTGGCTTCATGCTGGTCACTTGGGAGCCGACCTTGACTACTTCGCCGGAGACATCTGATCACGCGAGTAAGCATACGGTACTGTGTTCTTGTGGTAGGTAATCTAGCAATGCCGTACCTTGTCCGAGCACGAGTGGGAAATGTGGCGTGTAGAGGCCCCAGGCTTGACGTCTCCAGTCCAGCGGGTTGACAGGAATGTAGTGGTTCCGTACGACCACGTCTGTGGGACCAGGGGTCGGGATCTCTCGCTCTTGGATGATAAGGTCGAGATCCTTGCCGGGGAGTATGGCCGCGTGATTTATAGTTTGGGAGGTCATGGTGTTAACTTGTTCGTCTCAGTTCTTGAAGTTGTGTGCTAAAGAAGAATGGTGATGATGGTGAGGAGCTGGACATCAGGTTTTGCAGGACGCAACCAGCGGGCATTATATAGCCAAAGGGATCTGAGGGGCCAGTCCTTGGCAGGCCGTAATTACGGCAAGCTTTACAAATCAAGTATACCTCTAGGTCTTCCCGTGTATCATCAATGTTTCTCTTCCGCCAAAATTGAGTTGCGGTACCGTCGGGACCTCGATCGGGAGCCCCACTTCGGGCCAATTGCCCGGTGCCAAGCCCGGATGATCGAATCGCGAAGCTGGCCGTCGCCCACTACATTCATTTTCCCTCTGAGGTAAGGATAATGAAAGCGTTGGTTTATTTGAATGCGTAAGCTAGTCACGCGCCATGACGGCGGTAACTACCATCCCCAACCCGTCCAGGGCGGCATACCACTTGGCCAACGCATCGTTCCGAGCCTCCAAGGACATGGCTGCGGACACGCCTGTCTGAGAGCCTTTCAAGGCCATTGCCAGATCTCCAATGGCAGTAAATGGAGGGGTCGGCGACACCGCCTCCGCATTTGCCACGTCCTGATCTCCCTGTGTAGACCATAAGACATTGGTGCTGGGTATTGGGTTTCCATCGGGCCTTGGAAAGCCTTGGTCGGCTTGGTCACCAAGTGCACGAGCTACTAGCCAGCAGACAAGTGTTATCCTGATCGTTGTGTCAGGGTTTTGTTCGGAAGCATTTCCGGGAACCGTCGCTTACCTCCATCGTGTCTCCTCCGAGATCCATTGGTGCCAAGTTGGCGGTCTATCACGAGCATGACATGGGGTGAATTGAGCAGGGAAGAAACCCTTCAGGCGATCACCTAGTTCCTACAATATATCGACTTAGCTCCCAAAAGTTCATGGCCGGGACAACACCTCGTTGAGTGAGGTTTAGTATGCCACAGGAGATGGTAAAACGCACGTTCATCACTTTGAAGGGGGAGCGATTCTCCATGAGATGGTCGCGGCCAAGGCTCGTCAACCGCATGATGGTGTAAATGATCATGGCCTGCATAGCAGCTAGGCTCTCCCCTGGAGTATATGAATGCACCTTCGTTGGGAGCCTTTGTCAGAAATGAACCTCTAAATGTAGTTCGGTTGAAGCTTACAGTCTCCTGTATATGCCGCTCTTCACTCGCAATAGTCCGCCACAGAAACTCCTCTGTATTGGCCGTGCGGGAAGCAAATGCATGAGCAATGCCAATACAGGCAGCCCTTGGCTTGAGAGGATTGAAGGGTTTAGCCGAGCCATCAGTGAGCATTGGTATGCTTTCTCGGCCATCAAAGTGCAGTCCACAGGCGATTGGATGCACAAAAGGCGGCAAGTTGTCAGGCTGTGTCATCATGTACGGGTATGAGCCGATGACCGAGATAACAAGGCGCCGGCATTCGTCTGGTTCGGTATCCAAAAGATTCGCCTCTGGTGGTGACAGCATGAAGTGCAGTGAGATTGGTGATAGACCTTGACCAAATTCGGCGAACGTTGGCTGTAAAAGATTGCCACAGGCTGCAGGCAATAACCCTCCGTCAAAGCAAGAATAGTTCGACGTGGGATTCAGAACCAGGTCGTCAGGTGCAACGGTGGAAGTTGACAAGATCGAGGCTAAATCAACCACTCCTCCACTTACCTCTAGAGGGTCATGGGTGTTTATACTGTGTGCTCGCGCTGAAGAACCGTGAGGTTTGCTGTACGAGCAGATCTCGTTCCGGCTGACACACCGCGAACAAGGCCATTTGGAGTCGCACTTTGCTTTAGTGCGACTACAAAGTCTGCAAGCCTTGCTTCGAACAGGTCGTCCAATGGCAGCTCTCCGGCGGCAGTAGCGCATGTGTCGGTTGAACGCAGTTTCTAGATATCCATTGCCTGTTAGGCCCGGGTTGTGGCCCTCCATCAGGGGGGAGGGAGAGGACCGATGTTGAACATACCCTCATCAAAGGCTTTGTCGCATCTGGAACATACATACGGCCTATTTGGAGGATTCAAAGAGTCATACAATGCGAAAGTAGGATCCATCTTTGCGTTTTTTTCTTCCCTGCTCCAAGGTGAGGAGGCTCAACGGTTGATCTTAGGTGAGAAGTTGACATCTAGTTCTGAATTGACGACCGCATTACTAATTCCGCCCAGACTCACAAAGTGGAGCAGTGGCATATTTCCGTTAATTCCACCGCCAGATCCAACCCGTCCATCATTCACAATAAATGGAAATTGAGAGTCTACGGGCAGTTTCAAGTGAGTAGTGGCAGCCTGCGGGAGAGGGAAAGAAACGGTGGGACAGCGTGGGATGTATATGACCTAGGAAAACATACATCTTCTTTCCATTGTTTCTACTGTTAATCTTTTTCTGACTCGCGCGCCTCTTTTATGACGGAATCACAAAAGCTTGAGCACAACCTTCTCCGAGCTCACCCCCTCGGCCAGCGAGTCCATCGCCTTTTGCGCATTCTGCAACCCGCCCTCGAAGAGCCTCACCTTGAGTGGCTTTACCTTCCCCTCCTCCAGCCAGGCGGTCAGCGTCCCGCCGTTGAGCCACGCCGCCAGCTCACTGCGGTATTCCCACAGGACCTTGGCGGTGATGTGGTGGTGCTCCATGCCCCGCGGCGGCTGCGGCACGCTGTCGGGCCAGGGAAGCGTGTGGGCGATGATCTTGGCGCCGCTGCCGGGGGTCTTGCTCAGCACCTCGACGACCTGAGGGAGAGTGTCGGGCATCGAGATGGCGTCGATGGCGAGGTCGAGTGGCTTGCCAAGCTTCTCGGCCGCGGCGATCAGGTCGGTGACCGCGGTAGGCGAACTGTAGTCGAAGACGGCCGAGGCACCCAGGGCGCGCAGGCTGTCGTGGTGGCGCGGGCTCGCGGTGGTGATGACAGGGAGGCCGGACAGGCGGGCGAGCTCGATGGCGTACTTGCCGACGGACGAGGCTCCTCCCCAGACGAGAACGGCGCTGTCAGTCGCGGCTGGGCCAGAGCCGGGCTTGCGGACCTTCAGGACGTCGTCATAGGCGGTGATGGCGGTGCTGATGCCGCAGACGACAGTGACGGCGTCGACAAACTCGAGAGAGTCGGGGATCTTGGAGGTGTTGATGGCTGGGGTGATGGTGTACTGCTGGAAGGCGGCGTGGTCGTTGTTGCCGGTCACCACGGCCGGGGTGAAAGCGATGACGCGGTCGCCGGGCTTAAAGTTGGACACGCCGGGACCGACTTCGACCACGACTCCGGTAAGATCTGCAGGGTGAGTTGTTAGTGGCCGGAGGTCGCTGTATCTGTGTGTGTGTGTTTCTGAAACATACCTTGTCCGAGAACGACGGGGTACGAGTCCATGAAAAGACCCCAGTCCACGCGCCTATTGTCGAGGGGGTTCAGGGCAATTGCATGGTTCTGAATGAGGATCTCGCCCTCTGCTGGCGTTGGGGTCTTGCGTTCCTGGATGACGAGTTTGGAATGTGCCTTTGGCACGATAGCTGCGAGATGAGTGCTAGGCTTGCTCATTTTGTATGGCGTTGTGAAGATACCTTGTACGAGTCTTGGATTGTGCTGTGGTAAAAGATATGGAGTCTGCTATTGGTGCTGATGCTTTTGATGTTGGTGCCCTTCCTTGATCCTCACCTTTGGGTTCCAATAAGACTCTTATATACAAATGTTTGAGATACCACAAACTCTCCAACCCATCTGAAACTCGGTGAAGAGTACGCAATCAGATCATCAAGCGCCGAACCTCTTCTACACAAAGCGTGATGCCATTGAGGTTTACGTAGGCAGTGTTGGTCAAGCCAACCAATCAGGCATGAGGCAGCTCTGGAGACGGTGAGAATTATGGGCCGAGACGTCGATTCATCCGGACCACGCTGAAAAATCCAGGCTTACCAACCGAAAACGCGAAGCAGCGAGGCGGGGCCCCGGTGACAGGCGCAGGAAGGAAGTGCCACAGTCTCTGCCAAAAACCAAGCTGGCATGAGCATCGGACTTAGTTGGCGTTTGTCTCGTTTTCATCCGTCAAAGTTCCCTGTGCAGTCTGGGTAAGGCATCCTTCAAGACGTCATGTGAGCTCCCCCATTGATATTCACACCCTTAAACTCGTCAAAAGCATCTAAAGAAATATCCATCTAATCCAAGCTGTGGTCCAACTCCCTCCGCCTGCTACCCTTGCTTGGCCATCCACTCCTCCGTCACGGTGCGGTAGTCCCCCGCCCTGTACGGGCTGTACCACTCGGCCAGGAAGCCCTTCTTGCGGTGCGGCTCCAGCCCGAGGTCCAGCTGCAGCTGGTCCAGGTACGGCACCGCGTCGAATATGAAGCTCGGCGCCTTGCTGCCCCAGTCCGTCGGGTACCGCCACCGCCCGAACCGGTTCACCAGCACCGTCTCGTACCGCAGGCGCTCCAGCTCCGCCGACCCCGACCCCGACGCCGCCACGCGCGCGGCCGGGTCCCGCTCCCGCACGAGCCTGCCCTGGAAGTAGGCGCTGACCCACAGGCCCTGCAGGTGCGCCGTCAGCGTGTTGCTAAAGTTGGCCACGACGCCGACGAAGGCGACGTCGCGGCGCGCGAGGAACTTGGGGTGCGCGGGCACCATGAACCGGTGCAGCATCCAGGGCGTGCGCGGCCGGCACGGGTCGCCCGCCTCGTCGCCGCCGCTGTCGATGCCCTTCTGCGCCGTCAGCGGCACGTAGCCCTTGTTCCAGACGGGCTGGTCGCGCAGGCGCGGGAAGCGCGAGAGGATCTCCTCGTCGGCGCGGTCGATCAGGTCCCATCTGCTCGCTAGGTCGCTGTCGTGGTCGTGGTCGTCGCCACCGCTCTGCGCCGGAGCCTCCTCGCGGGCTACGGGCTGGTGCGGCATGCCGAGCTGTGCCTCTAGGCTGCCGGCGCCGCCGAAAGCGATGGGCGGCACGTGCTTCCAGCCCGTGTTGGCGACGAGGGCGTCCGACTCGAGCTCCGTGCCGTCGGCGAGGTGCACCTTGCCCGGGCTGAGGTGGTCGATCTCGCCGACGTGGACCTTGACGAGGTCGCCCTTGCGCACCAGCTCCAGGAAGTCCATCTCGTAGTTGAAGATGCTGAAGCTCGTGCCGACCCACATGGCGGGGATCCACGGCTTGAGCTTGGCCGTCTCGGGGTGCTTGTCAAAGCCGCAGAGCGCGAGCGTGTCGCTGCTGAGGATCTTCCAGTACGTGTCCGTGATGAAGCGCCCGACCGCAGTGCCGTGCAAGAAGCGCCGGACGGCGCCGTAGCCGTCTGAGTCGCCCCAGATGCAGGGCGACAGCCACGACAGCATCCGAGTGTCTAGATTCGGTGGCCGTGTCGGTCAGTATCACAGCATGGGATGCATGCCCCCCCCCTAGACAGGGTCTTTCACGTGGTGCAAGGCGAGATCTTACTTGCAAGTTCCTCGATCCACCTCTTCAGTGGTGTCACGTACGACGGCGCGATCCAACACGGACCATGCCCGGATGCTACCAGTCCATCAAAACCAGTCAGCCGAGATTCTTATCACTTCAAAGGCCGACAGTATCAATAACACGTCAAGCAACAACCTACAGCGGATGATCCAGTCCACCTCCACCCCAGCCTGGGTGTACGCAAACACCGCATCGTACGCAAACTTGGTCGCACCAAAGACCGTCACCCTCCGGGCCGTCTCCAGCGTGTCCTTGTTCTGCAGAAAGTGCTTGCTGTGAAAGATCCTGCCGCCGTACTCCTCCTGGCCCTGGAAATGCGGCAGGAAAGCCTCGGACGTCAGGCCCGTGGCCATGATGAGCCTACGCGCGCGGACCTCGTAATTGCGCCCGCTCCCCGGCGAGACGGCCAGGCGCCAGCCGCCGCCCTCGTGCTCGTCCAGGTAGTCGGCGCGCACGACCTTGGTGCCGAGCCGGACGAACGGGTCGACGCCAAAGTGCACGGCGTAGGCCTTGAGGTACCTGTTGACCACGGCGCCGGGGATGTAGCGACCCGGTGCCACGCCGAAGGACGCCTCGTCCATGGGGAAGTCCGGGAACTCGTAGGTGCCGACGAGGTTGTTGCTCCGGAGGCCCGGGTACAGGCGCTCGTCGGCCCAGGTGCCGCCGATGGACGACTGCGAGTCGAAGACGGCGAGCCTGGCGCCCGGCTGCGTGCAGTGGAACTGCTTTGCTGCGGCGATGCCGTACCAGCCTTTGGTTCCGCGAAGTGGCTGGTGTCAGCGGCACGAGCAAGGATGGAACGTTTTCATGGTGTTGGACAACGAGACTGGACATACCGGCGCCGATTACGACGCAGTCAAACTCCTCCATCGTCAAGGTTTCCTCCTACTCCGTACGTGATGTACTGGTGTGCACTGGGAAGGACTCGCGGAAATGATATTAATGCCCAGCTCCTCGTTCGTAGGTGAAATAAAAGAAGCCCAATGCTACCCTGTCCAATACCTGCTCCAAAGCAAAGGACTTAAAGCAACAGACGACAAGAGAAAATAAGCCAACACCGCGAATGACGGGATTAAAGTAGGGGACTGCGAAAGAAAGCTGCAGAGAGCACAGCCGACATCCCATTGGCATGGTCTGGACCAACACCCATGTTTAAAAACCCTTGATACCGCCTGGCGGCCGGCCTGTACTGTACTACTTTAGCTTTGAGCTGGACTTCACTGTCACTCGCTCATCGCAGAGAGCCAAGACCAGGAAACAGGCATCCTGGCTGAGTCAGAATCATAAGTATTTGATCCTTCTATTGATTGGCGGCCGACCTGCATCTTCCTCGTGCAGCACAACGAGCGTCAACCCAGCTGTACGGTTTGTATTACGAGAGCCAGTCCCCGCTAGACCAGTCGAATGGCAGACAGGCCATGTATTTACCGTGATCTGTCTGCAACGTGATAAACAGACTGCCGAAGCTGCCCATTGAACAGCCCAGCTGGGCAAGGCAGCGAAGCACCTCTGGAGGAAGATGCCTGTCAGCTGTGGTGGCTGACTGCATGCAGCAATTTCAATGGACCAGTCTGGGGGCGTCAAAGGCCCGAAAAGCGTTGCAGCAACAGCGGGGACACTACGGTGGGAAACTGTGGAAATTCGCCCTGGATCCCAAGAGATCGCCGCCTCTTGCAATCAGGTTGGTCGGGTCATCCTGAGCCTCTGCGCATGCGGAAATATTGGTCATGGATTGGAGAACTTTTGTCTTATTTTGCTGCACAGAATCTAGTGTAGGCAGTTTTATTCCTCGTTCGATTCTGCATCATGGCTCGCTCCTCAAAAAATCCAGCTTCGGTCCCTCTCCCGTTTTACATTCTGTGGACACACGAGCATTAGCATTATTCATCTTGCATCTACTGTCACAGGGTCTGTCAAAAACTTACCTCTCAACAGGCGTCAAGCCGAGCAGGCGCATGCCGTTCGACAGGACGATCCGCGCGGCGTCGTAGAGCGCCAGGCGAGCCTTCATCAGCTCCTTCTCGCTGCCCACGATGCGCAGGTGGTCGTAACTGCTGCTGACGACGTGCGTCAGCCTGAACAGGTAGGTCAGCACCGTGGTGGGCTCGAGCGTCTTGAGCGTGTTCTGGAGGACGTCGGGCCACTGCGACAGGTATCGCAGGACGTTGAGGGCGTGCTCCTCCGTCAGCAGCGACAGGTCGGCGCTCGCCAGGTCCTCCTCGGTCAGGCCGGCCTTTCGCTTGATCGAGCAGATACGGGTGTGGGCGTACTGCAGGTACGGGCCCGTGTCGCCCTCAAAGGACGTCATGGCCTCCATGTTGAACGTGTAGTTGTTGATGCGCTTGCCCCTCATGTCCTGGACCATGACGCTGCTGATGCCCAGGATGTCGGCCGTGGCCTGGGGGTTCTCGACCTGAGCGTACTTGTCCTCGTTCTTCTTCATGGTCTCGTGCATGAAGTCAGCAGCATCTCTCAGGATATCATCCAGGAACTTGACCGTGCCCTTTCGCGTGCTCATGCCCAAGACCAGACCGAAGCTGATGTGCTGGCACCTGTCGGCGATGTCCTTGTGGCCGACCAGCTCGATGATCTTGAAGAGCTGTCGCAGGTGGAGCTCCTGCGCACTGGCAACGACATAGATCATCTTGTCGAACTTGTACTCCTCGTAGCGGCCCAGAAGCTCGCTGATATCTCGAGTAAGGTACAGGGCAGTTCCATCGCGCTTCCTGACAACAGCCGTGTCGAGGCGCTTGCCCTCTTTGCCAGGTACGATCGAGGGGAAATGAACGATCACGGCGCCATTGTCTTCCTTGGATACGCCTTTCTCGGCCATGAGCTTCGACGTCTTGTCCATCGCCTCCTCAGGAACTTGGCTCTCGCCACTGTAGCGGTCGTACTTGATGTTGAGGCGGGCATAGGTGGCCTGGTATCGAACAATGCTGATGTCCCTGAATCTCTTCCACAGCGCCAGCGCAGCCTCGTCACGGTCGGTCATCTTCTTGAAGTATCGTCGAGCTTGCTCGTCAAGGGAGTTGGCCTCGAGCTCGGAGACGTCCTTGCCCTCCTTCTTTTGCTCCTCAATAGCCTTGTTCTGGTCTTCCTTCTCGGAGTTGATTCGAACATACAGCCGGAAGAGGTGGTCGATGGGGTCCTTCTGCAGCGCCTCCTCGTCTCCGTACCGCTCAAAGGCGAGGGCCAAGAGGCCATACTGTTTACCCCAGTCGCCGAGGTAGTTCATCCGGATGACTTCCCAGCCGGCGCCTTCGTAGAGATTTGACAGGAAACCACCAATGATTGTTGATCGTAGGTGACCAGCGTGGAAGGGCTTGGCAATGTTGGGAGAGCTGAACTCGACAATCATTCGCTTCTTGCCCTTGCTCGGGTCTTTGGGGTCCCTGAGACCGTTGAACTTGTTGCGACCGAACTCTTCGCCGAGCCCTCGGATCATGGGGATGATGGACTTCATGGCGGGCTCGCCTTTGATGAAAAATGACAAAAAGTAGTTGGTGACGCTAGGCTTGTAGACGAGAGGGTCGTTATCGGGAAACTTCTCGGCCAGCTCTTGCGCGAGGACGTCAGGCTTGGTACCCTTGACCCTGAGCGCGGGTGTGGCCACCGAGAAGTCGCCCTTGTCGAGCGACTGTGTCCAGCCGACGGCCGGGTAGACAATCTCAGGGGCGATGCCTGAGATGCTGCTGATTACATTGCTGATGTGGGCTCTGTAGAGGTCGAGGGGGTTGATCTCGGGGTGGGAGGCGGGGTACTTGGCCGTGACAGCGTCGAGGGACAGCCCGTCGACCTGCTTGGCCAGCTCTTCCACTCCTCCTTGGGCACCCATTGTCGCGAGTGAACGTGCTTGTACGTGTATACGAGAGCGGAGCTTCTTATAGGGAGGTGTCGAGGTCGAGATCGCGACGCGCCCGGCGGCGGAAGTGGCGTGGAAGGAGGGGTTGGTGCGAAGGAAGGAGAAGCTTGCGGGGAAAAGACGTCGAGTCTGGCTCGGGATTCGAGATCGAAGAGAAGTAGTGGCGGAAAAAAGAGAGGGGAAGGCAACCTTCATGAAGGCAGGAAGCCGGAGTAGAAGTGGTGAGTCAGTCTTGTGCCAAGCTCTTTGTCTGCGGCTCGTTGTCTGCGCCCAAGTTCGAAGTGTCAGAAGCACTTTTTTGGCCGTGACTCAAAATTTCAGGGTCAACAACAGGACTCGCCGTCAAAATGTGGGGCACGAAATTCAGGTACATGTACTTTCAGACTCACACATCCCCCACGTTAATCCAAGTACCTCCTCTCAAGGCACTTTTCTGTCCAGCAATATCACACACCTGCATGTAAATCGGACTTTGGGGTACGGTCAAATGGATTACTGTCAGACAGGCTAGACATAAAAGGTATCCGGTACTAAAGGCTACAAGGATATTCTCCTTTTGGTCTGACAATTACAGAGAACAAGACTATTGTGTGTGATTGAGCGACAGAAGCAAAGAAAGTTCGAGTTTGATCTTACCAGAACCAACAAAGCTCCTGGTCGCAAAAGAACACGAGATTCTCGAGATAGGCATGGGGAAGAGGCCATCGTGACAGAACACTCAAAGAGTCTATCAAGGCTGTCTTTAAAGACCGAACTCTATGCCCGCATATCTTGCTGAATCAGGTGTTGATTAGTAATGGGCGGAAACACCATCCCACGCCAGCAACGGGTTGCCCAATTCAATGTTCCTGCACAAGAACAAACCGATCAATACAGATAACCATGGAGTCAGGCCCATCCCGCAAACGCTTACGGCGGAGCACCCGAAGCTGCTACCAATGTAGGGGGCTCTATCTCAACTCAGATGCTTATCAAAACTAATATTCCTGTCCAGGTCGTGTGCGCAAGGTCAAGTGCCAGCTCACTGACGAGGTTGTGCAGACTTGCTCGGAATGTCTTAAAACCGGAGCAAAATGCAGCCTTCGAGCCCCAAGGGATGAGATTCGCAGTGAGAACTCTGCTGCTGAAAATGGCTTGCAACACCATGAGTCGAGGTTGGAGCGCATCGAGTCGCTCCTGCAGAGACTTGTTGAAGCACAAGAACAGACACGGCCACCGGAACGCCCGTGTCAAGAGGACCTCTCAATCCCTATAACTCTATGGGATGATTTTGTAAGTGACACAAATGTAATCAGCACACAAATGCAACCTCGAAATTAACACAGTCCACTTGTCAGACGACACGCCAAGGGACTTGCCCAATAGTCGATGCTCCGGGGTGGCCAAGTTCTCAACCGGATGATCTCTCAGAGACAAAGCAGTCACTTCTGGCACTTTTGCCGACTACAGAGGAAGCATTAGCCATAGTGGCAAGTAGCACTGGCTTGCGTTGGGGCGCCGAAAACCCTCCTGGAAGCGTTTTGAACACGAGCGATGCAGTCCAGCTGCTCGAATCTTCTACCATTGCCAGGAGCAGCGCGATCCATATTGCCAAAGTGTTGCTCCTGTTTGCGCTGTATATGCAACAACTTCCGCCAAATTCCGACTCTCACTCTGGGGACTTGAAAGACATCGAATCATCAATAGCGCTAATCGTGGAACGCGTCAAGCTATTCATCCTGACTCACGAAGACGAGGCTTGCTCCATAGAAGGTCTAGAGTGCTTGGTTCTTCTAGCCAATATTCAACTCAATGACTGCGCTACTAGGGAAGCGTGGAGAACGTTCCGGACTATCCAGGACCTTGGCAGGTTGGAGGGCATTCACAAGAGCTTCTCCCTCTCGGCACGTAATTCATCCTCTATTGAGGTGGCACTCCGACGACGAATCTGGTTATCAGCCGTGTGTGGCGACTGCTGGTGCAGTCTCTGCCTCGGTCTGGAGCCTGGGCTTGGTATTGCGCCGTTTGGCGTGGAAGACGAAGCGTGGATCGATCCGTTTGCAGACTTTGACGCCAACGTCCAACGACGGATTAGCCTGATCCTCGCCCGAGTCGCGCAAAGAAATGCCATCGGTCTATACGGTGACATCAAAGTCCTGCAAGAGATAGACGAATCGTTGGATAGACTGCAAGCTTGGCTGCCTTCTTCTTGGTGGCAAGCCCCGTCTTTCTCCAACGATCGACCTCTCGACTCGGCTTCGGAGCCCAACCGGCTGATATGCCAGCTATGGTTTCACCTAACTCGGCTCTACGCTCACATGCCCATTGCCTTTGAAGACGGGAGCATTCGGTCAGAACGAAGTCTCGAGATATGCATCGAAGCAACAAGATTCATAATCACCCGGTATCTCGGATTACGGCATGCTCACGATCAACTCTCGCGGTGCAAGGGCGTGGAGCACCTGGTATTCTTGGCCGCCTTGGTGCTGTTGCTTGGTAAGGTGCAGTTCCGGCAACATAAATTGCCATCAATATCTTCTACATACGATTCAGATCGGGTCATACTAGAGCAGGTCATTGAAACGTTCGGTGCTCTCTCCAAGAAAAGTATTGGTGGCTGCATTTCAACACAGAGTGCCAACATCCTCTCCGATCTGATCGAACTTGATGACAGCAGCCTAGAAGGAGGTACAGGCTCAACCCATGTCGTCAACCTTAGCAGGGATGCTTGCTTGGATGCCAAAACGAGAAGGCGCGGTATGGAAGATATCATTGTTTCGTCTATCCTGCCGTCCCTGGGCGCAGAAAGCCCAGCCTCTCGGCTTGTTCACTCGCTTCTTGGAGATGTCAGTAGATTATCACAAGAACTGAAAGCTAGCCAAGCTTATGCTATTTGTCAAGCAACGAATTTGTCAAACGGCACAGTAAATCCTACAGCACTACCGAAAATCTAGGGTTAATGCACGAGTGATACCACATGCATCTTTGTGTCTATATCCAGTCCACACTCGTGCTAAGGGATGTGTGCCAGATTATATGAATTAGTCAAGATCCCCTGCATGACTTAATTAACCGGGAGTGAGGGTTAAAAAATTGTACCGTGGGACGATATTCATGACAGAACATTGTTTCAGCTTCTTTCAATGCTCCCCCTGCTGTTTCAATAACTCCCTCCCTCTGCTAGCTATATGCCCGTTCTCAGCGACGACGTCTTCCCCTCTGCCATCGACGGCGAGAAACGTCATGAAGGCGGCCAATTCGTCGATCCGGACACCCAAGAGGGAGGCTATCATGTCAGTCCCCCAGCTCCGTGGAACGTCGGGGGTAAGGCGCGGACCTCCGCCGACCGGACCCGGCTTGACAACGAAGCTCTTCCAAATATCGGGTTGGTTCGTTGCATATTCGAGTACCTTGGCATCGGCCAAACCCTGCACCACTTGTCAAACGTTGCCCAGCCGACATATGCATGACTTCTTGCCTACCTTGAGCTTTCTGGCATCTTCGCCCCACCACAGCCTCTGTCCTTGATCCGAGCGTGCCCATTTCCCGCTCAGCTGGACGTATCTGAATGGAGGACGTGCTGTCATACTCTGTAGCACGCGTCCCATGCTCTCCACGAACGCCAAAGGATAGTCCAAGTCGGCGCTGCGGTCGGCGTTGTATGATCCCATGTTCCTGTATATGACCACGAAATAAGTGTCAATGCCCCGTACAGTGGTCTCAAGATCGCTTGCTTCACAGACCATATCATTCCAGCAGCGTCAGCGTGTTCCCGGAGTATGTGCTGAGGCCACGCTGCAAAATCGTCTAGCACAATAACCTCTAGCTTCTGGTCTCGAGTTGCTTCGCCTGGGAGTTCTCGACGCACGAACGCAACGACCTTTGATACCTCCGAGTGTGCTAGGCAATGCTTGAGCACCTCAGCTCCAATCATTCCGCTTGCCCCAACGATGAGGAGCTTCATCGTGGCGATATGCTGATGAAAATAACAATTGTTCTTGAATGAGGTATATTTAACAGGATATTAAGAGCCTGATGAGACTTGGAATAAATTTTCAGGTTACTATTTGTTTGGTTGAAGGCATTTATTGGATGTGCTGTTGTCGGCCGAGTCGGCCGAGAGGTTCAACGCGATGACCAAGCAACGATGGATTCGATGACTACCCCTCCACCAAAAGGCTTCGGGTCTGATGGCCTATCCCACTACCGTAACCTTCTCTTTGGAATCCTCCGGCGAGGTGATTAGACGGCCCGTACTCCAGCACGTCTGGTCCATCTTCCTAGGGGCAGTAGCCTCGGCGTTGATACGCCCCACGTTCAAACTGGGCTGTCAAGTGAGGGTCAGATTAGTTGACAGACTGCTAACACAATTACTTGTCTACCCATCAAGCCCATCAGATTTAGGTAGTGGGATAGCCCTTCCGAGTTTCAGGGCAAGGATGTGACAAGGATATTGGTTGTTAAGATTGAGGTAACTCCTGATGAACATTTTGTTAACAATTCAGACGCCCACTTGGCTGTCAAACAATATTTAGCAGGGCGGTAATAGCCAAGACTTTCACTCTGTCAGATCTGCCATAATTCTGATTGACACCTTTAGGAAGAGCAGAGAGTACAGTGTCAGTACACGACCATGTCAGATCAATAATCTCCCGGCACCCGTCGGGCCCGACGTATTAGATGCGAAATGGCCACGGACGGCTAGCTGCTTCGGCCTCTCCGTGCATCAGGCGCAACAGCTGATCATTGAACTGTGAGGCACATCCAAAGCTAACTACGGCAGACGGGAGCTGACGATGATGGTGGGTCATCCTTGTTATTGTGGCTGGAGTACCCAGGACACATTTTCCAGCTGTGCACAAACCACAAGGAAATCCCATCACGTTCACCACTCCCTGCAGGAGTCCAGGGTCTTACATTTGCGATTACTAACTGGAACTGACGCAATACTTTTGTAGACTGGTTATCTGTCGGCATCATTGAGTCGATCTTGTGCCCAAGGTCCGGCCCGGCCAGTTCGGAGTCGGTAGACAAGAAGTCAGGGCAGCCAGTCGGATCCGTGCCGATTGTTGATGCAGCCTTTTCGCACATTGCGTGTGCTCTTTGCTTTTTGTGCCCCTATCAGCCCCTCCTTCTTCAACCCTGGTCGATGTTTGCTGCACCATCCCCAAACCAGACACTCCTGCTGGTCGCACGGCAGTCATGGCCCGTCTCTTCCTTTTCTTTGCTCGCCCTGCGCGCGTTTTTCTCTGCATGGACTTGGACACAGCTTTTCTCTCTTTCACCTCTAGTCGTCTACCCTTCAGGCTCATTAGGTCTGGTTCTCTCGATTCCACATGGCGGCGTGGGACATAGACGAGGAGGTGCAGCGAGCCATCGAGCTGTTGTCTCAGAGGAAGAAGCTGAGAAAACAGGCCGTGGATGACCTGGATTCGGAACTAGAGGCCCTTGTAGACACGGAGCAGAATCTCAACCGTGATATCAAGGAGCGATCCGAACGCATACAGAAACTCGCCGGCCTCTTTCAAACGGACCCCGAGAGCCAGATGCAGGACCTGGACAGCATCGGGGCCCTCGTCGCGGAAATCAAGTCTCTCCGGATTGAGAGAGAGCGCTTGCTGCAGAAGATAAAGCTGCGGGAGCAGCAGAGAGAGGAGCAGAAGATATCGTGGGAAGCCTTTCAGGCGAGGCTTCACAAACTGGGTGGCACCGCGTCCAGTGCGCCGTCGATGCTGCCGCTCCCTTCGATCGAGCAGACCAGCGCCTCACTTCCCGAGAGTGCACAACGCCAGGAGCCAGGTGGTGACAAGGACGAAGACGAAGAGGACGAGGAAGATGAGGAGGATGAGGAAGATGAAGAGGACGAGGAGGAGATCGTCCCCGAGAGGATGACACTGCGATCTCGTGCTGAGGCTGCTCCGAAAACGCCTCCACTTGCGACCCGGCTAAGAAAGGTAATTCACTGCCAGGTCTAGTAACGCTACTTGTTCAACGCTGACATCTCAACATAGAGACACCAAGACCACCAAAACCTTTCACCAGAGCAGGCAAAGCGAGCCAGAAAGACTACCGACACGCAGGAGGCATTGGCACGAGACAACCCGAGACGAAAGACGTCCACAATCGAATTCGACGACCTCTATCAAGGCAAAGACAAGCACAAGATCGTCGAATATGAGGGAGATTGGTATATTCTCTATTGTCAAGAGCATCAGAAGTTGTTTCAATGCCAGCGTCCCATAAAAGGGGCCATCCGGCATGGAGGTACCCTCTTGCACGGCGAGAAAGTCTGGAATGCTGCACAGGCTATTGCCGAGTTTGGCATCCGCGTCCTCAACTGCAGCGCGGCCAAGAGAGAGAAGAATAACACTGCCTTTTTTTCTTGCTATACCCGAGACCCAAAGAAACTGAACACTCCTGTCTCACAGACAGACGAGGGGACGTCTAACGAGGTGACACACACGATGATCAACGCCGCGGTCAGACAATCTCCGAGGACTGCCGCCCCTGCTACGGGAGTGACGGATCCCGCGGCTGGCGAGCTTTACCTCGGACGCCGAGATGGTGTCTGGCATGCCATAGTTCTCCTCTCCCCTGCCGGTGACTTTTCCAAGCTTGGCTTCCTCGGTTCAATCTGGGACACAATCTTGGGACAGAACGCGTTGCCCGCCTGCTACGATTATGACAAGTCAAGTCGGGAGATCCGGGGCTGGTCCAAGGACTTTGCGGACGGTATGCCCATGGCTCGTTGGCGAGAGTATCCTGCTCTGCTCTTCTTCGATGATCAGATGATTCCAAGCAGGCCAGTCTCAGAGCTTCTCCCAATCCCAGCCTCATCTGTCATGGCTTGGCTCTTTGGTGAGAATATCGCACCTTTTGGCAGATCTGCTCCGGGGACCGGGGAGCCGTGTCAAGGCTACAAGGCCGCCGTTGACTACAGATACAGGATGGAACGCATCCAGCAGCAAAAGCAGTCAGTCAAGACGTGCCAAGCCGAGCAAAACGAGGAGTCGGACTCCGACTCAGTCCAAGCATCTATCGAGGTCATCGGGTCAGATGATTCTGGCGATGAGACATCTGATGGTTCTTCAGCTGGAACGGTCGAGGAATCTGCGGACGATCGCGCCACCTCGGTGTTCGGTGCCGAGTCCTGGTCCGACGCTGAATATGTACCTGATGCCGATCACCGTCAAGACCAGGGTCTCAGCTACGACGATGACATTGTTCCCGACGGCAGAAGCACTCCTGACGACAACCTGCCTTTGGAGATCTCACTGGAACAGAGAGCAAGTGGCCGCTCTAACAGTGAGGTGAACCAGGACGGCGAAGGAGAACAGACCAGAATCGACATCATTGAGAAGCCATCGGACCCATCAGGAATATCAAGCATGGGGTTATTTGCAAGTGAGAAGAAAGATGAACATCCAGTGACAGCCCATCACGAGATTCAGAGCGTGGTGGGAGAACGGGCTGCTAGATCTCCACCTACTCAAACTGCCTGTCCAGCACGAGGTTCAGGAGTGGGTGGAGTGAATGACGAGTCTGAACCTCCAAGCAATGACGCACTCGTGCAATACGCCATGGATCAATACGAACGGAGCATTCCGATGAGTCTGGATTTCGAGCCACACGAGTCCATACCGCCAACTACTCCCGAATACCGAGGTGCAGAGGAACCCACCCCGAGAGAGGAGGTCGAGAAGAGGCACCCGTCTCTGCTGAACGCACAATCCGATCCAAGGCCGATAGCACCTGCGGTTTTGGCACCGCCCACTGCGGTATCACGGGCTGCTTCTATCGACAACGAGGCCTTGGCATTCAATGCAGTCGCGGCACTGAGCCAGGCCAAGGCGGCCACTTTGCCAATGGGGCCTGGGCAATTCGCCGTGCAGAACGGCCGCTCAGCTACCGGAAGCCAATATTTCCATCCGAGGGCAGCCATACCATTGTCTGATATCCTGCAGACAGGCCCGTTCCAGACCTCGCAGCGACTGCCTCTCGGCCCACAACAATGGGTAATTGGTCCGGCGCCAGCTTTTCCAGAGACGCGGTACCATGGGTTTGATAGCCTTAGACGTCCCCCGGCATATATAGACACGTCCCAGGATCGTCAAAAACCTCGAAGCGAGTCGGAAATGCGTCGCGATAGAATTAGGGCTGTATTCAGCGACAAGAGGCCTCATCGCGGTGGCTACTCGTCACCATATTCCGGTGCTAGGTCTGGCGGTTTGATGTCGCAGCCGTATCATTCGGAGACCAATGATAGGGGCAGCTGACTGCATGGTATTTACAAATAGAAGCTCACCCTGGTAGCACTCACCCACGCTTCCAGCACGGAGATAAGAGGAGCCAGTTCAGGTGAGGTGAAAGCAGTAGGGTGCTCAAGGGTGATCTGGGTGATAGACCGCCAGAAAAGTAGACAGACATAAGAGTAATGACAACTTCAGTGTGAATTTTAAGCTCAAATACATCCTGTCTCATAGCTTAGCATCATTCTGCTTCACTTGCACCTCCTCCCCAGTTGTTTTGTACCCGAATAGATACGCCGCTACCTTGCGAATTTGGACCTCTTCGCTGCCTTCAGTGATTCGGTATCGCCTGAAATGGCGCCACATATGCTCAAAAGGGTAATGTCGAGAGTACCCGTTGCCGCCGTGGATCTGCATGGCCCGATCGGCTGCCTGGCAAGCTAGACGAGCAGCATAGTAGTTGCACATTCCAATCTTGTGTCCCAGCCGTTTCTCGATGGCGACCCAAGGAGAAATGCCTACAGCCCTGGCTTCTGAATCCACCTTGTCCATTTCCACCGCCGTCCGTAGTATCAGGAGCCTCAGCATTTCAGCCTGCGTGGACAGCTCCACAAGCGGCCACTGGATGGCCTGGTTCCTTGATAAAGGCTTCCCAAAGACTTGACGCCTATTTGCATATTCGACGCTACGATCGATGCAGTATCTTGCTGCGCCACAGCTCGACGCAGCCTGGCGGATCCTGTTTTCATGGGTGAAGGACTGCGCTATCGCAAGACCGTTGTCGACAGGGCCAAGTATAGCAGATGCTGGCACGCGGACATTATCGAGGATCACTGTCGCATGGTCTGTGGGCATATTGAGAGTCCACTCATACGAAGCTACTTCCACGCCGGGGGTATGGCGCGGCACAAGAAAAGCGGTAATCCCCTTCGCGTCGCCTGCCTTACCCGACGTCCGGGCAAACACAATGAGGTGGCTGGCGTGGTGCATCCCCGTCTGCCACTTCTTATTGCCGTCGATCTCGTACCCAGGCTCGCCAGTAGGTAGGGTGATTCGTCTAGCTACCGTATCCATATGTGTGGCGTCTGATCCATGATGGATCTCGGTTAGCCCAAAGGTGGCTTTCACTTCACCACTAAGAGTAGCCGGAATGAGCTTGTCCTTTTGCTCCTGAGTACCGTAGTGATAGATCAAGATGATGAATGGGATGTTGCCGACAATGCTATGTTCGCTTTGTAAATCGTTCGCCAGACTCACACCTCCTCCGTAAACCGGGTGGGAAGTTAAGTGGTACCGAACTGCACACATATGCAGGTTCAGTGAGCTGCTCCCGGAACCACCATACTCCTTTGGGACGGCAAAACGGTAGAAACCTGCGGCGTCTGCCAATGTTTTGGCCTTGCCAAGCAAGACCTCCCACTCCTTGGTGGGCAGCCCTTCGTTATCCCACTGTGTGCGTGAAGCCTCCCGACGGTAGTCAAAGAACCGATTGTTGTCATCTGCTTGCTGAAGAGGCAGTATAGTCTCGTTGATAAACGTATCAATGCGAGATAAAAAATCCTGAACGTCACTAGGAAGCTCGAAGTTCATGCTGGCGGTGGTGTTTTGGGCGGGCTATGGCTTCATGTAGTAGCACAACACGGCTAAATTCGATTCTTTGTTTTGTCCCTTGGAACGGAGATAAAGGGCAATGTAGATGAGTATGGTTCATGCATTTGCTAATGTTGATTTGAGATTCGAGGGCGTAAGAATTTGACGTAGGTCGATGCTTTGTGATTGCGAGCGGGGTCTGGATAGTACCGAGGTTTCTCGTGCAGGACCACGGTAATAACCATGACCAAAACTGGTGGTCTGACCACACTGACTCGACCCTAATGACACTTTGTATCTCCTCAGCGCATAATATTGTTCTTTTACTTCATATTCTGTTATCCCAGCCATCTATTCCATATCCCAAGAGAAAGTCTTCATCACAACCTACCAATCGCGTATTCGGTTTCGACCATCCGCTAACATGTCTTCAGACGGCACCTCTGCAGCGGACCTGCGGCATAGGCTCGACAATGAGGCTCTAGGAAGATACCTTGTCCAAACTGGTGATATCCCTGGTCTTGTGTTGCCGCTGGTAACCACAAAGGTTGGCTACGGACAAAGCAACCCCACCTACTTCGTTGATGACGCGGCGTAAGTGTATCAGCCTTCCGGGCACCCCCATCACCCGTCAAACCTGTCCAGATCACTGAATACATCTTGCAGATGCAAGAAATATATCTTGAGAAAAAAGCCGGCGGGGAAGTCTATCAGCCCTGTGGCCCATCAGATCGATCGGGAGTTCAGAGTCCTCAAAGCGCTTGGATCTGTACCCGGCTTTCCAGTGCCCAGGGCGTATACTCTATGCTCAGATACATCGATCATTGGCACTGAGTTCTACGTGAGCTTCCTTCTCACTTGATATAGATTCGGGCGACCAGGGCTAATGCAACACTGACAACATCTAGGTCATGGAATTCGTCAAAGGGAGAATCATCACCGACGTAAACATGTCAGAGCTTTCGACGACTGATAGACGAAAAGCGTAAGTCGATGCTAGATGTTCCATCTTTTTCACACATTCTAGGAGGGCCCTCCCTACCCTCCACACTACCATTCTGTGTGAAAAGTTTGATCCGTAGCTGATGCTCTTTCCGATAAGCTGGTTTTCTGCCGTTGAAACCCTTGCATGGCTTCACTCTCTTGACCCAGAGGCAATCGGTCTTGCAGGATACGGTAAGAAGCAAGGCTTCTACTCTCGGCATTGCAGCACCTGGAGCCGCATCGAGGCTCAGCAAGCTGCAATCAAAGACCCGAACACTGGCAAAGTGCTCGGCCGTGCTCATGAGAGTTACGACGAAGTGATGGACTATGTACGAGCCAACTTGCCTGGCGAGAGATCGGCAATAGTGCATGGTGACTTCAAATTCGATAATTTGGTGTGTAGACCTGGCTGCAGATTCTCACTGTATCTTGTTCAGGTGCTTCCGCTGACCGCACTATACTTTGCCCAACAGATCCTCCATCCCACCGAACCAAGAGTAATTGCGATTCTCGACTGGGAACTATCAACGATAGGACATCCTCTTATGGATGTTATTTTCTTTTGCAGCCCGTTTCTCGACGACTATGTCCAAGCTGGTAAGACCGCCCTGGCGGTATCTGCACAGGAATTTCCATACAAGGCAGGAAATCGAAAAGCCAGCGGAATGCCCGAGCCGGGCGAGCTACTGGATCGCTATGCCGAGATAGTGGGATACGATCTTCGCAAGGATCGAGGGGGCAAGGATTGGGAAGTCGGTGCCATTTTCCACTATATCCGAAGCGGCACTATTAGCCATGGCATTCAAGCCCGGACAATGAGCGGTCAAGCAAGTAGTGAGTTTGCTCACCTCTTTTTTGAAAAGACCAAGGCATACCTGGATGCGGCTGTTCAACGAGTCAAAAGACTGAAAGAGGAAAGCAAGAGCGGGTCTAAGTTGTAATTAATGTAACGCAAGAGTTGAGCAATCCGTGTTGTTGTGAAGAGACGTACGCGTCAGGGGAGACAAAATAATCAGAGATTCTTGTCGAAGAGTCGATCTGAGAAACTCCACAGGGGAAGAGAATAAGTCATTTAATGGAAATTCATCGGGCTCATATCCCGAGCTGTACCAAGTTCGTGGCTTTGCCTGTCTGGAAAGCGTGCATGGGCCACACAGAAAGTCGGAGTAGTGCTTAACCACAAGTGTTTCCAATTAAGACCCGCTCCAGGTACTGAACCAATAGTTCAGCCAGCATATGGATTGCGAATGATCGGGCTTTTGGACGGTCTTGTTCCTTTTCCCAAGACTCTAAGACCGTAGTCCTAAGGAGGACGACTGGTGAGGGTGTGCGTGGGACCCGGAGAGGCGAAGTTCACGCTCGAGTGAGTCTGGGGATGTCGCAACCTCACTACGGCGTGTCTTCTAGCTCGCGGCTTACGACATATGAAGCGAGGAAAACAGGACTCATGCCAAGAGGGCACAGTAACGTTGATATATGAAGTAATGTCGACAATTGGGATTGTCACTCTTGTTCGGAATAGTGAATACAGAACGGAAGTTTCGCTCGCAAGTCTTTCGTAGAATCGTAAGTATCATAACCCTCCATGCAGACGCCTTCCATCCAGGATTTTGCCCTTACACATGCCAAGCTCTAACACCAAAACGTGAAGAAAATGTACCAGCTTTAGTCTCCCATGAGACACTGCATCATCCACGCCTTATGCACCTGCTCCTCCGCATCGAGCATCATCGTCGATGCCACCATCTTCTGCCCGCCCCGCTCCTTAATCTGGTTCACTAGCGCCCGCAGCTCCTTGATGTGCAGGATCACCAGGTTCTGCACGATCTTGAGCCGTATCCTCGTGTTATCGATGCGGTACCTCCCCACCGAGATGACCAGCCCCTCGGACGGCTCGGCCACCACCGCCAGCTGCTGCAACTTATCGCCACCACTGCCGCCGGACGATGCGGACGACGACGAGATGGAGTCGGCGCCGCGCTCGCTCAGGTACCGGCACGCGTCGCTGAGGATGCTGCTGAGCTGCCGCGTCACGGTCGCGACGAGCATCGAGCTGTCGCGGTAGGTCGTGCACCGCGAGCAGGCGAGCACGCTGCGGCACGTCTCCATGCCGATGCCGAGGCACGTCAGCAGCGTGTCGATCTCGCGCCCGTGCGGGCAAGTCGCCAGCCCGCCGATGTTCTCGAGAGCGCGGGCCAGCGAGCCGACGCACTGACAGCTGCTGCTGCCGCCGTCGCCTGACGAGGACCCGGCGGACGAGGCGGGGGCAGTGGACTGCGAACACTGTTGTTGTTGTTGCTGCTGCTGTGCCGCCGGGACAACGGCGGTGTGGTGACGTTCTTGAGAGGAGCATGACGGTGGGGACTCGATGTCCATAAAGTCTGGGCCGGCGGAGTGGTTCATGCCGTGCGGGATTGTGAGCAAGGCTGGGGGTGGCGGAGGCGGCGGCGGACCCTTCGCGGCCTTGCTGTTCGCCATCATGAAGTTGCGCATGATGGGGCTGTAGGAAGAGATATTGTTATTCGGGTGCGATAGCGGCGAGATCCCGCCACCGCTGCCATTGCTGTAGATGGCGTGCAGCTCGTCCCCGTTGCTGTTGTTGTTCCCCACTGCCAGGTCAAAGGCCGCCATGTCGCCGCTCTCAAAGTCGACACCCGCGAGGGAGAAAGGGTCGAACTCGACGCCGTCGAAGTTCGTCGTTAGGCCGAGAATCGAGGTCGAGGGTGAAGGGCACGAGGTGATTGTTTCGAGGGAGGAGTCACCTAGGGAGGAGTCGCTCGAGAGGTGGCCGCTGCCGCTGCGCGTCGTCGTCCGGCCCGGCATCGCGCTGGTCGTGGCAGTGTCGGGCTGGCGGTCTGTCGCGGCGGCCTTGGCTGCTTGTGCATCGCCAGAAGGTCGTGTGTCTTGCCGTCCGCTGGGAGGCTGCTGTTGGTGCTGTCTACTCCTGCGATTATTACTGTTGGCGCCGGAGCCGGCGCTCCTTTCGCTGTTGCCGTTTGTCGTCGCTCCGTTCGCCGCTTGTCTTCGGCCTCGCTTCTTGGAGACGCCAGAGCTCATGCTATATGTACATGTGTAGGAATTCGCCTGGCAGCGTTCGCAGCAGTCCTTGTGACCGCTACACTTCAGCTGGTACTCCGACCGCATGGATTGCCCCAAGTTAGTAGACGGCCGCCGAGCAGATCGCCATGCAAAGGCGGCTGGGGGAATTGGGGGCCCAAACCTTTCGAGCTCTGCAATAGTCACACGCCTGTGAGTTCACGACGTGTTAGGCACGCATCATACTCGTCTACCACAAGGCCGGGTCGGCCGACCGGACCGAGAAGGGGGGCCGGAGACTCACAACCAACGTGTATCCGCGGGCATCGACGCCACTCTCCTTGGATAGCTTGACAAACTCCGGGTCACTGTTGCTATCGCTGTACCGCAGAGCGCCGAACATGAGTGATACACAGCGACCGACAGGGGCCTGTGGGGTGGCGCACCGAGGTGGTGATGGCTTATGGTGGCGTCTTTCCCAGGGGTGGCAGCGGTGCAGAGCGGGAGTTATCCACGATGAGTATCCGGTCTTTGCGCCCTCGTGACCAGGGTAGGAGGGTATATCGGCAAGGGGAAATGAAGGACTTTTGAAGCGCACGACAGGCGATATGACGCGAGGTACATTTGGAGCCACAGCATCACAGGGCGGGGATCTGTGTTTGTCTTTGTCATGATTTGGCGTGGCGGCACGGGGGGAATCGGATTGCCTGACCAGCGGGCCAGTCAGTCGATGGACCAAAAGGCGTAGGATTCATTTGCTCAGCGGCCGAGCTCTTGGTCTCTCCCCCACGGCTGCTCTGGTTGGCCGTGGTGGCTGCATGTGTCTGAAACCCATGCTTACTAACTGCGGGCTGGCTGCATACCCGGCTTGGGAGTGCAACCTTGGAGCGCTCCCAGCCGTGTCTGTATCTAGATAGTGAGAAGGGCCTTGGACTGGCCCTGCGCATGTGCCTGCACATGTACCCAACGTCAGCTTATTTGCGGCCAGATAAGCTGACGTTGGAAGTCTGTATGCAGCCTTGGCAGTCTTGCTTGAGGGAAGAGCTCTGTACGCGCGGTGAGACGAGACCGAGGGCGAGACCGAGATCACACCACGACATGGCCGCTTTGAATGCAGCAGCACGACCTTGGCCAGATCGCATCATGCAAGACCCATATGCCTCATCTCCAACGCCGATTGATGTCGTAGCCACAGGCATATAGATAGAGAGCTTGCCCTTCAACGTCCATCGATGTACCCTGCTCAAGTTCGGAGGGGAATGGCACCTCGGATAATTGCCCCCACGCCCCCGATACCGTGCCCGATGAGTCTCCGGGGCTCATGGATCCTGGCCTCCGGTCCTGTCGGTTGCATGTGCAGGAAGCTAATACGCCCTTCAAGCGCCCGTTTCTCTACCCCTCCTTCGTACGGGATATTATAAGCACAGATATCAGTCATGGCGATCTCTTCTGATGACTACATGTCATATCCCTGCCAATTAGGAAAGATCCGAAACGACCAACGAGCCGGCCCGCCCAGGGCCAATGGAACACTACACATCTCGAGGCACATCTTACGCGTAAGAGCCCAGGACGGCAGACCAACACGTATTTAGTCATCTCATAGCCTGCGATAGGATGGCCACGCCATCTATCAGCCTCCTTCGAGCGAGCACTCTTACTCTATCCATCGCCAATCATGGTTGCACAACTCTTACATTTGCCTCTGAGCCCCTTTGACCACGTACCACCCTGCAGTCACGCCAAATCGCTCTTCTACTTTGCCCTCAAGGACAATGTGGCCTTCTCCGAAGCCTTCTCAGTCCTCGAGCAAGGGCTTGCAAAGACCTTTGATGACCTCCCGTGGCTGAGAGGCAAGGTCCACCACTTATCCAAAGATGCCCTTGGCTACCGCCCCGGACAGCTTGAGATTCGCTACCCCCAATGCTCCGACCATGACGCGTCTTCACCCCTCCAAGAACTCAAGTGCAAAAAGCTCGACTCGTGCTTCTCATACGCAGACATCAAAGAGTCTGGGTTCCCCGTCGACTTGTTTACCGATGACGAGCTCCACACTGGCCCGTCCTGGGCGGACGTCGACAACGGGGCGCCCGTGTTTGAGGTACAGGCTAATTTCGTACCAGGCGGTTGTCTCCTCTGCATCTCCATGTGTCACGCAGTCGCAGACGGCGCCGGGATCGTCGGCATCCTCAAGCTGTGGGGTGCTTATTGTAGTCAGATCGGAGCCGAGGGCCCTGCTCCCAATGGTTTGCATACGAAGACACTACTACCCGAGAAAAGCGCCGACCGGACTGTCCTGGAGTCGATCTGGAAGAAGGAGAGGACGCAGCATTTGATAGATGAAATGGATCCAGCCGCGTGGGAGATTGTCGGTCTAGAGGGCGTTGGTCCGAGGGCGAGCACAGGGTCCTTACAGGCTGCCTCGTCCGTGCCAGCTGTCCCAAGGAAACCGGGAGAAGTGCAGAAATCAAGCATCTTCTACACCTCACCAGAGCAGTTTGAAGCCCTTCAGAAATCGTGTGCAGAAGAGCAGGGCTCGCACGAGATCTCTCGGAACGATGCTCTGTGCGGCCTGATCTGGCGCAGCGTCATCCGTGCTCGCGCTGCTGTGCTGAGTGACCAGGTGCTCGCCGCACATGCAGAGTCGCAAATCGTCATGACTGTCGATGGCCGCGAAGAGTACTCGCATTCGCTGCCCAAAGACTATCTCGGAAACCTGGTAGTGGGCACCTTGCCGACACTAACAGTGTCGCAGCTTGTGGCGCCGGAGACCACAGTGGGCTCGGTCGCGCAGATCATCCGGGACAGGGCCAAGGCGATCAGCCATACCAACCTCATGGACAGCTTCACCCTCCTACACGACGAGGTTCGAGACTACGGCATCATCAGTTTACCATTTACTAGCATCGAGGGCTGGTCGATGCTCATCTCGTCAGTGCTAGGCATGAAGGTTGACGAGGTGTCGTTTGGCGACGCCATATTCAAAGACCAGGGCCACGTGGGCGCGTACCGGCCGCTGATGGATGGCTTCAACAGCATGTTCCGCATCGGCGTCGTCCTGCCGCGGATGAAGCACGGCGGTGTCGAGTTCATCATCAGTCTTTTCGACGATGAGATGGACGTTCTGCTTCAAGACGAGGAGTTTGCAAGATTTGCCAGTCAACTTTAAATTAGGGCTCTAGATGAACATCTTGAAGACAAAAAGTTCAACTATTCTATGACTTGCTCTTCTCAGGCCAGGTCTTTCTCCTGACTGCCCTGACATAACTATTTACAGGCCGAATAACCACAAACTCTGGATCATAGACCACAGGCTCCCTACTAGCATCGAAGAACTCGTATCGAAACACCAAATTGGCCAACGCCATCTTGGCCTCCAGCTGAGCGATATTGAACCCTACACAACCGCGCGGTCCAGCTGCGAACGGCGTATACGCCATGCGATGCCTCGCGGCTTGAGCTGCCGTGTCTAGCCACCGGTCCGGATCGAACCTCTCCGGGTTGTCCCAGTGATCCTTGTGCTTGTGCATCGCAGGAAAGGTCGGGATAACTACGGAGCCGGCCGGAATGCGCCACCCGCCCGGCACGATAACGTCTTGCTTGGTGTTGCGGGCTGTCTGAAATGTCGGGCTGTGCATCCGCTGCGTTTCCTTGAGAAAGGGATCTAGGAACGGGAGGGCGAGTACCTGGCTCGCGTCCCAGCCGGAAGTAGCACACGGCTTGGCAGGGTCGGCGCCATGGTCGATAAGTTCCTGGACGAGGCGGTCCTGGTTGCCGGGGTAGCGCGTCAGGGCATAGATAAGCCACGAAAGGAGCGACGAGGAAGTGTTGAGCCCTGCGCCGAGAAGAACAGATAGGTTCGAGATGAGGTACTCGTGCGGCAGCTTCTTGCCCTGCTCGTCGACCGCGCGCTTCAAGTAGTCGGCAACGCAGGTCGCCGTCATGGCCGCTTGCTGTATCGGCATGTCCTCGCCGTGCTCGCCGCCTGGCTCGCACACTGTGACAGCCTGCTCGACGAGCTGGACAAGCCGGGCCCGCACCTTGGCAATTCTGTGGACTTTGCCGTACGGCAGCCACTTGTACCACTGCGGGCTCAGCGACGTCTGCTTCATCAGCGAGAGGTACTCGCCTAGCAGGCGGATGATCTCGTATGGCGGCGAGTTGATCGACGCGAAGTGTGCCGTGTCGAGGCCGAGGACGACGCGGTAGATGATCTGCCCCGCGAGCTTGAACATGTACTGGTATGTATTGAACGCCAGCTCTTTGTCGTCTAGCTCGTCAAAGACGCCGAAGCATGACTCGACGGCCTTTTGCATGCCCGGAACGTGGCGCTGCGCTGCCTTTGGCGACATACCCGGCGGGACGAATTTGTGCACCGTCTTGAAGGCTGGTGACGAGGTATCGCATGTGAACAGGGCGGTGTCGTCGGCCATGTGGTGGAGTGGATGGCTTGGATCCGACGTCGTCTTGGTAAAGTACTGCGACTCGCCGAGGGCGACCTCGGAGACTCTTGGGTCATTGGTTAGGTAGGTTGTGGTGCCAATATTGACAGTCTTGATGACGCTGCCGTATCTCTCAAAGAGGCGATCATGGTTGCCCATATGATCTGGGTAGATCTCAAAGTGATTCCCAACGAAAGGCATACCGGAAGGCCCCAGAGGAGACTTGACCGGCAGGCCGTCGATCATGACGCCTACGTCACCATCCTGATGTTTGAAGTCCTCGAGCTTCTCTAGTTGACTCGTAGGCCCGTGAAAGGATATTGCTATCAAATAGTTAGTCCAGCGAATCATCTCGTCACATTCCTCACTCTCTTACTCACAGTGTGGTCTCGCGATGGAAAATGATGCAGCTACACTAGTCTTGAGATCATCAAAGGTATGATGGCTTGATGCATCAAATGGCAGTCTATTCGGCGATTGTTCGCCTACCAAGTACAGGTTCACTACTGTCGTCATTTCGCTCTGGTAAACGTGAACTGCCAATATCGCAAGCTTGGTGGTGGTGTAGAGATGGCTGCACCCAACGCAATTCCACCTCTAAAGCAATACTGTTATGAGCAGCCAACTCGCCCAGCTCAATCCATGAGACAATGATAGAATTTTCCAACCAAGCTTCCGGATATGCCTGGTTCTGACTATACGCTTACTCGGAAGTTCCCCTTTTAGGAAAGTGAATTTGGCATCGTAAGGCGCCGAGTAGCTCAGAATCAAGTCATGTAATCGTCCGGCGCGGGCAGAGTGCCTCGTTCTGTCTCGCTCAACTCGAAGAAAAGCGTCCTTTACCACTATCTACAGCCATTGCCTCGTTCATCCTGCCAATCTCAAACATGGTCGACGATCTTCCTGTTTCTCCAACTTTTACTCAGTCAGAGATTGCAACACACACAAGAGCAGATGATGCATGGATAATCATACATGGCAAAGGTATACTGGTTTGCAATCTAGTTTGATCTATCTTGCCTACGCTCAATCAAGCTTGCTGACCATCACTCCTAGTGTACGATGTGACCAGCTTTCTGGACGAGCATCCTGGAGGGCGGGATGTGCTGATCGAATCTGCTGGCAAGGACGCAACAGCAGACTATGATTTCGCAGGCCACTCAGACGATGCGACTGGTATGCTTCGTCGCTTCGAGATAGGGGCCCTTTCCGGATGGATCAAGGTGAGAACGTATCGAGTTTGCTGCGGCAAGTGTATGCGGCTTCTCTGTTGGTGAGACTAACCTTTCTCCAAAATACGGATAGCACGCTCCCACTATACGTGGTACCTCTGCCCTGCAGGCTGTCGTCATGCAGCGCGGGATCACATCAGCGAGGGTCAGACAGGCCATTATCGCACGAGCTCTGCCAGCAATCGTTATTGTTGGTTTGACAGTGGCCTACGCCCGACCAGCACTGGCGAGGATCTCCAATTGGCTTCCTCAAGGTACGAGCGGGTTCTGGGCAGGATTCATGGTTTGTTTGGGGGTACTTTCCGTCGCGGCGTTTTGTGCGTTTCGGAGGCTGCAAAAGACAGTTTTTCAGGAGGTGAAGAAGCCCTTTGAATATCCGCCGTATTACCGCTTCTCGCTTAAGTAGTCAGCGTATGCAAAGAAGCCGAAAATAGACAATTGATGTATCTGTACTGCATTTTGTGTAACAAAATACCACGCAATACAGTGAGAGAGGGTGTCAAACCACATGGCAGATCTTCAGGGCTAGGCTCCGAATCTCACAGACACTGAAAAGGGGGTGGGGGGAGCTGCAGTACAACTTACCTCCCCCTCCGGCGTAGAATACAACTATTGCTGTTGCTAGCGATCTGACATGCAGTCGGGTATGATCGGAGTGGAAGCTATAAGCCCTACGGACAGGACTCCTTCCGGACGTGGCCGGTCGGTTCCGGAAGGAAGTTGTCCATATGGCACACCTCGCAACCCGACGAATCGGAAATATCAATTTCATCCTCATCACGACGCGTAAAACCGCTATCTCATCATGCAAAACATCTGCCGTCGTCGTTTACGAGTCCCCGCATCGATCATACACCTCGGGCGTGCACCACTGAAACAGCGTCCACAAACACATATACACCACAATATCGCGGCAGACACAGAGATGAGAAGGATCGATCGACTATCTACTCTTACCAATGATGGCTATCAGTAATCTCGCGCCTAAAGCTTACTTTCTCGTGCTCGCGGCGGTGGGCTTCGACGCCCTCTGGGGATCAATGCTTCGGAACGGCACCGCGCAGACTATCGGGGCGCTGAAACAGTCCGGAGTCGTGGAAGATGGCTCCAAGTTGCGCAAAGCTTACATGGGCCTACCGGGGGTGGACAGTTCTGTCCAGTCAGCGGTGATCTTTTACGACACCCTGCTGCGCCGACAGGATGTTGTCGATCGGTCACTGTTGTTGAGTATGTTCACGAGCATGCAAGCAACGTACCTAGTCATGCTCCTAGGGACATGGAGCAAGGGCAAACGCTCTGTCTGGGCAATACTGTAAGACATTCCTCTTCTCATGATGATTCGAGTGCCCAGGCAAATCAACTGACTGGCAGCCATCCGCGAGCCAGGGAACTGATGGCTTGGGGCGTCCTGAACCAGAGTTTCGGGGCAGCAGTAGTCTGTCCTCTGTATTGTCTGGTTCACTTCAGTCGCTTCGACAGCAGCCCAATCGGACCCGTGGATCAGATCAACGCTAAAGCGCTGTTGTTCTCGAGCCTGGTGATCGCAGCTACACCCGTGTGGTTACTAGTCCCTCTATTTGTCAACTACAGCAGCGAAACGCGGCAGTTGCTGATCGGTAGCTACCGACTGACGCCGTTGATACTGCCATTTCTCCAGCCGCTGATAGCTGGTGGTCTTGCTACGATCAGATCTCCGGTTGATGGAAAGCCTGGGGTGTTGAGGAAAAGAAAACGTCTATCGCTCCTCGTTGTGGGCACTACTGCAGCGGCGGCTCATATCTACGCACTGATAGCACTTCTTTTATCACAGGAAGTCTCACCTCTAACAGTCTTTCTGCCCTGGGCTGCTACCAAGAATGACCAGCTCGCCACTGAAATTCCATTGAAAGGTTGTCGCTTATTCATACAAAATGACATACTCATCATAGCCTTGGCGCTGACACCTTACTCGACTATGATCTTTCAGTCCCATACTGGTCATGGTGAGAAGGAGAGAAGGAGCAGACCGTGGATCCTATTGCTACCGGTAGCCACGCTGGTGGCAGTGGTGCTATCACCAGGAGCTCTATTGGCTTTTGCTTTGGCAAGTGTATTGTGAGGCGAGTTAGACAATTCAATAGAACGCAAATGACCGAATCTTAACAATGCTACTGAGATCTATGTCTATGTTCGCAAATATTAGATATGCGAAAGACGTGCCAATGCCTCCATGTGTATACTCTGCTCCATTGCCCACTCAATAGACGAGATTATCGCCCTTACATCTGCCTTCTTGGTAGGGATGCCGTGTCCTCCGAAATGTTTGTGAACCCTCACAAGGTTGTCGCAGCACAGCCCAAGCGCGACTTGAGCCTGGTGAGTGAACAGCATATGGTCTTTTTTCCCGTTGACATGCACGGTTGGAATGTGGATGCGGTCTTCAAGGAGGTGAGGGTGGACTGGCCTCGGCACACTCTCCTCGTCGCCTTCCACGAGGAATCTATCGTCGATTCCTTGCCTTCCAAACCCAACCTGCTCCAGTGATAGCAGACTCTTGGATAAATAGCCTGCAAATGTCTGTCCTGGAGGCACAAGTGTACTGCAGTCTACTATGGGGAAGTCGTTCTTGAAGTCGTCTGAGCAGGTTTCCAACAGCGTTTGTACGACCTGTCGGCAATATTCTGGGTCTGGGAAGAACGAAACCACAGGCGAGAAGAAGACGGCGAATCTGAAAGGGGGCTGGCAATCTGGGAGTCGTCGCTGATAATCGAGTATATAGGTTATCGCAATTGCTGCTCCCTGGCTAAATCCGAAGACACCATCGAATGGCCCATTCTCCAAGATGAACGCGTCGACGTCGTCCAGAGTCTTTCTGATTTCAACTGGGGCATAGCCACTGATATATGAGTGGAAAGGTCCGTCCGACCATGCGGGCATGCCTGATATGAACGTTTTTAGCAGTCTCTCTCATGGGGCTAGAAGCTGATGCAACTATACCTGGTCCTCGTTTGGAAGGAATTGAGCCGTCCAGGTATGAAACATGGTGATTTGGGCCGAGCTCTTCTAGAATAGGCCTCAGTTGTTCATTGAGTATGGTACCCGACGAACCAATTCCGTGTAAAGCGAGGATTTTCATCTTAGCTATGCCGTTAAGAGTCGACCAGCCTTGGTATTCTTTCTTTCTTTGAAGATGAAGATATGTTGTGCAACCAAGTCGGTTGAGGGAGTCTTGCAGGCCATATGGCCAACAAGTGGTATCTCATTATCACAACTCTGGTTGTCTGTTCTGTCTTGGCAGGTATTCCTGAAAGCACGCCGACCAATCCCCGGATTTCGACCAAGGGCGTGTCGGAGGGAGGCAGAGTGACACGGAGCTTTCCGGCAGTATCAATCTGATGGGACATCACTATCTCAGGCGTATAAGCGATGCAAGTGCGCGGCGTAATCTTCCTCTTTCGAGATGATTTTACTCGGGTATTACCCGTTCAGGACGAGTAATCACTTATCAGAGTCAATCTCGGGGGCTAGACTATCGATCGTAATCCGTACCTGCGCGCTTATTGCGTGTTTCCGAGCCTAGGCCATAAGATATACCAGAGGGCCAGAGAGAGACCCAATCTGTACTCGCTCGCCTACCCACGCGCATAAGCCAAGACTGTCTGTTGTTTATGTAATCTGCAGAGACAAAAGGCACAGCATCTGCCAAGGCCGTTCAACTCGGCCCGTATTCCCGTTCGATTTCCAGACTTGTTATCGAGTATTGGGCTACTCGTACCACTTGGAAAGGTAGCAACATGGGCGAGAACGTCCTCCACGGCGGCAACATGACGTTAGACTATGAGCCCATTGCCATCGTTGGCGTGGGTTGTCGCCTGCCCGGCGACACAACCTCACTTGCGAATCTCTGGGATCTCATGCGCAAGTCAAAGGCCGCACATACGGTGGTGCCGTCTCAAAGATGGAATTCGTCGGCTTGGCATCACCCGAATCAAGATAGGAAGGGCGCTGTATGTGAATTGTCTTGCTGCGATGTGGTGATCCTAGTTGCGCTCTTAGCTCACGATGACTAGGTTGCACCGGACTCGGCCTTCTTTCTCAACCAAGATGTTGCCTCCTTCGATGCTCCATTCTTTTCGACAACACCTGCGGAGGCTGCGGGGATGGACCCGCAGAAGAGAATGCTACTTGAAGTGACCTATGAGAGCTTGGAGAACGGTGAGAAGCCATGCCCCGAGCCTAAAAGAGTGGGCTGAATTGAACCTCGATAACTGACATTCTATACTCAAGCTGGCATGTCATTGGAAAGTGTTGCAGGCTCGCTCACTGGCGTCTATGTGGGCTGCATGACCAACGACTATGAAATCTTGTCAACAGACGACATCTATGACCAGCCGCACATGGCTGCAGCTGGAAGCAGCGAGGCTATGACAGCCAATCGCGTCTCCTGGTTCTTCGGTGAGCCTCTGCAACAATCTTTACCTCTCGGGAACCGTTGTGCTAACGTTGTGAAGACTTTCGGGGACCAAGTTTCACACTAGACTCGGCATGCTCATCTAGCCTGATTGCATTGCATCTTGCTTGCCAGTCGCTGAGGCTGCGAGAAACAGACATGGTGAGTTCGGCGATTCCCCTTAGGCGGACTTTGTAGTAGCTAGTAGCTAACAAGCCACAGAATGTCGTTGCTGGTGTCAACCTGATGCTTCACCCTAGGACTTCGAGTCAACTGACCGCAATGCACATGCTAAGCCCCGATGGGACATCACACAGTTTTGATGACAGAGCAAATGGTTACGGTCGTGGTGAGGGTATTGGTGCCATCATTGTCAAGAGACTCTCTGATGCAGTACGCGATGGCGATACGATCAGGGCAGTGATCCGAGGTTCTGCCACGAACGTCGACGGCAAGACTCCCAGTGTGACCAGTAAGTTACCCTTGGTGCATTCTTGAGGACTCTGAAAAACACGGAAACCTGACCAGGATGGTAGTGCCGAGCACGGAAGCACAGGCGGAACTCATCAGGACAGCCTACAAGGTAGCTGGTCTGCCATTAGAGGACACTGCTTATGTTGAGCTTCATGGAACGGGGACGCCCCTGGGAGTTAGTAACGGCCCTTTATCGTTCTAGAGATCTGGCTGACGTTCTTGCAGGACCCGATAGAGCTAGCAGCAATTGCGTCGACTTTCGGGGCGTGCGGTCGGCCGGATAAAGCACCAGTATATGTTGGCAGTATCAAGCCCAACGTTGGACATACCGAGGGTTGTGCAGGCCTTGCAGGCGTACTAAAGGCTATTGTCTCGCTTGAGAAAGGAGTCATCTTGCCCACTGCCGGAGTTGAAACTGTCAACCCCAAACTCAAATTCGATGCGTGGAAACTCGCTTTAGCACCTGATGTTATCCCTTGGCCTACAGATGACCCTCGACGTATCAGTGTCAACTCGTTTGGGTTTGGGGGAGCTAATGCGCATGTGATCATGGATGATGCCTACCACTACATGAAACAGCATGGTATCAAGGGATTTCACTCAACTGAAGTGCCTTCGACATTGTCTAATGGTACCGCACATAACACTATGGAGACGAGACCAGCCGATCAGAAGCTCTTCGTCTTCAGTGCTCGGGACCAGCCAGGGCTCTCAAAGCTGGCCGCAGCCTTCCAGAGCTACACCAACTCTGCCGAGCAAGGCATGTCGTCTGAAAAGAAGGCGAAACTTCTTGCCAACATAGCCTATTCTCTTGCTCACAAGCGGTCACTATTCGACTACCGGTCATCGGAGGTCGCCAGCTCACTAGAACAACTTGCCAAGCAGCTCGAGAAGGGGTTGCCACGTGTGCTACGTCGCTTGGCCAAGTCGGAAGGCGTTGCCTTCGTTTTCACTGGTCAAGGGGCACAGTGGGCCGGAATGGGTAAAGAGCTCTTGTCGAACCCAGTGTTTGCGAAGAGCATCGAGACGAGTCGGAATTGCTTGGCCTCTCTTGGGTGTCAATTTGACCTGCTAGAGGAGTTGCAAAGAACGGCCGATAGCAAGGTGGATTCACCAGAGTATAGCCAGCCTCTGTGTACATCTGTGCAGATTGCACTGGTGGATCTTTTGAGATTTTGGGGCGTACAGCCAAAGGCTGTTGTTGGACACTCAAGCGGTGAAATCGGTACGTATGCGTCCGGAACTGATACTCCTTGCCTGATTACTGATGGAGGAATATAGCTGGAGCTTACGGTGCGGGTATCATCACACATGAAGACGCCATCAAAGTTTCGTACTTCCGCGGCGTATACTCCCTTAAGGTTGCGAAAGGTCCTCGCCGAGGTGCCATGCTCGCAGCAGGCATCTCAGAGGAGGACGCCCTCAGGATCTTGAAGGCAAGAGGATACAAAGGGGTCGTCACGACGGCATGTATCAACAGCCCCAATAGTGTGACTTTATCAGGTGATGTGGACGAGATCACCGCCCTCGAGAGTGAGATCTCCAAGAGTGGTAAATTTGCACGCAAGCTGCGTGTCTCAACCGCCTATCACTCTGCACATATGCAAGACGTCGCGGAAGAGTGTCTCGCAGCAATGACCGCGGTAGGGGTTGCCGACCCGCGCGAAACCGACGTCCCGATGTTTTCGTCTCTCACAGGAGATTTGATCACCTATACCGAAGTCGACAAGACATACTGGGTTCGCAACATGACACAACCAGTCCGGTTCTCTCAGGCGGTGCACCAGCTACTCACTCGCGCACCAGACCCGAGCCGCTCGAGGGGCCGTGCAACAACGCCGCGAAAGTGGAACTCGCTCGTCGAGATCGGGCCACACTCGGCACTCAAGGCGCCCCTCGTGCAGATCATGGAGAACGTCAGCAAGAAACTGGCCACCGAGCTGGAATACACATCAATGCTTTCCCGCGGTGAAGACGCCGTCACTACATCTCTCAAGTGTGCTGGTACCTTATGGGCATTGGGGAATCCACTTTCCTTGGCATGCGTGAACAGTGAAGAAGAGGCTGTTGGCCTTCAGCTACTGACAGACCTGCCCTCGTATCCTTGGAACCACGATAGACAATATTGGCACGAGCCAAAGACTATGAGGTCTGAGAGACTCAAGACTGTGGCGCGATCAGACCTGCTTGGCTTCCCGGTTGACAATCAGAACCCTTACGAGCCTCAGTGGAAGAACTACTTGCGCATCAGCGAGAACCCCTGGATCGAGGATCACGCTATCACGGGTACGACGCTATACCCAGCTGCCGGCATGCTTGTCATGGTCATTGAGGCGGCGCAACAGATTGCCAGCCCTGATCAGCTGGTCCGTGGAATTGAGTTTCGGGATGTGCACTTCGAAAGAGGCCTCGTTGTTCCAAGCGACGGTGCCATCGAGACACTCCTTAGCATCAAGCAGCCGACTTCTGGTGACGACAATTACCAATTCACCGTCTTCTCTAATCTCGGCACTGGCCCCTGGTCCAAGCACTGCCGCGGCGCCTTCTCAATCCAGTACGAGGATAAAGTAAACGGACCCGCCGATGCTGGTGATCCGGCAACATTCGAGTGGAAAAGACGAACTGATCTGTATAATCATATCAAGAATCTCCCAGGGAAAGAAGCCGATGTCGAAAAGCTCTATGAAGACCTCGAGGCGATAGGAATGGAGTACGGCGAGACGTTCCAGAACCTCACCTCGTTGATGATTGCCGAGAATGGTGCTGGGTGTCACGGGACAGTGGTAAGCTACTGGCAAAGCTTGGAAAGCTGGCAACTGCACAGGATGCTGACTAGACCTCATAGAAAGTACCGGACACTCTTAGCATCATGCCTGACAACTATGAGTACCCTCATTGCATTCACCCGGCAACGCTAGACTCCATCTTCCATCTCATGGTTGCTACCATCTCGGATGGCTCAACCATGAAGGAAGCCGCAGTGCCCTTCCACCTCAAACGGATGTATGTTGCGAATGAGTTGCCTCATGTCGCAGGCTCTCTGTTCCATGGGTACGCCAACCTCGACTTCAAGGATGGCGACTTGCTCAGCGCCAGTATGGTCGTCTCCGATGAGACATGGCGGGAGCCCAAAGTCATCGTGGACAGTCTCATCATGAAGCAAGTCACAGGCGGCTCTGCTGATGCATTGGGCCAGGACTCTGCTACCGACGTTGAGCCGCGGTGCACAAAGCTGGTGTGGAATTTGGATCCGTCCCTCTTTATCAGAACAAAGAACATCGCGTATGGGCAGTCTGCATTGACGACGCTTGAAGCTGTCAGAGGCCTGAGGGACTGGCTCGAGATTGAATACCACAAGTCGCCGCTCAAGTCCGTGTTGCTGATAGGAAGCTCCATCAGCCGAGATATCGTGCAGGAGTTAAGTGCGCTCAGTCGACTCAATGGGACATACCAGAGCATTTCTCAACTTGTCGTTTCTGACACGACCGAGACGGGACTTGAGTTGTGGCGCGCTGCTATTGCGTCAACTGGACTCACATTGGACACGGTATTCAAGGTGTGGAATCTTGACGACGATAATTTCTCGCCCCTGGCGGACCACTCGTTCGATCTGATCATCACGGGTGGACATTGGCCAGGCTCGCGTGTGCAGTCACTTCTGGATAAGTCGCTGCAGCCGGAGGGGCGACTTCTCGTGCTCGAATCAGTCCCAGATGACACATCCGAGAATCGGCTTGAGGCCAATGGGGTATCTCATCACAAGTTCGACAAGCAGGGCATCAAGCTCGAGGGTGGGATACTCACCGTTGCTGCAAAGGCTCGACAAGATCACCCTGGTATTGAAAGGATGGCATTGCTCCTACCCTCTGACATACTCGATGACATAACCGCAATTCTTGCCAGTAATCTCGAATCAGTTCTCAAGCTACGGAACATCACAGTGAGCAGAGTGACAATGTTGGATAAGGGGGCTCTCTCGGGCCATCGCTACTTCATCTCCCTCCTTGATCTACAGCATGGGTTTGCGGACCGCTGGACTGCCTTCGAGTTTGATCAGTTCAAGGAGCTGATCCATCATGCAGAGCATATCTTCTGGCTCGGCAAGGGTGGCCAAATGATCAAGCCATCAGAGGAAGGCTTGTCCAAGTCATCCACTACAGGACTGTTCCGCGTGCTGCGCAACGAGTCACCACAAGTCGCTTTGATTCAGCTCGATCTGTCATCTACATGTGATGTTACCAGCACCAGCACCGCCGAGCTTATCGCACACACGTGGGCAGCAAGTATCGCCACAGATGCAGAGCAGACTGAGCGCGAGTTTGCCGAACATCAAGGGGCGGTACTAATCCCCCGCTTTGTGCAGCTGCAGGCATTCGACAACGAGATCGCCATCGCGACCGGCGCTGCGCCGGCAACACTGGTAAAGATGGGCTCTAAAGGGCCATTACGTCTTGAAGTGAAGCAGAAGACGCTGGAAGGTTCTATCTGGGAGCCCGATGCAGATATTGCTTGTAACACTCTTGGTCCAAACGAAGTCGAGGTCAAGGTATCACACATCTCGACACCGAGTACTGGCTCTGAGGCTCAGGCGGTTAGCACATTAGGAACACAGCTAGCCGGTGTTATCACCAAGGTTGGCTCAGGTGTCGTTGGCGTAAGTCAAGGTAACCATGTATTCCTTCTCCGGAACTCGCCAGGCTGTTCCACACTGGTCCGTCAGGACGCGTCCAGGGTTCGCAAAGTACCGTCCAATATCCCGCCGGCAGCGGCAGCGACACTGGCATGGCTCTACTTGGCCGCGGCTTATATTCTTGAAGACGTCGTTCGTCTTCAGCATGACGATATCGTACTGATCCATGATGGAGCATCTGTCTATAGCCAGGCACTCGTCACTGTCGCATGTCGTCTTGGTGGGAAAGTATTCACCACATATTCCACACCTGATGAGCGAAGAAGGCTTGTCCAAGACTTTAGCCTCGACGAGAATATTCTGGTTCACGATGGAGGGTTCATGACTCCCTCTTACCTCCTGCATAGAACTGGCGGTAGACATATCGATGCCTTCATTACTGCAAATCCATCCGCGACATTGACGCAGGATCTCCAGAAGTGGGTAGCCGACTATGCTCGAATTGCGGTTCTATCTCACGGCGAGGCCAAGAGCCTGCCTATCAATTTGAGCGGGCGCAACCTCAATCTGTCAACCATCGATCTTGAGCACATATTGACGGCCAACTCGAGCCCAGTACATCGTTTGCTTCCCCGCCTAGACCAGTATCTGCAGCCAGGATTCAAGTTCCCAGTCACTACAGTCCCTATCGCAGATGCGCCAAAGATCTCAAAGCTCTTCAATAGCTCCGAGAATCAAGGCATCCTAGCTCTCGAACTCTCAGATAATCTAGAGGTTCCTGTAGCCACTCAAAAAGCGGACCCTCTACAACTCGACCATGATGGGACCTATATACTGGCTGGCGGGTTGGGCTCGCTGGGTCTCCGCATCTCAAAGCTCATGGCCCACCATGGAGCGGGACATATCGTGCTCCTGTCTCGATCGGGAAGCAAGCCCAAGTATGAGCCTGATCTGAGAGAGATAGCTGCGCTCGGCACCAATATTGACGTGCTCCGGTGTGATGTCACCTCGGAGGACAACGTCAAAAGCACTGTGGCCTCTCTTTTGGGAGATGGAAGAAAGATTCGAGGTTTTGTACAGTGCGCCATGGTTCTGCAAGTGAGTCTTCAGACCAATGATCCTATGTATGCATGAGACTATAGACTAGACTAACACCGCTCACCACCGCAGGACAGCATCTTTGACAACATGACCCACGAACAGTGGCAAAAGGCCTACGACCCCAAGGTCTCCGGTACCTGGTACCTGCACAAGGCTTTGCCCAAGGATCTCGACTTCTTCATCATGCTCTCATCTGTCGTCTCCGTCATCGGCAACGTCGCCCAGGCCAACTATGCCGCCGGCAACTCGTGGATGGACGCCCTGGCGCACTACCGCCGGACCGGGCTGGGCTTGCCGGCAGTCTCGCTCAACGTCGGCATCGTCATGGATTCGGACCACACCATCGACGGCGCTGCACTCGCCGATGGCGGGTACCTAGAGCGCTTTGGCCACATGGCGGCTGTGAGCACGACACTCGATGAACTCGATATCGGGCTGACGGCTAGTATGCGCGGCCATACTGTCTTTGATGGCGAGCTGGTGCCGCCCCAGCTGGTGTTCGGCATGAACGCAGCTCTTGTCCCCTCTCGTGACCAGTGGGCGCGCGACGCCAAGTTTGTTCATCGTGTTGCACCGGTTAGCGACGATGTGGCTGGCTCGGATGACCAGGCCGGCCCATCGCTTGTCGAGCAACTCAAGGGCGTCGCGTCACCGCCCGAAGCGTCTTCTATAATCATGGATAGTCTCAAGAAACATCTCGCGCCAAGTCTGGGCATCCAAGCCGCCGATATTAGTGACGATGAGCCGCTCTACACAGTCGGAGGTAGGTAGTTCACGCATCTACAAGCAAGTTTCACATGTCTGCTAACACCTTCCAACCAGTGGATTCTTTCAAGGCTATAGAGATCCGTAACCATGTGTTCCGCGAGCTCAAGAGTGATATCTCGGTTTTTGAGATCCTCAGCCCCACGCCTCTGGCGCAGCTCGCATCGGTGATAGTGTCGCGAAGTCAGCTGGTCAAGATTGAGGGCCAAAAGTCAGAGGAACCGGTGGCATGAAAGTAAGTAGACTGGGTTTTACAACTTTTAGACGTTTAGTATAGACCATCTCCTCTCTTCGCTATAAACTACAAATTGAAATACAATGCATCTCTTTGAACTGGTCCTGCTTCGTATATCTGAGTATCTCAATATCAAATTTCCCAACTTTCTAGAGTTGCAGTCACCGGAAATCTCAGCATTACCAACTCTTGGAGTTTCTTCGCTTCAGAGGTGCTATTACCACGGGCTCCTCCATGTCAGTCCCCAACACTTGAATCTATCATTGTGACCAAGACTCAGAGCCACGGTGTGTCTCATGTTACACCAATACGACCCCTTCTTCCACTGGCCGGGAACATCAATCGGAGCTCCAACGATTCGGCCATTGGAAGGGTCGGGCTATTCAGAACGTGTGTCACGAATCCGAGATACATGAGGTAAGCTCCGAGTTCTGTCCTCTTTGGATATCAGCGGATGCTTCCCAATGGGGAAAGGAAATAAGCAACAATCCCAGACGAATAAGCACCCGAGAATCTAGCTCTCCCAGACTGTCCAGTAAATACCGGCCTACCATTGCCGGAATATCTCTTCACGTTCCCGTTCCACCCAACATTACGTTATCCAACACCACCAGCACCATGGGCCAGGAAGCCTCCGCCCCGCGGCCTGGCACTGACCTCCAGGTCATCGGCGCCTGCCTGCCGAGCACCGGCAACATCACCCTTTCCCTCGCCCTCGAGATCCTGCTACGCGGCCCGGTCTACCACGGCGCAACACAGGTCTGCAAGGGCCCGGCAGAGAACATGGACTCATGGATCGCCGTGTTCAAGCGCTGCCCGGTGCGCGACGAACGCGACGCACAGTTCATCCGCGATACGATCGGCCACGTGCTCCGCGGCTACGCGGCGACGACCGACGGGCCGGGATCCTGCTTCGTCCCCGAGCTCGCGGCCCTGCATCCGCGCGCCAAGGTCATCTGCACCGTCACCGATGCCGACGCGTGGGCGCGCGCGCAGGACCGGCTCGCGGCGCAGAGCTTCGCGTGGTACCTCCGGGTCCTACTCTTGCCGCTGCCCAACGTCCGGCGGTTGCCCGAGTACTTCGACGCCCTGTCCCGGGGCCGATGGGCCGAGATGTACCAGGCTCCCGGGGAGGCGGGTCTGCCGTCGAGTCGGCGGATATGGGACAAGCACATGGAGAATCTGCGGGCGGCGGTGCCGGAGGACAGGCTTGCGTTTTACGATGTGCGGGATGGGTGGGGCCCGCTGTGCGATGCCCTGGGGTGCGAGGTGCCCGACGTGCCGTTTCCAGAGGTTGTCGATGATAGTGCGGCCATCGAGGGGTTTGCTAAGAGCGTGGTGTTTCAGGGCATGGTGCGATGGGGTGTGATACTTGGGGTTGGTGTTGCAGTGATGGGGTTTTGGCTCAGGTAAAAATTGAGAATGTGTCAGGCTATGGAGATCTGAGACTGTAATTGCCCGAGCATACAGCAATTCCTTATACGGGAGCGTTCAGAAACCTGCCGCTTCTTGTTCCATATGCTTGCTCAATTTGGCTACATGGAGAGTAGTTATGTTGTAGTAGTTACGAATCTATGAAGGACTTTACAGGCAAAACTTCTTCTATAGCTCCTCCAAAACCTTTCACAATGTCCAAATCAAATTCAAAAAAAAATCAAGCCTTCAACCCCACCACCAACTCCGACCTCCCCGCCACCGTCCTCCCAAGCTCCCCGAGCGACTTGCTCCCCACAATGTCCGATACGGTCAGCCTCGCGCGCGCCGCGCTCTCGAGCCAGTTGCGCAGCTCGACAGCGACGAGCGAGTCGACGCCGTACCGGCTCGGCGGCTGCCGCGCGTCGACCTCGCCCTCGGCCGCGCCAAACATGTCCTCGAGCTTGGCGACGACGGCGTCGGTCACGAACGTCGTCGCCTGCGCCTCCGTCACGGCCGGCTGCTCTGCTAGCGCCCGGAGCGGGGCCGCCGCGCGGTCGGCGTCCTGCGCGCCGGAGGCGAGTGGGGCGCTGTCCGCCTTACGTCTGCTCTGCGGATCGGCGAGGCGGAGCGTGCCGTAGCGTCTGTCGTGGTATGTCTTTAAGTCTTCAGATAGGGTTTCGTGACTGGTGAGTCCGGCGATGATATGTGTCGACGAGTTGCTGACGGCTGTGTCGAGGAGACGGAGCATTGTGGGCTCAGCGACAGTTCCAATGATATCGAGAGCTGTGGTCGGGTGGCCTTGCGCTGCTCGGGCTTTGGCTAGTGCTGCTGGCAAGCTGCTGATCACCGATGCATGTTCTGCCTGCGAAATCAGGACGAAGAATTCCACATCCTGATATTGCTTCGTGATGTTCTCCAGGGCTGTGTGTGGTGTCTGTGGGTCAAGTTAGAGCGAGAAAAATCAATTCTCAACATACGCACACAAGACTTACCTCAATAGACAAGGGCAACAATCCAACAATACCGCGAACCGTTGGAACAACCCCCTCACCACCGACCGCCTTGCAAATCGAATTCGGACTGGCAGTATCGACGTGAACCACCCGCAACGTGCATCCTTCGCTCTCAGCCCGCTTGGTGATCGCGGCCGCCCCGTCTAGGGACTTGTCCGCGCGAAGAGCAGTAACAACATGTTTCGCACCATTATCAACCATCCACGACACGACGGACTCAGTCATACCGTCGACGTCTTCGCCAATCACGACATACGACGCTTCGGCATCGAGCTTAATCGGTCGCGGGCGATGAACCACCTTGACGTAATCTTCCGGCGCAGGTATCACCACGACCCGGCTGCTTACGCCAACCACAGCGGGCTTCGTCGCCTTGCGCACAGCTTTGTCGAGATCTGCTAGGCTGAACTGTTCAACTGAGAAAGAGGCTGAACAGTGCGGCTTGAGGCTTTGCAAGCTGGCAACGAGGGAATCTTGAACGAGTTTCCCGCGGTACTGGCTCAGTTGGAGAATATCGACTGGGACGTACGTGGCACTGCGCTGGTGCAGAGGAGTCAGGTCCAGGCTCTTCCTGGCATCTGTGTTGCCGCTGCAATCGATGTAACGGCCGAATGGCGAGACAAGGTCCAAGAGCAGGCGGTCATTGGATGCCTGAAGCACAACGTCAAATGCATGCCCAGAATCTCGCGGACTCGGAACAGAGACTCCTGTGGAGATGATCTGTTCTTTCCCAAGCCCGTGGTTGGTCGCAAGTAGTTGCTGCTCTTCGGCACTGCCACATGTGGCAAAGATCTTGGCTCCAATATCCTGTGCAAAGTGGATGGCGGCCTGACCGACTGGTGTTGTCGCCCCAACGATAAGAGCGGACTCGCCTTTCTGAAGCTGTGCGGCCTTGAAAAGGGCATAATGCGCTGTTGCGGAGGGAGTGGGCAAAGAGGCGGCAGTAGTCCACGAAATGCCGGTCAATAGCTTTGCGACGCTGATGGCGGGTCCTCTCACAATGCTGCTGATATCTCCTTGAGCAATTCCACAGACTTTATCGCCAATCTTGAGACCGGAGCCTTCAGTGTCGGCACCCAGCCGTTTGACATTGCCGGCGAAATCATATCCTTGGAGGTCTCGAGACTCGTCAATCTCAGACCCGATGCCAAAGGCTCGCACTTCGATCTCTAACGAGCCCTTTGGGAGTGCGGACTCAAGCGAGTCGTAGTCTGGCGTAAAGTGAGGGTCGTCCACCAACCCGCCCAAGCCAGGCTGCCAAACCAACGCATGATCACGCTCTCGAAGAAAAGGCTCTTGCTTCGATGGAGGATCAACGTCCTCGGTGCTGACCACCGCGTCAAGATTGCGGTCAGGGTAGATCCGAGGGACGTGCAAGCTACCGTCCTTGACGATATACTCCCACTCGTCAACTTCGACGCTCTTGTCAAAGGAAGCTTTTATGACGTGCTTGAGAGCTGAGAGGTCATCTTTGTCCCAGGAGCTCGCGCTCTGTCCGAGACCAAGACTGACGATGCGCTTCTTTGGGTGCTCCTTTCTGAGGGAGGACAAGGTGTCAGCCAAGTGAGCATATTGCGTGTCGTGGCCGCTGAGAGGGCTGTGTGAGGCAAGCCATAGTATGGCTTGACTATCACTGACAAGCTTCTTGAGCAGGTTGCTGCCTGCACTAAGCGAGCCGAGTCTGGCGTCAGCGACAATAGTCAGTCTCTCTGAACCCGTTTGAGCATGAACATCGCCCACTTCGGAGAGTGTAGGTGTGATGCCCATTATATCCTTGACCACGCCAGCGAGCTCAGCAAGCCACGGACCCCGAGCAGCTTCTACATACGCAATTGAAACCGACAAGGGATACGCAGGCGGCTCCGCAGGAACCGCTGTAGCAAGAATGACGTTCATCGAGTGGTACTCCGGCTCCTCGCAATCCCCGATCGAAAAGTCAATACCGCTGTACCCGGCCTCCCGCAGAACGTCAGTCCACATCTCGAGCGTCGCACTTGGGCTGCTCTTGCGCTGCGGCTCCTCGCTCAGCCACCAGCCCGGCAGCGTGCCCGCCATGAGCTGCACATCCAGTCGGTCCTGGTCCGGCTCGATCATGACGAGCTTGCCGCCAGGCTTGAGCATCTTGCGCACGTGCCTCATCGTCTTGACCAAGCTCTTGGTCGCGTGCAGCGCCATCGACGCCATCACCAGGTCGTACGTGCCGGGCGTGAAGGTCTGCTCGACGGGGTCGACCTCGATGTCGAGCTTCTTGAACTCGATGAGGTCGCCCCAGGCAGCCAGCTTGGTCTTGGCGGCATCGAAGAAGCCCGAGGATATGTCGGTAAAGGTATACCTGCCCAGTAGCGTGTTCGCGCCGTTGCCCTTCGCCGCGAAGCCCTCGAGCATGGCCGTCGTGGCACCACCTGTGCCGCCGCCGACTTCCAGCACCGCAGCGCCGGGATTCTTGGCCGCGAACAGCTCAGCAATCTTGGAAAGGTGGATGTACGTGCGGTGCTTGAGCCGCGGCATGTCTTCGTAGTACTGCGTCAGAAGGCCGTCTGCCGTCATGATTTCAAGGGGCGTGACGTCCCCGCGCACGATGCGCGCCAGGTTGCGGCCGACGCGAACCGTCATGCGACCAGCCGCATCGACAGCGTCAAGCTCGTCTGCCATGAGCCGTTTCATTCCCTTGCTTGTGCGAGCCCACATCTTGCTGCGCGGAGCGAGCGTACCAGCCGCTGCCTGCGCGACGACGGACCTCATCCACTCGTAGAAGATCTTGTGGTGCCACTGCCACGACTCTTGGCCCTCCGTCTCCAGCTCAGATACAGCATCATGTATCATGTGGTAGGCGACGCGCATCAGCTTGTCTTCTGTGGCCTTTTCATCGTCAGTCAAGAATCGTCTCATGGCGCTCTTGACAACGGTGGGTATGTTGTGAAGAATGTCAGGCTCCCAGGAGATTTTTGAGCAGACACTCGTAACTTCGGTCTCCTGGGTCAGGGGACGCGGGATGGCCTTTATGTAGAAGCCTTCCACGTGCACGGGCTGTGTGTTTCCAGGGCTAATTGCCGTGATCTTCGAGGTGAACCCGGTGCGGCGTGACCTCGTTCGCTCAGACACGACATGAAGTGGCGAGCCACTACTAAGAGCAGGCTTGGCTGCAATGTACAGTTCCTCGATTGATTGCGGAATTGCAACCGAATGCCGCCGGATCGCATCTGGAATGCATGTATATGCAGTCTGTAGGATGGAGTCTAGGATGGTAGGGTGAAGAACATAATCTTCCGTGTGAGCCAGCGCTTCCGTGACGTCTAGCTTTAAAACCGCTTTGCCTGCCGTAGCCTTGCCGCTGATCAGGTTCTTGAAGGTAGGCCCATGCTCAATTCCCATGCCATGGAAGGTCTTGAAGAGCTCGTCAACGTTGACGTCTCTTGGTTTTTCACCGCGTCCGGAGAAAGAATTCAGGTCTGGCAGCGCGACAAAGCGATCCTGACCTGGAGCCGAACCTGAAGTGACCGCGGCGGCGAAGCCTCTGGCATGCTCAATCCAATTGCTGTCACCGTCGACCGTGGAAATGGAGAACTTGTTCCACTTCTCATGATCAGCGGCTTCTCCATCGTTTGCGCTGAGTGAGAGAATAACCTCGGTGCTGTTCGATGAGCCTTGAGGCACCTCTAATGCGCTTTGGAACTCGACATTCTTCAGATGATATGCCGAGACACTGTCTGCGCCGGTACTAGAAAGAAGACGGAGACCTTCCACAGCCATCGAAACAAATGTAGCAGCACCCACCACGACCGCCGAGTTGACTCTGTGGTCCTTGAGCCATGCCACATCCCCAAGCTGCAAGTTGCGCCACGTTGGCATTGCACCATTCCCGCCAGCCAGGGGACTACCGACGAGTTCGTGCGGTGGGAATCTAGGATTTCGAATTTCTCGGCTAATACGTGGTTCGAGCCAGTAACGCGTCTTGTGATTCCATGCATAAGTTGGTAGATCATCGACGAGTTTTCGAACTTCGTTGTTAGGCGAGTTGACATCCTTGAGTTTGACAGGATAGCCCCACTCAATGAGGTTGCATGCGAGCTCCTGCATGGTCTCAACAGCGTTCTCCGAGCGCCTCAAACACGTGGCATACGGCAGAGCGGCGCCCTCGGCCTTGAGGATCTGGTTGATGGGTCCAGCCAGAGTGCCGTGAGCGCCAATCTCCACGACAGCATCGACATTACGAGTGGGCTCATCAGGTGCAACATTCGAGGTTGCCGGGTTCTGTCCAAAGCACATCTCCCGGAACGCCTGGCTGAAGAGAACTGGGTTCGTCAGGTTCTCGACCCAGTGTTCAGGGGGCAGTATTTGCGGCGACATGACAAACTTTCCGGTGACAGGTGAGGTAAACAAGGCGCCTGTCCAGCCAGGACGAGCAGATGCTATGGATCGGAGTACTTCAGCATACTCTGGAGCCATGCTCTGCATGTGATGAGAGTGGTATGCCAGCGGGACCTTGAGCTTCCTCGCGAAGACGCCATCTGCCTCTAACCTGGCAAGAACCTCCTCGACAGGCTGCAAATCACCCGAGAGCGTGACGCTATCTGGACTGTTTATGCACGCCACCACTACCTTGTCATTCAACAGGTACTCGCGAGCTTTGTTGGGCCCTAGCCCCACGGCAAGCATACCTCCAGGGACTGTCGATAGCTTGCGATGCTTAGCTCCAAGTCTGCCGCGATGATAGACGACGCCGAGCGCTTCCCGGAACGATAGCGCACCGACTGCATACGCAGCGGCAATCTCTCCGCTGGAATGACTGGTCACGGCCGCGGGCCGAACATCCCACGAGGTGAGGAGTTCGACGAGACAAAGCTGCAGGGCTACGCTGATGGGCTGGCTCAGCTCGACCTCGGACACGCGTGTGCTCTTGGCATCACGCATCAGTTCCTCTATCAGTGACCATTCGGCGCCATGCTCCTTGAGGATCTGGTCTGCTTCTTGTATAGCCTTTCGAAATACGGGGTAGGCACTGATAAGTTCGCGACCCATGGCATGCCATTGGGCACCTTGGCCGTTGAAGACAAACCCGATCCGAGGCTTGGTCGCCGCAATGTGGGACGCCTTGATGCCTGGCTGTTCCAACTTGGCTGAAAGATCGTTCAAACTGACAGCTGAGACGGCAATCCTCCAAGGGTGCCACGAACGGCGTTCGCTCAGCGTGTAAGCGAGATCTGCTGGTTTGATGCGAGCTTTACCAGCCCTGACCCAAGTAGCAAGAGCCTTGGCCGAAGCAGCGGCCACGGCCGGGTCCTTGGCGCTGAAGAGGAACACTTGTCTTGACTCATGCTCAGTCTCGCCGTTGGTTAGTTGTTGGCCTTGAACCTGATTTAAGAAGGCTTCAAGGATTGCATGGGCATTCGTCCCCCCTATGCCGAAGTTATTCACCGAGGCCCGAAGAGGTTTATTCGTGGGCCATGGTGTGAGTTCAGTTGGCACGCGGAGATGAAGCCGCTGCAAGTCTGCCTTGCCAGGCATCTTGAAATTCAAGTTCGACGGTATTATTCCGTGTTTCAAGGCAGAAACGGTCTTGATGACTGCAGCCAGCCCGCTCACAGGTTCCGTATGACCGATATTCGTCTTGACCGAGCCGACAAGCAGCGGGTCTTCGGCAGAGCGTCGTTTACCAAAAGTCTTGCCCAGGGCTTCGGCTTCAGCTGCGTCACCAGCCTTTGTGCCCGTCATGTGTCCGTCAACATAGGCTGTTTCTGACAGGTCAAGCCCCGCGCGCCGGTAGCATGCTTCGATAAGGTCGATCTGCGCCTGGGAAGATGGCGAAGTGATGGTCGGGGTTTTACCATCCTGGTTCAGGCCTGTCTCGCGGATCACGGCATGCACGCGGTCGCCGTCTCGCACCGCATCTTCCAGCGACTTGAGGATAAGCGTGGCGACTCCCTCACCGCGACCGTATCCTTCGGCTCGAGAGTCCCAGGCAAAACACCTGCCCCCTCCGCCGAGGAAGCCTATGGTCGACTGGGAGATGAACATGTCCGGGTTGAGCAGCGCGCTGGCAGCTCCCACAATCGAGGTCGTGGAGTCTCCCGAGCGGATGCTTTGGACAGCATGGTGCAACGCCACCATCCCCGAAGAGCAGGCCGTGTCGATGGACATGCTCGGCCCATGGAGATCGTAAAAGTGTGCGATGCGGTTCGACAACATTGATGTGGCATTTCCAGTAATGAAGGAGGGCGGAAGTTGCCCCGGATCGCGGGTCAGTTGATCATGGTAGTCTTTGCTGTAGGTGCCGGTGTAGACCGAGGTGTCGGAGCCAGCCAGGTGGTTGATTGGAATTCCAGCTAGAGTTTGTCAGTGACACATTGATGAGGCAAGCAGTCTCCGTCAAGAAGACATTCTGAGGGCTCACCATCTTCAGTAGCCTCATATACAGACTCTAAGAGCAATCGTATTTGAGGATCAAGAGCCTAGGTGTTCGGCCTCAAGTCAGCCGATCTAGCCCCGGAGTTATAGAAACATCACCATATCAGTATCGAGCACAGTACTTACACGAGCTACCTCCGCAGTCAAATTAAAGAATGCCGCATCAAATGCGGCTATGTCCTGGCTAAGGAAATAACCGCCCTTCGCATGATTCTAAGCATGAACCTTCATTAGCTACGCATGTCGAGTTGATTGCCTCGCTTCAAGGCACAGTAACTAGATGGAAAACCAAGTAAGGTGGACATCTTGTCTCCTACTTCTACGTACCCTCCCCCGTTTCTCCTTGTCCGGATGATAGTGAGCGCCGGCATCGAAGCGCTCTTTGGGTACGGGCGACCAGGCGTCTCTGCCCGACACGCAGAGGTCCCATAGCTTAGACGGCGAAGTGGCATCTCCGGCAAATCTGCAAGCCATGCCGATGATGGCCACGGGCTCGGAGCCGCCTTGGCGATGCGTGGGCGACATTGTTTGGATTGGTGTGGGGGCGATGATTGGTCAATTGATCAGATCGGGAGTTTTGCTGCGAGACGAGCCGGCTGTGTGCCAGCAGCCAGCCATCAAGGCATGGCTACGGTGCAACAGCATGGAGCCACCATGGTAATTAACCATTGGCATTGGCGCATGTTCCGTACACTGGGCGGTAAGCACCCGTGGACATGCTGAGCTGTCCCAAAGGGGTTGACAACGCGCTTTCGGCATCATGGGGAAACGCGCCGGGACATGCCAGCTCAACGCTCAAGCTTGATCGATCAATGTTCTGCTGTGTGCTGTAGCTCAAACAAAGCTGAGTGGTGTGAAGCTCCAACTACCCGCTCCTGATTGGGCAAGGAGTGCATCCAGTTGCTCGCGAGCCAATCAGGGGCTGCCATTCGGATGTTTCCCTTTTCGGACAGCATTAAAGCCACTTCGAAGAACAGAAGCCCATCTCTGGGGGAGGGAAAAGGGAGACGGCAGCACCTGACACCCGTCCATCCACGCGGTAATAGCGATGCTAATTTACCAGTCATTAGCCAAGACTGTTGTATTTGTAATCCGTCGATTCCTGGAGTAGATTCCGCAGTGGTTGTTGAGAAAAATGCGAACATGCAGAATCTTAAACCGCCATGTCGGAGTCGAGCCAGCCACTGACCAGGGAAGGGTATCTCGTATCAGATGGAAAGCACGACCAGTACATACATACAAACAGACCGCCTTACTAATACCAGGTAGAAAGTCATTTGTCACGTTGGACATGTGATTTTCACCTTTGCTCCTTGTCCTTTCACTGTGCGTAACCCTGTCGTCCTTTTCCCTTGCATGGCCGCCTCAGATCCCTCCATTAAAACCATCCACCTGCCACCAACATTTTCTCTCGTACTCCTGCACCATTTAGGTGCTACGTTGCCCCCAATTGATCGGTCTTGACCTCTTCCTTGGCTAATTTCTCATCTTCTTTTTGTACCCAGTCTTTGGTCTTCGGAATCGGATCATCTTTGTCAACATGTCCAAGGTCAGCACAGGGGACGGGGACGCGGATCGCCACCATGACCCGTCAGCCGCTGACGGTCACGGTCAGACGGCTCGGGCCCTCGAGTCCGATGCGACGACGGTCGCCGACTCAGCACCCCCAGCTGTTCCAGCTGCCGGCGTGCCTCCGGGTCCGGAACTCGATGCTAAAGTTGAGGCGCAGTACCCTGGCCCTCTCAAGTTCTGGCTCATTGTGTTTTGTCTCTGCACCATCCTCTTCTTGGTTGTGTTGGTATGTAATATCTCGAACGTTGATGCATGAAAGCTGGGCAGACTGGCACTACGGGAGGCTTGGACACTGACCAACCACCTTCTTCTTCCTTATAGGATAGTACGGTCATCTCCCCGGCTGCGCCGGCCATCACCGATGAGTTCCATTCGCTTCGCGACCTGGGCTGGTACAGTAGCGTGTACTACATGACCCTCTGTATCGCCCAACTGCAGTTCGGCAAGCTCAACGTCCGCTATCCCATCCGCAACAACTACAGCGTCTCCATGCTGCTCTTCCTCGTCGGCTCCGCCGTCTGCGGCGCTGCCCCGAGTTCCGGCGCTTTCATCGCGGGTCGCGCTCTGGCCGGCCTCGGGTGCTCCGGACTACTCGTTAGCACCTTCTCTCTGGTTCCCGTCCTCGCTCCGCCAATCAAGAGGCCTATCTTCACCGGTGTCATCGGAGGAACTCTCGGCCTCGGCATGTCCATTGGACCTCTGGTCGGTGGCGCCATGACACAGAACGTAACCTGGCGCTGGAACGTAAGAAACCTCTCCGGTTCATGATACATCTTCACCACTAACCCTCCCGTTTCGCAGTTCTACATGAACCTCCCGATTGGTGCATCCTGTTTCGCCGTCTTCTTCATATTTGTCCACCCTCCAAGGCTTGCGCCACCACCCCCATTGACTCCCTGGGGGCTCTTCAAGTCACTGGACCTGTTTGGCCTCTTCATCTTGACGCCATGTATCATCTGTCTCCTCATCGCTCTCCAGTGGGGTGGCACAGTCTACGGCTGGGATAATGGGCGCATCATAGCGCTATTGGTGATGTTTGGCGTGCTCGGGATTACTTTTGGTATCGTCGAGGTATTTCAGGGCATGAATGCTATGATCCCCAGGCGAGTCGTCACACAACGCAGTCTCATCTCGGCTGTACTATTCTGCTTTACCAACGCTGGCTCCACTTACCCGCTTCTCTACTACCTGCCCGTGTAAGTAGCGCCATCCGTGACTCCCATGTTTTCCCGACAGCACACTAACATTCGATCTGTTCAGCTGGTTCCAGGCTGTCAAAGGTTCGACCGCGTTAGAATCAGGCGTGTATATGCTGCCGCTCGTTGTATCGCAGACCATATCGTCCATTGGCGGAGGTGTTGGTGTCTCGGTGCTGGGTTACATCTGGCCTTTCATGATATCCGCTTCGATCCTTACCGCTATTCCTGCTGGGCTGTTCCAGACTTTCACTGCCCACATATCGACCGGCAAGTGGATCGGCTACCAGATATTGTACGGCTTTGGACAAGGTTTCGGCTCGCAGACGCCTCTGATGGTAGCGCAGAATGTTCTTCAGCTGGAAGACATTCCTATCGGATCTAGTCTCATCATGTTCACGCAGACCGTGGCCGGGTAAGTTCTCTGCCAACCGTTTCCTGCAAGCCCGATGGTACGTGCATGACGAAGTTACTAAAAATTGCGATACTCGTCTCAGTGCGGTCTTCAACTCTGTAGTGCAGGCCCTGTTTGCGAACAAGCTAGAGCAGGGCCTCAGGAAGCTCACAATTCCGAGCCTCGACGTGAAAAAGGCTCTCGCCGGCGGTGTGACGCAGATCACCGAGGGCCTGGAGGGCAACGACCGAGAGCAGGTGGTCAACGTAATCAACGATGCCATGGTACATGCCTGGCTCGTCTGCGTTGTCCTTGCATCTGTCAGTCTGCTCGGCGCCCTGGGCGTTGAGCGTCGCCGGATTCAGGGCCACGAGGCACCCAAGGCAACAGACAGTGCTAATGAAGAGGGTACCACGGAGGAGAAGCCCCGAGAGCAGCCTGACGCTACCGCCGGTAGTGAACGTGATGCCAAGAAGGAGAGTTAGAGAGCATCGAAGCCCTGGAGAGCTGAGGTTTATGCAGGACTGTACAAAAGGCGAGAAGAACTGTAGTTATGGGTTGGGAATTAGGATCTGAGAAGGTGAGAGACTACGACATAGTCATTGGGTAATATGGTAGGCAGCCATATGTCTTTAGGGAGATTGTAACTGTATGCGATTGTATTATCATGATCTAATGTATCTTTAATCTTTAGGAAGAAGATACGGTGCAGATCTTATCAATTCGGGGTTAAAGCGTCACGCATTTTGGGGGTTCACATCTATATTGAAATGTTGAAGATGCATAGCATGTGTATGCCATGCCATGTAACTTCAACACATGAAACTAGATAACGGTTCTCGGATAACAATTAGAGGAATAATAGTCAATGTATTATTGATCTTCAAGAGGTCACAACTTTGCACCGTGTTCGCACTTCGGCGATACTGAAAGGAGCAATAGAGGCCCGAACACTCCATTCCCATGTCACGCATGCAATATTGAAAATTATATCTTTCGCATCTTCATTCACCTGACGCAATGACGCAAGGGAGCTACTGCTAGCTTCGGCATTTGATAGGAAAATAAGTCAAAGTGCCACAGTTGTGTGATGTTCGCGAATGGGAGACTTGTGGACAGGGGGAGGGTTGTTTCGGATGTTTCCTCTTTGGGTAATATGCGGCTGTCAGATTCGGGATCGACAGAGCTGGCTGCAAGGTCTCCCGCTCATGCATGCGCCTCCCGGCCCATGCATCCACTTTGCGCTGCGTCAAAACCCAGCAGGATCAATAAACTCGACCATGGGGGGTGTCTAATGGGATCTCTGCATTACATATCATTGAGTTGCATGGGGACCCGTTCGGTGCGATTCCTGTCCGACTGTCCTATGCTGCTGACAAACACGTCTCTCGCGACCAGCTGTTCAGGCACCGTGCCTGACGCTCCTGTAAGCGTCACTTCGCACTCGAGACGACGTCCGGCTCGCAATCGATGTGTGGGGTAGATAGACAGACGCATCGATCTGCAGGTGCAACTAAGCCGCATCGATGTGCTGTCTAAATCCGGCACGTATTCCCGCTCGCGTGGTGTGATCGTCCTCAACTCTATCATCGGACTACCGACGTGGGTCCCATTGCTTTCGTTTTCCTTACACATGCAACGGCAGGGTGTACTTTTCCTATTGCAACGTTATGTAACTGATAACAGCAATCGCACAAGTCTGGACACTCGTTGACGGCGTTGAGGTCCTGCTGCGGAAGAATGCGGGAGCGGCACGAGTTTGATCATGCCACCTGTTGTGCATAGCCGATGGATGGACACAAGGGCGGTTGCAGAGGGAGATCCTGGGTGAAGCGGCATTGCGTGGGTCTTGGAAAGGTTGGGTTTGGATAGTCCCAAAGAAACAAATCCCGTGCCGATGTGTTCTTCCAGGTTTGAGTAATGAAACGAAGAAGTTGACGATCGGCCTGGGAGCTACAAGAGCGGTCCAGTGTGCTGTAGATAGTCTTTGCTCGTGGCGAGCAACATATTTTGGCAGACCTTGAAGAGCTCTGCTACAGTTTCGGGATATCTTAGATTCTGGCTATTGAAATTTGCAAGCTGTATCAAGTCATTATTTGCAAAGATGGTTGCCATTGTCAACGACCTCGCAGCGCGGCTCTGGGCCGGCCTAGGCCATATTACTTTCACCAACATCTTGCTATACTTGGTCTTACCGTACCTAGTGTATTGGGTTGTTGTGTTCATTTACCGAATCACCCTTCACCCCCTGGCCAAGTTCCCTGGCCCAAAGCTCGCAGGCGCCACATTCTGGTATGAGTTCTACTACGACATATGGCCTCGCCGCTACCGGTACACGTGGAAGATTAAGGAGCTTCACGACAAGTATGGTAAGTAAAGCTATACAGCTTCCTCAACCAACCGCTCCTGAGGTCAAGGGCCAGCAAGCTCACCACCGCGCCGTGTTCAGGCCCCATCGTGCGCATCAACCCCATCCACATCCACATCTACGACCCAGACTACCTCGACGAGATCTACGCCTCGGGCAAGCACAAGCGCGACCGCGACCCGTGGTTCCACCACGCGGAGGAGCAGGGCATGATGGCCTGGTCCCTCCTGCAGACCATGAGCCACGAGAGGCACCGGATGCGCCGCGCCGCGCTCAACCCCTTCTTCAGCAAGCGCGCCATCCAGCAGCTCGAGGCCGTGCTCGCCGACAAGGCCGAGGTGCTGACGGACCGGCTGTCGCGGGCCCACGCCGAGGGCGCCGTCGTCAATCTCAACTACGCCGTCGCCGCGCTGTCGCTCGACATGGCGACGTCGTACGCCCTGGGCTACGACGGCGGCAACCTGCGGCGCGAGGACTGGGGCGCCGACTGGCTCGACGCCTTCCAGATGGTCGGCAAGCTGCACCCCGTGGGGCGGCACTTCAAGACGCTCGTCAACGCGGGCGTGGGCTCGATGAGCCCCCGCGTCGTCGGCTGGTTCAGCCCGCAGATGGCGCTCGTGGCGCGCAAGCTGCAGTTCCCGCTCGAGACGATGCGGGCCGCCGTCGCCGACCGCGCGGCGGCGGCGGCGAGGGGCGAGCAGCGGCTGGCGGCCAACTCGCGCACCGTCTTCGCCGAGATTCTGGACAGCGACCTGCCGCCCGAGGAGAAGACGGCCGGGCGGCTCAACGCCGAGGCCGGATCCGTGCTCGGCGGGGTGGAGACGACGACGCGGAGCATGGGCGTCATCTTGTACTTCCTCGTCGAGCAGCCCGACGTGCTGGCGCGGCTGAGGGCAGAGCTGAGGGCGGTGATGGCGACGCCGCATGCCGAGGTGACGACCGCGGCGCTGGAGGCGCTTCCGTATTTTGTGAGTTTCTTTTTGGTCTTTGGCATCTCGGGTCTCGCGTCGAGGGGGTTCTTGTATGATCATTGAGGCTCAAGCTGACGCATCTGTACGACGCACAGTCTGCCATTATAGCAGAAGGTCTTCGCATATCTCACGGCGTGGTCAGCCGCTCGCCGAGGATTGCGACCGAGGAGGATCTGCAGTACAAGCAATGGGTGATACCACGAGGCGTAAGGCTGTCCTCCAAGTTGAGTCGGTTCTAGATGGCTAACCGCCCCGATATCACGACAGACGCCTGTGATGCAGAGCATGTTCCTGCACCACACCCACCCGCGCATCTTCCCCAACCCCATGGTTTTCAAGCCCGAGCGCTGGCTTGAGGATCCGCAGCTGAAGCCTCGATATGCCATGTACTTTGGCAGAGGGTCTCGCGCCTGCCTCGGGATGAAGTAAGTCTTTCTCCTGAGCCTGACCAGTGCGCGGACACATACTCACATGAAAGCGCTTCTGGACAACAGCCTGGCCTACTCGGAGATGTACTTGACCATAGCCAAGATCGTCAGCCGCTTTGACCTCGAGCTCTACGAGACCATCCGGGAGCGGGATATCGACGTGTCGCATGACTGCTTCATTGGAGCAACGCGCATGGACAGCCCAGGGATTCGTATCAAGGTCGTCAGGGAGTACAATGTGTGGCCTGAGATCTGATGTAGGGTGGTTCGGGTCTTGGGTAGTGCTGCGCTCAACTGGTAGCGTGAGCGGTGATGACACAAGGCGGCTTTCGAGGATGCAGGATGAACACCGGGTCTTAGCTGTATGTGAGATTCTCCATTTGTGGACTGGTTGGCAAGACTGGAAGTCACTCAAGCCTAAAGGCCGAAAAGAAATTTGGAAGGGTTCGATTTTGAAATCTTTTAAATACTCTTCATAACACACACCCATCAAGGACTTGGTCCCTGCAACATCTCGCTGTGCAATCTCGAAGCCATGTCTCATTGTACACTACATACAAAATATAAGAGACCAGCCTACATCCTCACCCACCGATCCGATCAGTGCGTCATGGCATCCTCAAACAGCCGCCGCAGCTGGTCCTTCTCCTGCTGCAGCTCCTTGGCCAGCCCCGGAGCCAGCATGAGCACGCGCGCCTGCGGGATCGTGCCCTCGACCAGGTCCTCGATGTGCTCGGAGCCGAAGCCGAGCTCCTTGAGGCCCCGGGGCTGGTCGCCGAGGTCGGCGAGGAATTTGGCCAGCGCGTCGGCCAGGATCTCGCCGGCGCTCTCGCGCTTGGCGTTGGACACGTCGACGCCGAAGCACTCGGCGGCCTGCAGGTGGCGCTCCGGGTTGGAGGGACCCGTGAAGCGGAAAACGGCGGGGGCCGAGACGGCGACGGAGACGCCATGCGGGATGATGGGGGTGTCGACCTCGTAGCCGGCGTGCTGGTAGCCCGGGTTGCGGCCGGAGATGGGGTAGGACATGCCTGATGGCGTTGATGTCTTGTCAGCTGGGGGGGGATCCAAGCATGGATGGTCTACCAGAGCGGCTTCTTACCGTGGCACAGATGGACACCAGCGTTGCCGAATCCGACACCGGCGAGCGTAGCGGCGAGCATCATCTGCGTCTGCGCCTCGTGGTCCTCGGGGTCCTTGACCGACCGAGGCAGGTACTTGACGGTGCTCTTCAGGGCGTTCAGCGAGAAGATATCACTGATGGGGTTGGCGCCCTGGTAGGAAGGACGCAGGATGGGGTTGGTCGGGCGAGGCACACGCTCGGTGTAGGGGATCGCCGTCCACGACTCGAGCGAGTGGCACAGGACGTCGAGGCCGGAGGAGGCCTTGACTGCCGAAGGCATGGTCTGCGTGTTGAGCGGGTCGCAGATGCCGAGCGTGGGCTTGAGGTTCCGGTGGGCGATGCCCGTCTTGGCATGCTTGGAGACGAGGTCGAAGATGGCGACGCCGGTGGTCTCGCTCCCGGTGCCGGCGGTGGTGGGCACGGCGATGAGCGGCTTGAGCTTCTTGTCGACGGGGCGGCCCTTGCCGAGGGGCGCGTTGACAAAGTCGAGGAAGTCGGCATCCGGGTAGCACGAGTAGAGGTTCATGAGCTTGGCCGTGTCGATGACGGAGCCACCGCCGACGGCGAGGAAGGCGTCGGCACCAAAGGGCTTGGCCCAGTCGATGGCCTCCTTGATACTACAGTAGCATGTCACGGTCAACTGGTGCTGCTGCAGCATCGCTCAGGGTCTGGGTCGACGTACGATGTGTCCTTGGGCTCGACCCTGACCCTGTTGAAGACCTTGTAGGTCACGTTCTCGCTGTCCAGGGCGTCCCGCACCTGCTTCATGGCGGTGAGGCGGTCGACGGTCGAGTCGGTCACGACGGCGACGCGCTTGGCGCCCATGTTCTTGAGGTCCATGCCGACCTCCTGCGTGGCGCCGTTGCCGAAGCGGATGGACGAAGCGGCCATCTCGAACGCGTACTCCTTGAGCTGGGAGGAGTCCTGCGGCGTGGCATATCCCCGCTTTGACCGGCGCGCAAAGGGCGTGATGCCCGCGCCGCCGTGGTGGTGGTGATGGTTAGGGTTGGAGTGGCACGGACATGAGGGCGGGTGCGTGAACTGGATTGTGCGCAGCAGGTTCACCGCCCGAGTCGCGGCCTGTTTGAAGACGGGGATGGTGAGCTTGGGTGTTCGGGGTGGACGCAGTGAGGAGAGAGGAGAGAGGAGAGAGGAGCACGTACTCTGGGTGTCACCTTGACTGCGGCTACCATGTTGGAGGCTCAAGCAGGGAATTGACTACGACTACAGTAAGCTGCAGCTGCAGGATGGCCCGACGAATAGAGATCTGAGAAACAGGTTGGGGTTTTTGTGTGTTTGTTTCCCTAGATGCTTTGGACGGTCGAGGTTGGAGAAGAGGAATGCATTGCCGGTTGTCGGACTACTCCGCATCAGACTGCCCTTTTGGGCCCAGTTTCCAGCTCGCTGTCTGGGGCAGAAGCGATTGATTGGCTTTGTGATCGGGGCTTGAACACCGAGGTTAGACTTTGGGCCCCACGCAATTGGAGCAAGGTGCTGGTGCAGCAATTTGACTTGTGTGCATCGGGATTACTTCAATCTCCCCACACTACAATACAAGTAGCTGGCCGCGATGATGCTGCCGGTGTGGGGTAGAGGTAGAAAAAGGTGGGAAAAGTGAGAGCGGCGGCGGCGGCGAATAGCCACAAATCTGTCCAATGTGTTCATCCACTATGTGAATTGACGCTATGCTCCTTTCAGCTCGCCGTCCAGATCGATCCTGCACTTGATAAGTACTTGTATGGAGTCGAGCCCATAATATCGCGGCCGAGATAAAGATGATGGATGGGCTGGTGAGATGGGGTCGATGGCAAAAGGCCAATCGAGTCTTGAAGATGGGCGGGAAGCATGTTTCTGATGCAACTCCGAGGCTGATCCTTGCATGGGAAACTTTCCAGATCTAGCTCGCCGAGATCCAAACTTCTTCTCACCTGCCTTTCCAAGAAGCATAACCCAGTGTAGCGCCGCTGCTATCAATGACTACATCATCGCTGCGGCGAGTATAAAGTGAACAGAGGCCCATTGCTCAATTACCCTGTTCGATCTTGTCATCCAGAGGGCCCAAATTCGAATTGCTTTTGAAGTCAGCATCCCCGCCGCCCCCCTCCCTCCAGCCATGAGCAGCACTACCACAGTCCCGACCAAGGACTCCGGCGCCCGCGGCCGGGTCCGGGACATCGTGCCGGGCATCCACATCGGCGACTACAAGACCGGCCCCAAGAACGGCATCACGGACGTCCCCGGCGTCCTGGCCTCCACCCAAGAGTTCCACCTCAACGGCGGGCGCGTCAACACGGGCGTCACCGTCATCCTGCCCCGCCGCGACTGGTGCACCGACGGCTGCAACGCCGGCATGTTCCGCCTCAACGGCGCCGGCGAGTTCACCGGCTCCCACTGGATCGCCGAGACCGGCATGCTCTCGTCCCCCATCGTCCTGACCAACACGACCAGCGTCGGCGGCGCCTACCAGGGCATCTACGAGTACGCCAACGAGCACCACGCCAACGAGTACGGCTTCTGCGACTACTTCCTCGTCCCCGTCATCGGCGAGACCTACGACGGCTACCTCAACGACCTCGGCGCCTTCCCCATCACCCCGCAGCGCGTCGCCCACGGCATCGCCACCGCCTCCGACGCCCCCGTGCCCGAGGGCAATCGCGGAGGCGGGACCGGCATGATCTGTCAGGGCTTTAAGGGCGGCACCGGCACCGCCAGCCGCATCGTGCCCGGGTTCGGCAGCAGCCCCGACGCCGCCGCCGCCGAGCGCCCCGAGAAGGAGTACACCGTCGCCGCGCTGGTGCAGGCCAACTACGGCCGGCTGAACCACCTGCGCATCGCGGGCGTGCCCGTGGGCCGCATCATCGCCGACGAGCGCGCCGCCGCCGGCCAGGGCCCGCCCGCCGCCGACCGCGCCAAGGACGGCAAGGACGGCAGCATCGTCATCGTCGTCGCGACCGACGCGCCGCTGAGCCCGACGCAGTGCCAGCGCCTGGCCAAGCGCGCCGCCGTCGGCCTCGCCCGCGTCGGCGGCTACGCGCACAACCCCTCCGGCGACATCTTCCTCGCCTTCTCGACGGGCAATCATATCCCGGTGCTGTCCACGACCGACGACCCGAAGCGCAAGGCGAACCCCTTCCAGCCGCGGCCGTTCAGCGTCGACGTCGTCGAGGACTCGACCATGAACGGGCTGTTCGAGGCGGCGGCCGACGCCACCGAGGAGGCCATCTACAACGTGCTGTGCATGGCCGAGACGCTGACGGGCTTGGCGGGCCACACCATCGAGGCGCTGCCGCTGGACAAGTTGAGGGAGATCATGGACAAGTACATGTACAAGTCTCCTTAAGTAGTTTTATTTGATAATCTGATTTGAGATTAGAGTATAAAAAAAGGCGATGGTACTGAATTGACTAGGATATGCGAGCTCTATTTGTACTGTGGCTGACAATTCATTGTGATATTTCCCTCTGACCAAACTGGCAAAATAAAACATCTAGAGTCTAGACTGGCAACGTAGGAAGTTCGAACGCCGGGTCGGCAGCAGCAAAAGCTTCTCCTACGTTTGATTTCGGGGGATAAATCAACTATGTAGTGATCATCTCCTTCACGGTTTTCCCCTGAAGGCCGGTGAAGACGACTTTGCGGTCCCAACCACTGGTCACGACGGCTGCCGACTCGCCCAGGGCTCGGCAGGTTATGTACTGGGCCTGAGTGTAGGGCCTCAGGGGAAGGCCGAGCAAGTCGGCGGCGGCGTTGTGGCCGGCGGCACGCCCGAGCGGAATAGCGTGCTGGCACAACATCATGGCGTTATGGCCTTGATCGTCAGTTGCGACGTAAGCTGTATCGCCAGTGGCGAACACGTTCCTCGCCGACGGCACGCGAAGGTCTCCGACTACATGGAGACGGCCGAGTCTGACCTTCTTTCCCGGTACCTGTTTTGTAAGGACCGAGTCTCAGTCGGACTCCTCATTCTGGCAAATTGCTTGATGAGAGGCTGAAGAACTCCCACAGCCTCTTCCTAGGAACCCACCAAGATTCCAAGAGAGTCTGGGATTGCTACAATCAAATGTGAACTTTACTCCTTTGACGCTTTCGAATAGATTTAATAACCCAGTGTGCCTTGAAACTACAGTGCGAAGCGTGGGAAGCAAGAGACGGAAGGGAAAGATGGGATATCTGTGATCATTGCTGCAAGCATCAAAAGTATTCCAGGAAGCGAACGCGCCTCTGACTCTCTGTCATATCCTCGAAGACCTCCACTTCCTTCTCCTTCAACGGAATGTACTCATTCAGCAACTCTTGGGGCAACTGGTCCTTCAAAGTCGCGTCCGCCTTGAGACATTCCAATGCCTCCCGCAAGCTACCTGGCATGCCCTCTTCCAATCGGTACCTGGATCGCTCTTGCTCGTCTAGTGAAGCTGGGAAGACGTGACAGTCTGTCCATATCAAGTCCGTCTGGGCGGCGAGGCCGCCGAAGCCGGCCGCAAGGACCGCTCCGAAGAAGAGATAGGGGTTTGCGGTTGCGTCTAGGGCTCGGAACTCCCAGTGTTGGTCATTGACCTTGCGCACGGGCAAGTCGCGGTTTTCGGTGCCGAACCCAACCCAGGCGCCGGCCGCGTCCTTGCCGGTGCGAACGTAGCCGTCGAAATTGGCCATGCCGAATGCACAGAGCGATCTCGTGTGCTTCAAGATGCCTGCGAGGAAGTGGTCTGTCAGAGGTGGAGCGAGCTTGTCGACAGACATATGCAGGTGGATGCCGTTGGTTGGACCGTCGAGCAGCGGCTTGGGAGTCATGGTCGCCTGGATGTTGTGCCGGACGAAGACTGTGCGAATGGTTTCCTGGGCGAGAACGAGCGAATCGATGGCGTTGAGGGGCGACTCGGGAGTGAGGGCGAATTCTATCTGGTCGTGCGTTTCGGTATGGAAGTGATGGATTTCGATGGATGACTCCCGGAGACAATCGATAACCTCTTCCACTATATCCAATGTCTGGCCACGCAGTCCGGCAGCCGTTTGATAGCTGTTCAGCCTATCTAGCTGATCAAGAGGCTGGCCCTTTTGGTCTAGGAGCATGCATTCGATCTCAAACCCGACCAAGGCCTTGGTATCCCAAAGGGCCTCCAATTCCAGGAGCGCACGCCAGAGTAGCATACGAGGGCACTTGCTGTAGGTATCCTTGGCCTCCTTATGCTCTAAGAAACACATGACTGACGCGTGGGTTGGCCTGAACCCGCAGCGGCGTAGCGAGAGCCAATCGGGGCGCAACACCCAGGTCTCGATATCGGTTCCGGTCGGAAAGCATCTCGGAGCCGTTGAGACCGGGATTATCATGCTCACTTGTGGGAGAAGATACTCCTCCTCTCCTCGAGCTATCTGCAAGCATCGAGCGACGGGAAGGAAGCGGACGCGGAGAACGCCGGAGTAATCGATCCACTGGAGGCGGATGTACTTCGTAGACTCGTTCTTCGCGAGGAATTCTTGAAGTTCCTCCATGGCTGACGACTGCTGGGTTCAACAAGAGATCAATTTGATGCTGGAGGAGACGAGCAGATGCTAGAGAGGTGATGGCCACAGGCCGATCTCGGTATGGAAGCGGTGTGTGTGCATCAGGCTGTCAGCCCGAGGGGATGATTCTGGGCTGGCACAGGCACGTGACCAACCTGCAGCAATTTCTAGGCAGCACAGAGGCCTCCTGTTTGCTATGTGTTGTTAGCACGCCCATGGGTCCCCTTGATACACTACTCAGCGTTGAGAAGTGTAGAGCAGATGGCAGTGTCGAATGGAGTCCTCCCAAGGAGAAGGTGTGACTATGCGATAGGCCCCAACCGCGTAGAATACCACATCCTACGAGTCTGGTATCTTGTTTTTCTCTTTATGGACAGTACTACGGGGACTTTACACCATGCTCTGCAGTATTTTGTCAATTTCAATTAAGAATACCAGACAGTTCCGTGATAACACAACTCGATTGTTTCAAACTGTAGCAATGATAGGTGGCTAGAAACTCTCCCAAGCTGTATCTGCCATCAGTAGCGCAGTCCAGTCCATGCACTGACTGGACAGTCCCAAATCATTAAGCCCATGACCGAGTAAAACCTATGAAACTCACTACTACTCGGACTTCAAAAGAGATAAAGTAGTGAAAACCGTGAACACGACTCTAGTTCTTCACCTCGGTAGCCGCAACCCCCTTGGTGGCCCTCTCTGCCGCAGCAGCGGCAGCAGGAGAGGACGCGGTGAACACAGCAAACTTGAGATGGTCGGATCCATTGTTTCCTTGCGAGACGAGGTGGATCGGCTGTGTAGTCATGGCTGCAGTAGCGATGGCTGTGTCAAGCGGAGCGTACCACTTCTTCCATGGCTGGTCTCGTGTCTCGTACGATTCGGCGGGCATATTGGCGAGATGTACTAGGTCCTGCAGCAAGTTAGACTACCTTAATTGACAAGCTCACAGCAGTATCTGGACTACTCACTTGGGAATAAAGATATCTTCACGCTATATGAGCCAGAGCACCTTTCTACTGCTTGATTTGCAGCTGGCAGGCTTTCGTTAACGCTGGAGAGAACCTGGACATTTGTACACATATATAATGAGAAGGAATGAACGCCGAACCAGTTATCAAGGTTATCTCGTAGCGGGAAACGCGCCACGTCAAGCGAGGTCGTGCTGCAGAATGATGCAGATGTATGCACTCGGCAGTCAATTAATCCAATTACACTCCACGGGCTCAATGCGGGATAAAGTTCGCTTCTTATCTCGTCAAATCAGGAGCGATAGACAAGGTGTGATCACCTTTTCAGGCGTCAGGCTGCTGCAACCCTTTGCCAACCCGATAGCCAATCCTCATGTTTGCTTTGCGCCTCGACACCATTGTGCTGTCACAGCTTCTGAATCTGGTCCGATCTACCATGCATAAGCAGGCCAGACTCGTATCGCTCTGTTCTCCCACTCTATGTTCGCCCTCCACCATGCCGAGATCGCCCTGAGAAGCAAACTGAACCTTGGCAAGAGCCAACCAGAGCCCTGATCTTGCCAAACTTAATGCCCTTGAAGTTGTCAAGAACTCAATTCGAATTCTCACGAGTATTAGTGAATACCGAAAATCTGGCGTTAGAGTACAAAGCAAGGCAGGATGGCCTCTATTCAGCCCGAGTTCTTCCCTGAGAGCATAGTCTCGTACGTGCCATTTCTAGCAAGAGACAAACGATATGAGACGGAAAGGCCCTACGCAACGGACTTCCCTGTTGATGACATCGACGGGGCCGATGTCACGAACCATGTCATGGAGATTGTGCCCGTCACCTTCCACAATGTGAGATGCCTCAAGGAGCCACTCAGTCTCGATTCCAACGGGGTGTGCTTCATAAAGGCGACGACGTCACTGCGGGCAGGGGAGGCCACCATCGAGCGGACGCCCGCGATGGAGCAGTACGCCAGGGAGGTCATCGCCGTGTTGCGAGACAGGTTCCCGCAGTACACAGACATACAGTGCATGGATTTTCAGGTGCGTTCCCCTCCGACGAGCTCCAGGCATGGGGGGGCGCAGCTCACGGGTTGACGCCAACGCGCGTCGCTCAAGGTCCGCAAACGATCTCCTGCTTTCCCCCACGGCCACAAGCAAATCAAGGTCGACCACGCCCAGCCCGCGACGGTTCCGCACACAGACTTCTCACGCCGTGGGGCCTATCTCCGAATGGAGGACATTTTTCCCGACCAGGAAGCGCTCTATCGCCAAAGGCAGTTCGACTTGATCAAGTATGGAACTAATTCAACACCAGGAGATATGCCATATCGCTGACATGTGTCACCCTCCATAAGCGTATGGCGCGTCTTGGAGGGACCGAACGACGACTGGCCCCTTGCAGTATGCGACTACTCAAGCATCGACGTGGAACACGACACCACAGTAAATGACGCATTGCACCTCACGCGAGTCGGGGAGAACTGGTTGCTCCACCACAGCGACGCCCATCGGTGGTACTACCTCAGTGGCATGGAGGAAGACGACCTGATCGTCTTCAGGAACGTTGATTCATCGGGCGAGTTGTCTAGTAAGTCCAGACAACACCTCGGGCCTCCTCATGCACTATCACTAAAATGAGCCGCAGGGTGTTTCCACGTCGCGTTCAACAACCCTTCCGCTCAGGGCAGTCTTCGGCACAGCGTGGAGATTAGGCTGGTGGCGTTCCGCGAAGGGCAGATGGCCTGACATACGTAACCCTCTACTTGGTTTCATTTTAGCACATATTCTCTCTGTTATCAGGTAGGGGAAATAAGAAAACATTCATTATCTGTTATTGCTCATATGCCATATCGGCGCCCAAAAACCCACGGTTCCAGCCCTCTCTTCCACCTGAGCCATCACCGAGACCAAAACATGATCCAATGATCAAAATCCTCATCGTCTAGCTCATCGATACCTCCGACACGGTCTTCTGGGGGCACAATGCTGTTGAATATCTCCAGAGCCATGTCCAGTTCCTTCTTTGCCTCCTCTTCTTGATCGAGCTCCTTGAGGATGTTTCCCTTCTTGTAGTGAGCCCTCGCGGCCTCGGGCCTATGATATGCATCGAGGCTGAAGATCTTGAGAGCCTGGTCAAGCAGCGCACTATGTAGCGCGGGTCAGCGGGTTTCCAATAGTTGTGGAGTCCTGGGAGGAACTTACAGTGCCGTGGGGGCGTCTCCCGTGCGAGCAAAGTGGTCAGATGCCTTCACACAGCCGTCGCCGGTTCGATGGTGAAAGTTGCCGACAGAGCGCTTGTAATGCTCCAAGCATCTGACGTGTAGCTTGAAGCTCTCATCGAGTCGGCCCTGTGCAGCCCTGACATTGCCCCAACCCATATACAGCTTTCCGTTCCTAGATGGATTCAGTTAGGCGTCAGCTTCTGCGAGTCAGTGTGCAATAGGTCACATACACAAAGGAGGAATAGTCATCCTCTCCAAGCTCCTCAAAGCGGTCCTTTAGTGCCGCGTCGAATATCTGCGACGCCTCATCGTACCGCCCGAGATAGCCATACACGAACCCGACGTTGATCTGCGCCATGGTTGTCTCCTGCGCAGATGGGTGTTTCAGGTTCTGGAAGATTGTGACTGCCCTCTCAAACTCGCGCAGGCCATCCTCGTCGTTCCAGTTCATCAGGTGGGCGCACCCGAGCTCGTTAACCGTCGCTCCAAAGTATGAGTCGGCTCTCTTGGCATCCTCGTCTAGCAGTCGATCCAGCTGTTCGACGCATCGGCTAAAGTCCGGGAGAGGGTGCTCACGGTCGTTGATGTGCAGCCCAAGCTCCCCTCGGCGGTACAGCAAAGTAGCATCAATCATCTGTAGCTCATAGCTATCATCGTGCCCTTTCACTGCTTCTCTCAGGAAGTCAAAGAAGGACAACATCGTCGGCGAGGCACTGAACCTGGAATCGGCAATGCTGAACCTAGTTCACCTGTCAGTCCACCAATCGCCCGCGAGCAGAAGCCTTCTTATAAACTTACATCAGGACGTCCAGAGTAAAGTCCATACGTTTTATCGCGACGGCAAGATGAGTCACGACCGGGTCGAAACGGTCCCGATATTTGAAGAGCGAAAGAATATGAGCCCAGAGCTCACCATTCTGTTTCCAGTCCGTCTGTACGTTACCGAAACCTTTGAAGACCCTCGGCCACCGAGCGCCAAGCATATCCAGCGCTCGAGAGTATACCTCGTTGAAGGTGACATCGTCCATCTGAGCTCTGACTGTGTCTTGTACCATGCGGTGGACGCGTAGTGTTTTCTTGTCTCGGTTCCGATAGATGAGGGATCGGGATGTGAGCTCGGCTCGAGCCTCTGTGTATTCTAGCGACGTTTGGGGATAGCGATCCCAGTCCGCGCACGCTGGATTCTTCTCGAGAAGTGATTCGGGGATACTATCCGGGTCAAGGAGAGAGATGACTTGCAGCAAGGCCCTGCCTTGCTTCAGATCGTCGAGGGCCCAAACCGTGCCGAGTGTTTGGTTGTATCTGCGGAGGGATGCCGACTGCCCCTCCGAGATTCCCAGCATCTTTCTCCGCTCCGTCTCCTCGGAATACAGATCAAGGAATTCGTGGAAGCTGAGCTCTCGCGCCTTTATGACCCCAGACATTTGTGCGATGGCAAGGGGATATCTGCCTAGCGTGCGAACGACATCCGGAGCCCGCTTGACATCGTCTTCATCACCCTCGCGGCCGGTAAGGCGGAGCAGTAGAGACACCCCCTCCTCCTCTCGAAGCTCGGGCACCGTGGTACCAATGTTTCGCAAGTAGGGGGAGTTTTTGATCAGGGGATTTCGGCAGGTGACCAAGACAGACCCGGCAGCTTCTTTCGGCCAGAAGTCTTCGAGGGTATCGGCGCCTTCCACGTTGTCGAAGACGATAAGCCAAGACGCCCTCACCGGCTTGGCATGGTCCATGTGCTCGTAGGATTTGAGAGGGTTGGCAAGCCAAGCCAGCAGCGTCTCCCGGATCGCGGAAGGGTCTTGGCCGTCGGTGTCTTCAACGATGCCAAGCTTTAAAGCGATCTCGCGGAAACTGTCGAAAAGCTTGGTCTCCTCGTCGGCCGCGACCCAGAAGACGGCGTCAAACTCCTTCTCGTACCTGTGGACGAACTCGTTGGCAATGGAGGTTTTCCCCATGCCACCGGGGCCACACAGAGAATAGGCGTTCAGGGGCGGTGTGGCGTCGCCGAGGGAGTCACTTGAATCATCCTCCGGTTCTTGTATGGGGGTGAGGAGGGCGTTTCGCATACTCGCGATTGTGTCCTCGCGCCCGGAGAAGACCGGGTCTTTAGGCAGGGGGATGTGCTTGCAAGGCAGGATTGGGTCTCGGTGTTCGATGGTGAAACTCTTCAGGGCCGAGATGACTTCGGGGTTGATCTTATCACTACCCGTCGTGGCATGCTTCCCAGTCCACGTCCCGTGGTTGGTTGAAGATGGGCCCGATGGACTCTGGCCTGCAATAGTGGATTAGTAAATGCACATTATGTTTCCAAGGACACTCCAACTGACCGAACATGGTCATATCTTCTTCGTCGCTGCTCTGGTCTCTGACGGTAGACTCGTCAAAGACAGAAGGCCGAGTGTCTAGTACGTGTAAGTGACGGTGGTCCTGACAAGTGGTGCAATATACTTGCATGGTGGAGAGGCTTTAGCGATCGCCTCTCTCGTATCCTCCAGAAGCGGACGTAGAAAAGCAGAGATTGCGCCCTGTGTTTTACTCCCACTAGAAACCATGCAAAGGTCCCGATGGTTGGAGTTTTCTTCGAGCAGAGTCTCCCGGTTGTGGCCAATCGTTGCCGAGTCTTTATCAACAAACTATACCAACCGCAAGTTTTGTTAAAGATAGATAGATATGAGGGCGACGGGGCCGCAGCAGGAAAACTTACCACAACCTTCTTCCCAATCACCTGTCGGCTCATACCCTTTTTCTCACTTACGGTCAAGACTGGCGTGTTATTTTCCGCGAGGATGATGCGGAATCCGTCACAATCCACAGCCAAACTCTCAACACAATGAGGGTCCAGTGCGTTCTTCTTTCCCTTGGTAAACTTTTGGACAATGCTTTCAACGCCAGCCCAGTTCTTTGGATCTCGAGACGAGGAATGCGGACATCCCATGAAGACGAAGACGGCGATCTTGCGCATTATATTTCGATACGTCCTCGGGCTCTGTTTAGCCAGACAGACTGCCTAATGCAGAGAATGTGCACAAGTCAGCAGGAATATCAGGTAGGTGGGTGGTATAGCATTGAGCGACTTGCCCTCTTGACGATCAGTCCTCCCAAGCTGTGGGCTACCAGCACGATAGGAGATCGTATGACCTAAGACGAGAGTCAGCCCTGTCTTGCACCTCGGGCGGGAAGATGTACCGTTTCGTCCACGGCGAGCCGGTCCAGTGCAGCGAGAAGAGCCGCGCCCTCCCTCTCGACATCCCTTCCCGACAGGACGCCGTTTCCTGCGAGCCGGTTTGGAAAGGATAAGATCCCAATGTCAGGCGCGTCGAGTGCGCCCAGCCATAGCTCGCCTTTGGAGTTTGTCCAGTGTTCTGGAGGATTCGTCCCAATTCCACCGACGGCAAGTAGACTACCATGGTCAGCTATTGCTTCTCTCCCGCCGGGCGTAGGGTAAGATTGAAACAGAAAAGTGCAACATACATCGTTCCTACCTTTGGACCAACGCGAATCTGGTGCAAGTCCCCGCTCTGGGAGGTTCTTGCAGCTGACGATACGTCGGCCATGGTAGTAGTTTGCGGCACGGATGTATCCAAACAGCGACCGCTTCTCGGGTACTCTTTCCTGGGGCGATGGTGAGCGGTCTCACACACCAGCACTTCCGTATTAGGCGTGGTACGATGCTAGAGGACTGCCGAGATGGCTAGGCAAAGCGTTGAGACTGGCTCGCGATGTCTCATCCACGAAGCCTGCTCGTAGATTGACAGACTTGAGTTCTGGTGCCCGAATCCACCCCGCTTCATCGTTCTGCAAATATGCCCGTCAGCCAATGTTCGCAAGTCACATGCATATGACACATTGTGACTGGTCAATTTCATCCGGGATCCCCCCCAAAGATGCAATTAGTTGTGCGACACAGCGTGAAATACCCCGCCCAAGACGAAGAAAAGCACGGCTTGACTGCCTGGGTGCTCATTGGAATATCTCGAGCGGTATTTCATCCTAACCCCTGCAGCCTTCTCAAACTCTGCCAGGGTCACCGTGAGATGCATGGGTATATGACATCGAGATATCCACCTAGGTGGCCCGGATTGCTCGAGTGCTATCTGCACCTCTCAGGTCAAGTGGACAGTGGTGAGAGTGATGAGCAAGGAGGCCCCGGACCGTGTGGCTGGCGGACCTGGCCAATGAAGGCCCCCTGGCCAGAATGCCCCCCCTCCAGCCTTCAGACATGCTCTGCATCAGCCAGATAACCTACGCCCTGTTGGTGTGGCACCCCAACGTGAATACAGCTCGCCACCCAGGATGAGACGACCGTGCCAGGCAGCCTGCTGCGCCACCCGCCAATATGCCAGTCAGGCTGCCGCTGCCGCTGCCGCTGCCTCTTCCCTCTCCCTATCTCTCGCTATCTACCTCCTACCCAGTTTGTATCGTTCCCGCGCACCACAAAGAGCAAGAGTCTGTAGCTATCTCGCGTAGAACACGCTTTTCGAACCTGATCCCATCATGCGGCGCGAACTTGACCCCAGACTGTCGAGGATTGAAGCTACCATGTGCTGCTATCCCAAATTCATCACCAATGAAACAAGAGGGGTGAGAGGTGTAGACTTGCTGGGCTGGGCTAAGGCAGCGCCGTGAGGCAACCTCAGCCCCAAGCTGCCGCGTAAAGCAATCGAGAGCTGGGCCTGCAATAAAACAGGATGCGCCCCCAAATGACTCCTTCGACTTTTTCTATCGACCTTCCATCCCATCCTAATCCCAAGTGCGCTGCTATTTCCTTAGATAATTTCCGGTGTTGTCATCACCGATCTTCTGCAGTATGGCTTCCCCGGGGCCGCAACGGCCACCTCCTCGATCCCGGAGCAACGGCAGCGGCAGCAACATTTCGCTCCCCATCCCGGAAGGCAGACCGATACCATACACGGTCAAGTGCAAGCCACCAGCTCCAGATGTCCTAGTCGTCTCTACGACCGCGCTGACCTCGTCCTAGGCACGCCTGAAGAATACATAAAGGGTATCACGTACCACTCTCGGCAAACCAGCGCCGACACGGTATATCCAGGAGAGATCTACGATACACTGAGTCGATTTCTCGCCGGCTCTGAATATCAAACGTCCTGCGATAATTTCGCATGGCTCGTCAGTCCAGGCCAACCGGGCCATCCCTTATCTCCAGACGTGCAGTCGCTATCCGACTGGCAAACAATGTCGGATGGCAGCAGGAACCGAGAGCGATCCCAGCACGAAGGGTTCGCAAACCCCGAGCAGTGCATAGAAGGACTGAGGAAGAATATTGAGCTGTCACAGCCTCAGGTGCTATTCCTTCGGGGCCATCCCTCACCGCACTGGCTCGCGAGCATAGGGGCCTTTTGCTACGCAGATCCCGAGCTGTTCCGTTGGTTTCTCAGGTACCGCGAACGGCCCGGGGATGACTATTACTTTGACGCCGCCCCTTCCGCTATGAGTAGCATCTTTCGCTTCAAGTTCTTCACCATCGGGTCCAAGAACTATAGTTTACGATCGTCCCAGAAGGCCGTAGATTCCATGCGCGCAAAGGCGGCCAATGACCTCGAGAAATACCGCACGGCGCTGCGAGGATCCTGGAACCTGAGGCAAGGGGACTCCATTGTCCGAGATCTCTACGTGCTTGACGAACGGCATTGTGTCATTGAACAAGAAGTCGTCGTGTCCACATTTGAAATCGGTAGAACATGGATGGGTATGAAATAAACGCCCATACAACACCAGCCAACAAACGTGCTAATATTAACTACAGCCATCGCCTGTACGGACGCAGGACGCGACCTCTTCACCCATGGCCCGCAACTCCCGTGGCTCCGTGGCGACACGGAGACACGGCCCGCAGAACTTCTACCGATAGTCCAATACAGGCCGAAGTGTGCTTTGAAAGCCCGCAGCATCAGCGAGAGGGCCCCCGCGCCGACACAGAAGAGGAATACGCAGAGCCTTGCCGTCTTTCCCGAAGGCTACGGTCGCAGTCTCGACTGGTCCCTCGCCAAATCGGACCGCATGTACGCTTTGCTCGAGATTTTCAGACTAGCTGCCTTCTCGCAGAAGCAGCTCCTGAACGTCTTACAACAGAAGATAGTGACTGAGACAAGGAGCCTATCCGCAAACATTGAGCATCCGACCATGGCCAACCTGCTATACTTTCGGGACATTCTACAGGATCAGCTCGGCTATGTTTCTAACCTGTCTCGACTTACAGACGATCAGACTAGAGTTTCTCACAGTGTACAGCGGCCTGCCACGGTCGACCATGGTATGGCTGAAGTGCACAGACTCTTCGAAGACCTCCGCTCGCAAGCTCAGTCGCTCCACGAGAGATGCACCCAGGGCATGACGGTTATCAGTAACAATAGCATGCTCGAAGAGTCTCAACGAGCAATAAAGCAGGCAGAGTTGGTCACGAAACTCACAAAGGTCGCCTTTGTCTATCTTCCGTTCACCTTCACGGCTGGCTTCTTTGGCATGAACTTCAAGGAGCTTGGAACTGGTGAGATTCACCTGTGGATATACTTTGTTGCCTCCTTGCCTCTCATGTTTGTGACCATGGCGTTCTATGTGCTTGATGAACAACGTGTCAAGGGAATTCGGCAGGCATTACAAATTTCGGATCCGGATGGCGCAAAGCAGCAGCAATAATTCGTATTTCTATTATCTCGTTACTCTTTGATTGTCCATAGAGACAAACGAACCATATGCTTATTTCAGATAACCATTCAATGTTATCCTGATTCCGCTACCCTAGTCAGCTATGGGACGTTGGGTGGCAGGGTGTGTCGATTTACCAAAGCATTGTAAAATTTTGCCTGATCGGCAATGGATTGTAGTAGACAGAATGTAATCCCATATTAGTCCCCCGAAGATACCCTCGAAGGTGCCACACTTAAGCTTATAAAGTCCTAATTCGAATCCCGCCTATCAAGATATACGAACCCTTCCCCCTTGACACCGGCGAGTAGGGCCTCCCTGAATTCTTCCTGTCCCTGAACACGAGGGCTAGACTTGATAAAATTTCTCAGATACCGGCGAGGGGCGAAGTTGACCTCCAAAAGTATCTCCCAAATGTTCAACTTTACATTCTGTGCTTCCAGCGAATCAACTTCGAGTAAAGCATCAACGGCCATCGATAACTGGTCCCTGAAAACGTTGCCCCAGAAGAGGCTGGGTAAATGGTACCGCATTCTAGGGAATTCCAAGCCCGTGATATGATCCTTGCTTTCCAGCTTTGCCAGGAGGTAAGCCGGAGGCCCACATCTTGGACCACCCCCCCCCCCCCGGGCCACCTCAATTTGCATTTGCCAACTCCACGACTTTGTACGATACACGCGTCAATTCTCAACCAATTTTAATGGGATCGCCACCAAATTGAAGGTCCTGATTGATGGGTCAAAAATACACGGAATCCAACGTTCAAAACGCGCTCCACGATGTGAAACAAGGCATGTCTTTCCGCTCCGCTTCGGATGCCCATGGGGTACCACGTACCACACTCAAGCGGCGATATGGCGGCAGTATCCCTATCAGGACTGCTAAAGAACGCTCTTAAAAGCTCTTAAGCCATCAGGAGGACTAATTGGCTCGATGGGCAGTCATACAGGCTGATTTGGGGCTGGCTCCCACGCATAGTCAGCTACGAGAGATGGGCCAATGACTGCTGGCTGTCCAGGGCCGGTCACCACATCTTAGGAAGAATTGGATAGACCAATTTCTTAAGAGGAATCCGTCTGTCCATACAATTAAAGGCAAGAGGATTGATTTTAATCGACTTAAAGGCATAAGATCTGATACTATCAAGGCCTTCTTTGCCTGGCTGCGGCTTCTAGCCATCGCTAAAGTCATACCATTAAATCGCTGGAATATGGATGAGATAGGGCTTTAAGAAGGTAAGGGCTGCAACCAGATGGTACTGGGAAGGAAGGAAGCAAAAGAGGCTGTTCTTAAGGGCTCTTAGCGCCGTATATGGACTATAATTATTGAATGTGCCAGCGTAATGGGCAGAGTGTTAGATCTGGTGGTGATCTTCTATGGGAGGAGCGTTCAAGACCAATGGTTTCTGGACGAGCCTAGTGAAATTGATGATTTTAATGGCTGGAACTTTATGAATAGCGACAATAGTTGGACCACTAATACAATTGGCTTGGAATGGTTGGTAGACTATTTTATACTGAAGATAAAGCCGTCTAACACATTGGACTGGCGGCTGTTGATTTGTGACGGTCATGGAAGCCATGTTCAAGACGAATTCTTATGGCAATGCTACCTAAATAGGATATGGCTTGTATTTCTACCGGCACATAGCTCCCATGTGTTACAGCCATTGGATCTATCGGTATTTGGGCTATTGAAGTCATATTACTGGAAGGGTCTGGACGATTTGATGGCCCTGCTTGACTCCTTAAAAGTCGGGAAAATCCACTTTCTCTACTTGTATAAAGACGCCCGGCAGATGGCCCTAAGATCAAAGAACGTTACTGCTGGTTGGAGTGCAAGTGGTTTGTGGCCATTGAATATTGTGAAGCCACTTTTGAGCCGTCTACGGCTTGAGGAGGACCCTTCAACTCCTACACCTTTAGCGGTATCACCAGGGCCATTACCGAAAGCCCCGGAGTGGCTGACGATTCCGAAGACACCCGAAAAAGCACCGGAAGTCATATTTGCTACGCCCATGGGTAGTAGGGATTTGTACCAGTCATTGGGACCGCAGCTAACGGCTGGACGTTCGGCACGGGAGGTTCGGCTTCTATTCCATAAGATTTCGAAGGGCCTGGACGCCCACACCATTACTATTGCCCAGCAGAGTGTACAGATTGACCGTCTCAAGGCTCAAATCGATGCGTTGAAGCCGTTGCGGTGAAAGGCGATCCCCAAAAACCCAAACCAGCAGTTCATTGATGTGGCGACGATTCGCGCAAGCCGTGAGGGCATTGTACCGCCACAAGAGCGTCTAGAGGTGGAACAAGACAACATTCTTGTAGAGATTGATTAGGGCTACCCCCGAGCGCAAAAAGCGATTTAATTGGATTTTTTTTGGTTTTTTAATTGACGAGTGTCAATGGTGGTGATGTCGTGATTTGGATGGTCCGGATGGTGGCCCGGGGGGGGGGGGTGGTCCAAGATGTGGGCCTCCGGCTTAAGCTGCGCAAGAGTATTTAGCTGCCAGAAAAGAAAGAAGACTTGCGTCCCCACTGCTATAGGCGATCGCGTCTGTGAGAAGACTTCCGTCGGCGATGTGGGCTTTGAGTTGCTTGAGCGTTTTTCCCTGAAGTCCTGCGATGCTCGCAAGCAATTTGCGCCTGCTTTCTGTCGTGTCCTTGCATGTACTTCCCATGAAAAATACATCCTTTAGGAGCGGAATTTCTGTTCTGTATGGTGTACGTCTGAATCCCTTCAGTCGAGAGACGAAGACCGATGCCCAAACAAGGCCAGGATCATAATTTCGAGGCCCATCGCTGATAATGGCGTTCCGATTTTCTTGCAACCAGTCATATACTGTTCGGTGGAGAAAATTGACTGACCTGTCTGGCAAGTCATGCAAGTCACCAGCCTTGGCCAAGCGGTGAGTGATTTGTATCATGCCTCGCGTGTGGCCCGCCAATCGTCTTTCTAGTAAAGGGATGACTCCTAATGTCTCCTCATCATCTGTAGGAAACGGAGGTGGGTTGACGGGATCCTGACACTCAGTGGCTATCCAAAAGTCCATAGCGGAGAGGTCACGTTGATGGAATTTCTTCCAATGAAACAATAGCTGATACATTTTGGATGCGCTTGACCGGAGGTCTTTGTCAAGTCGGTGTCTCATCGAGGAATATAGATCGTTCAATCTCGGAGGCAACTTTTCAAACTCGTCCCAGAGTCTCTGTAGGCTGTTGTCATCCTGGACGGTGAGGACAAGTTGTTCAACGACAAGAACTACCCAGAGAAATACCCCGACAGCCCTTTCAATGATTTGATACTCCAGGTCCTTCACACTTTTCATAGACAACTCGAAGCTCCTGAAAGGCGGGGCACTTGGCTATCCGTTTGTGCACGTACTTGATGATGTCCGGCTTAGTGAGGAGTTCCATCCTAAGCGACGGGTACGCATGAAACTCGTCCTGGAAGATGTTCCAAGGTCGACTCGACACACAAAGCTTAATTATGTGCTCCTCATGTAGGCGCTTGAAAAAGAAGATTAGTTCTTTGAGGTTGCCTTCATATTCATCCAGGCCATCAACGAAGATGGCGAGACCATCAGTGTCCTTGATGACAGATGCAAAGCCAACAATGCTATCCTTAAGTTCTTCCGCTGTCCACTTCGGGGCGTCTGGGGCGTCGATTCCTGCCAGCTGATAGTAGAAAAAGCGCTTCGAAGCAACATTTTGGTAACTCGTTGGTCTTTGTTGAAGGAGTTGGCGAAGCATAGTCAATAGAAGCCCAATTTGACTTTTCTGACTTGTCGAACCTGGATTCCACAAGTAGACATTGCAAGTGACAAGTCGGAGTTCAGAACACCAGACTTTCAGGTGTTTCCGCACTTGATGATTATTACAGATGTATTTCATTAGTGTGTTCTTGCCAGAGGCCGGGATTCCCGTAATCCAAAAAGGTGACTTGTTGCCGGTGGATTCGAGCCATTTTTGAAATTCTGTCCGCTGGTCTGAGCTAGCCCTTCCGTCACACTTGGGGTGATCATCATGTAGTAGCCATTGAAATGTTTCTGGGAAAGGTTCCTGGATCTGCTTCTCTCGAGCCAAGATGTTCTCAAAATCGAGGCTGCTTAGAATCTTTTGGTAGACCATCTCCTCAGATAACGAAAGAGGTCCCTCAGAGAGTCCAATAGGTGAAGGACCAACTGGATCAGCTGCAGTGAGTGAAGTCCATAGTCCATTCACCATTCGATCTACCTCTGGAGGCTTCTGCAATGGCCGCCCCTTAGAGACGTTTTCGAAATCAGGTCGAAGGCTGTCTATGGTCGACTGCAAGGTATTGAGACTATCAGTGATCCTCTCGACTCCCTCGTCTATGTTGTTGAGCCTTGCACGGTTCTCCTTGACGCCATCCCTACCATTTGTTTTGTTAGTTCCTGGATTCCACAAACATCGGGCATAGTGGTCAGGAAATGGCAGCCTGTGATCCACCACAGGATACACTGATCGTTCATATGAGATGGTCAAGATAAAGAAAGTTTCCAACATACGCAGCACATAATATGACATTCATCATTATCTGCTCGCGAATACTTCGTAACTGGTTTTGGAGATCTTCGATCTCCTTTTGCTTCATCAAGCCGCGGACAGCGATCATAGCTTGGGCGCTTCTGGACTGCTTAGCCGTCAGGCTCTGAAGGAGACCTTTCAGGCGCTGCTCCACATGGGTGCATTTGGCAGCTAGTCGCTTGAGGCTCTCGGATTGCAGTGGATACAGTTGTCGCAGACTGTCAATTTTGTCTCTCGCCTCGTTTGCATGTCCTTGGAGCTCATGAGACTCTGTCTCAAGCGCGGACAAATTGGGAGGGCGCCCATCTTTCGACCTTCGAATCTCTGCATAGAGAGAGACTAGTTTCGCCCCAAACTCAACAAATGTGACGACACCGCCTGCAATGGAAAATGCAGTGGCAGGATCCATCATTGCGATTTGTTTATTCTTGGCTATGGCAGAAGAAAGCTGCCTGACCATGCCCAAGATGTGCACGACTTTCGGTTCAGCCGCAGACCACAGCACTTCTCCAATCAGGATCAAGGAGAGGAAGAGGGGCAGAGCGGGGGAATGAGTGTTGTCATCGACCATCCTGCGGCAATTTTGATACAGAATCTGTGATTGGCTTGAACCTTGCCCGGCATGCTTGCGGTGCGTTGAGCCAGGTCCAGTCCATTGCGGCGGACCTTGTTTGCAATAATGGAGGCGATACCGCCGATTCAATCAAGATCCACAAGGATTTACTGACGGTGTGGCTCGCCAGACATAACGCCTCGGATGCTACATATGTCTGATCGTCGTGATATATGTGGCTGGGAGATGATACGGACCTGACCATCCTTGCATAACAACGACTTCAAGGAATGATCACCCCATCAGAAGTATCTGCTCAACCCTATCTCTACAGCGGTAAGTATCAAGCTTTAGAAATGTCATAGATCGTAGGTATACATAAGGCTCTTCTTGGCTGAATTATGAAGAGGTTCACGAAGGTCTACAGAGGGTACGACGACCAGATGCTCGATTTCATAGGCCATGATCCAAAGTGTCATCAATCATGGTCAGCAAGTGTAAAAATACCGGCTTGATAAATACTTAGCCTAGCTGAAGAAACTCAACTGAATAGTTCGGAATCATAACTGAACCATGGCTCACATGACCTTCTTCCACTTCCACAGAGACGTCGAGTTGCAATACATCTTCAAGCCCGTCATCCCCCACTCACTTCCCAGTCCGCTCCACTTGTGTCCCCCAAACGGCACGTTGGGAGCCACGTCGAAGTGCGAATTGAGCCACACGCTTCCAGCAGAGAGTCGTCTTCCAATCCTCTCAGCGCGGTCGAGGTCCTTGGACCACACGGACGCACCCAAGCCATACTTGCTATTGTTCGCGCGTCGAACGACATCGTCCTCGTCAGACCATTTCAGGATAGGGACAATGGGCCCGAAGGGCTCATCAGTCACAATGCGGGAGTCCTCGGGAGGATCGTCAATGATGGAAGGGCTAATGTAATACCCCTTTGAACCGCTCATTACCTGGCCTTCAAGGGCTTGCTTCCAGCCTTGTGTGCCAATCTCGGAGTACACCTCCTTGACTCTCTCATATCTGGAAGTGTCTTGTCAGTGTTGGAGACTGCAGTATAATGAACAGGCAAACCCACTGCAGTTTATTCTGGATAGGACCGACAAGAACGTCCGGCTCGAACCCATCGCCCGTCTTGATGGTCTTGGCAAAGCTGACCATGGCGTCTCGGAACTTTTCGTAAATCTTCTCGTGGATATACAGTCGCTTGACCAGCATGCAAATCTGCCCAGAGTTGAGGAACGCGAGAGTCGTGATCTTGGGGACGATGGCCTCGATGTCGACGTCCTCGCACACAATGCAGGCGTCGTTGCCGCCGAGCTCGAGCGTGACCCGCTTCAACGTCTTGGCACAGCTCTGCATGACCAGCTTGCCAGTAGCGACGGAACCCGTAAACGCGACTTTGTCAATGCCCGGGTGCTCAGTCAGCATGGGCCCGAGGTCATCTCCGCCGCTGAGGACCTGGAAGACGCCCGGCGGGAAGATGCCCATTCCGATCTCGCCCAGCTTCAAGTCGCAGTACGGCGTGAACGGGGAGGGCTTGACGATGATGACGTTGCCCGTGATGAGCGCTGGGCCGACCTTGCCCAGCCCGAGCAGCACGGGCCAGTTCCACGGGACAATGCCGCAGCACACGCCGATCGGAGGGAAGGTCTGGGTGATGACACGTTCCTCGTTCTCGTCAAGGACCTCATCCTGGACTTCCATCTTTGCAAACGCCCTGAGCCAGTTCAAAGTCATGTCGAACTCCGCCTTGGCCAGGGCCAGCGGTTTTCCTTGCTCCTGGACCAACAGTTTCTCCAATGGCTCGCGATGCGCCTCGACTGCATCCGCATAAGCTAGGAGAAGCCGGGATCGCTCGGCGAAAGAGACCTGGGACCAGGTCCGGAAGGCCTCCTTCGCGCATCCTACGGCCTTGTCCACATCTTGTTGAGTGGCGCAGGGCACCTCATACAGAGCCTCGCCGGTGGAAGGATTGATAGAATGCCGCGTAGTGGCCGTCGGGATGAATTCATTGTTGATAATGTTGCCTCGGTACACCTGTACTGACAAAGCTGGTTAGATCATCTGGAAGCATCACTTGCGCAAGGAGCAGCTCTCTGACCGTAGTATCAAGCGTAGATGCCATGACGTCTAACTGTTGGATCTTTGTCTCCTTTGCTGGGGAATACAGATATCCTGTGAGGTCAAGACAGGAAGACCTCAGAGTTCATTCCCCGCGCGGGGGCTTTTATCCATGCTCGAAGCCAACATCTTAGCGGCTATCCCTCACACACATGAGGGGGCGGTCCGAACCCCCTCACTTAAGCACACTGCATGTACTTCCTAGCACTACATCCCATTGGTGATGTGCACGGTACATGTGACGTCGATCCGCTCAGCTTATGCCTCGGTAGGCTATTGCAAACCGTTGAAGAATCGAAAGATCACAAAACAAAGGGAGAGCACGAGATGACAAGTATTGCCGGCCAATGGAATCATCTCCTGCGCAGCTTACTACCAATTGTGATGCTGACTGCATGAATGATGTGGAGCTCATAGTTGTCAAGTTAACATCACCATCTATTGTGATTGTCGAGGTCTATCTCTATTGGTGCTTGCTGACCCATTCTCTAATCAGCTCTACTTCTATCCCAAAATCAAGGAGCGTTGCTCTTGCAGCTCCACGGCTTCGCGCTCTTGGTGTGCGCGATCGAGTCGCCCGACACCCACAGGCCCAGCACGCACAGCGCCAGCCCGGTCAGGAACAGCACGACGTTGGCGCCGAAGAGCAGCGCGCGCCGCCAGCCGCGGAACCACTGGCCCTTGTAGAGGAACAGCCACATGGCGCCGGGCAGGCCGTAGGAGAACCAGCTGACGAAGAGGGCGCAGACGATGCCGAGCAGGTCGTTGAAGACGGGGATCGACTCGGCGATGATCATGGCGACGACCCAGAGGCCGAGGGTCAGCAGCAGCCAGGCGACGGTGCCGAAGACGGTGCGCTTGGCCACGTGCTTGGTGTGCCCGAAGAGGCGCACAAAGACGTACTTTGCCGCGACGTGGCCGTAGATGACGCCCGCGATGACGATGGTCGGGATGGCGACGCCCCAGATGGCCTTGCGGATCTTGGGCGAGCCGGCGGCCGTCAGGGCGGGCGAGGGCACGCCGGGCCCCACGTAGACGTAGATGACGACGGAGGCGACGAGGTAGAGCGCCGTGTCGCAGAACTGCAGCAGACCCAGGGCCTTGGGCCAGTCCTCGGGCTTCTTGAACTCGGCCATGATGCCGAAGAAGCACGAGTGGCCGGAGAAGGCGATGGCGATGTTGGTGACGGCCAGGAAGGCCGAGGTGAAGCCGAGCTGGCGCGTGACGTCGATGCTGGCGGAGCCGATGGGCCGCTCGACGGCGACGTCGATGAGGGTCATCATGACGGCCGTGAAGATGGAGAAGAAGGACAGGAAGGACATGTAGCCGGCGTACTTGAGGGTGCGCGGCGTGTTGAGCACCCAAAAGGCAAAGACGCCGACGACGGCCCAGACGATGGTGCAGGTCGAGCCGTCGGACAGCGTGTTGAGGCAGATGGTCCAGGTCAGCAGGTGGCTGCCCATGACGAAGATCTGGAAGAGGGCCTGCGCCCAGCCGACGACCTCCTGGAAGACGCGGGCCATGCCCAGCGGGCGGCCGAGCACCTCGGCGGCGTCGCCGAAGCTCTGCACCCAGGGGTACTGCTGCCGGAACTGGAAGAGCACGTAGCCCGAGTAGCCCGACAGCAGGGACATGAAGAGGATGAGGATGATGCCGGGGACGAGGCCGATGGTGGCGAGGACGGCGGGCAGCGAGAGGATGCCGAGGGAGACGGTCTCGGCGATCATGATGACGCCGGCTTGCCTATATTGTTGACGCAGGTTAGCTGGACTGGGCCGTGGCAGTTCACAGTGGTGGTTGATGGTGCCCCAATGGAATGGACAATACATACCACCACTCAAGGGTGCGATAGTTGATCTGGCGGCCATCGTCGCCCAGCTCCTCAGCATAGCTGGGTGCCGGCTCCTCATCTGCCGCGCTCGCCAGTGCGGCCTCGGCATCTGGCGCGACGGTCTTGGGAAACTTTTCGGCTTCTTCGTGGTGGACAGGGTGCGTCCTGCCAAAGTCGGAGGTCTCCAGTTCGGGCTGCATCTTGGGGGGGTATATAGGCGATGCCCGTCGACGGAGGGGGGGAGGGAGAGGTGTGAGAGGAGGGAGTATGCGTGTTCTCCGAAGAGAACAGTGTGTAGAAGAGGGTAGCAGAGGAGGATAGGACCGCTACGAGATCGCGAAATCCGGTACTTGGGAATGTTTTCTGGGGAAGAAGATGGGAGGACGGTGGGAAGGGAGAGTGGGAATCTCCGTATACTTATTTGTCCCGGCACCGGACCTCTGGGATGTATGCGGGGAAATGAGACAGGAGGAGAACAGTAAGAGTCACCAAGTGCATCAAATAGGAGGCCTGGAATTAGCAGAGAAAGATTATCAATCGAAATATGCCCTTGTTAGCCTCGGTGTGTGTCGTGTTGTGTCGTGTGCTTGCTGCGTGGCGTGCTATGTGGATATCCATGCCTCAAGTTTTGACATAATAGTGGAGGGATCCCGGGGCCATAAAAAAAGGTCTGGACGATACTCCCGGCCAGCCCGCGGCCGTTACCGGATGTGAATACGTGCTGCCTTGGCATCGTGTTGGTTCCCGAGGCGGCGCCGAGATGGCAGGCCAAGGGGCAAGAAAATGGCCCAGAAAATTTTCAAACTCTGCTGGAATGACTCAGGTACCGGCGGGCTTCTTTCCTGGTCATACCCACGCCCAGCTGAGGCCTCTACCAGATGGATAATGTGCTTTCTTTCCGTTCTATCAACAGATACAGGCATCATTGGGAGTACCAGGACGGGGTCCTCCATGACCGGCCAGCCATTTCATCCGAGAGTGAAGTGACGAAATTTGATCATCGTTAAGCTTACAGGCAACAAAAAGAGCCTCAATGGCAGCCCCTGGCCACTTCCCTAGGCACCATACTCCATCTAGTTTAGATCCGTGGCAACCTCGGTGCTCGAACGGGCATGGTGTAGACGCTATGTGGCGCCAGAAGCTTCGTTTCCGCCGTCGAAGGGTCGGCTGTGGAGCCGGTGATGCAGGGCCGGAGAGCTGCCCTAAACCCTTTACACGCAGAAACTGCCGAACAGGCGCATCCACACACACTTTGCCTTATATAAAAGTTACTTCATCGTGCGTGAAATGGGAAATGCAGAATGCTACAATCTCCTGTTGATCCCTAGCCCGTTATACGAGGGTTTGTCTTACTCCCTGCAGAGGTGCGGAGACGAAACTCGCGTCTCTGGGGCAGAGGTTGCAACGAGGCATATCGTGAAAAAGTACCGTTGACACTCGCGATGTTCACCTCCTTACCTGTCCGTGAAACAGTTCGGTGTTTGCCTCCACCTGGGGTGCATATTCCCTGAGCGAGTGCCCTCGCAAGTGGGCGTCTGAATAGTTGACGGAAGTTCATCAGGAGCTACCTCAGTCTTCACAATCAATATCCTTGTCACATCCTTGCCCTGGAACTCGGAAGGGCTATCCCACTACCTAAATCCGATGGGCTTGATGGATAGCCAAGTACTTCTGTTAGCAGTCCGTCAACTAATCTGACCATCACTTGCCTCGTCTCGCTCGACTGCAGGTTGGCATTGAGGACGTCGAGGACTGGTCCTTGATGTAGATCCTTTCCTTGCTACAGACAAGACTGTGCCGTTCAACTCCAGATCCGCGTTCCGTCGGCTAATAACTTCCGTACGGATGATACGGATGGCGGATGGCGGATGACGGAAGCCCAAATGCAATCACCAAGGGTGGACCTCGTCGCATTAACTCATGTATAACCTCTTTGTGACGATAGGGTCGAGTTTGGGACGATATAGTAATTATGCATCGAAAGCTGCTACTCTTGATGATGTCGACGTGAAAGATGTTGACGTTGTTGTTCGCATACATACTGTAGGCTTCCAGAGAGACAGACAATACATTAGCAACACACGATCACAACCGTCTTGTAAACGGTCATCTCTGTGGAGGAAGAGTTATGGACCAAGAACATGAACATATGTAGTCAAATCCTTCCCCGAGCTATCCCACACCGTTCATGCACAACCCCATGGAGCATCCAAGCCTCGAGCCGGGGGAGGAGGGGGGACGCAGTGGACACGTCTCCAGACTCCGGGGGTTAGCTTTATGCCTCATTCCGTAGACCGAAGTCAAAAGTTCCGTGTGGAGATTGCAATCCGGGGTGTTACCGTTGTAAGATCTCGAATAGTTTCAAGATTTGTGTATGGCGTTTGCGCGGAAAGAGGTGCGGCTGAACGGGGGTAGCGTCGGCACAGCGGGAAGGGAGAAGACCCGCTCAGCCACCAGCCGCCCCGGACTCGATGTCCCTCCTGCATAACAAAACCCACACAGCAAAACCCTTGTCCGTACGTCGAGCTGAGAGACATGGATCGGATGTCGAACCCCCCTTGTCTTTTCCCATACCCGGGTGATGGTGTGCGCGGGCCGCGACCTGGGGCCTTCTCTCCGAGCAAGGCAAGTCCAGCCGCTCCCCCTTTCCCCGGAAACCCCGGACAGCAACGCCGGGTATCCACTGCGAACGGCATCAACAAGTACGAGGGGTAATCAGATCGACGAGATAACGTAATTGTAAAATCAATTCTCGAAATAGAAACGCCGGGCGATGATGTGCTGCGTGCGCGACAAGAGCTATCGAAACAGGAACCCCCCCTTTTCCCTCGCCGGTTCCCCCAAAGTCTTTTCGTCGTTCAGTCGTCAGTATCCACGAGGAGATATCTGCCCTCATCTACCTCCCACGATAAACCATTAGGGTATCTCCATTCCCCCTAGCCTCTTTATCCAATTCGTTTCTCTTGTCCTCTTGCTCATATGGCTTATGCCTTGACAGGCGTGTCAGGGGTAACAATGTCCCTGACCTGGAACCTCGTCCAAAAGTTGTTCTGCTTGACGAACCACGCGTTGACGAGCTTCCACTCCTTGGACGGGTCATCAAAGTTGATCTAAAGCGAGAAAAAGAGAAACAACGTCAGTCACACACAACTTCTTCACTTGCTTGCTTCCACACACAAGAAGAGGAACCAAAAGGAAGAAGAAAAAAAAGGACTCACCTCGAACCGCCTAAACAGACTAGGCACAAGCTTGTAAATCTCCAACAGGCTAATGTTCTTGCCGATGCACGTGCGCGACCCCATGCCGAACTGGAACATGGTCCCGTTCATCTCCTTGACGCGCGCCTCCTCGGCCGCCGGGTCGGCGCCCTCGCGCGCGAACCACCGCTCGGGCCGGTACACGTCGGCGTCGTCGCCAAACACGGCCCGGTTCTGGTGGATGACCCAGGCCGAGCAGCCGACGATGGTGCCGCCGGGCACGTGGTGCCCGCAGACCTCCATGCCCTGCGGCGGCACGATGCGCTCGAGCGGCAGGCCCGCGGCCGGGTGCATGCGGAAGGCCTCCTTGATGCAGGCGTCGAGGTAGGGCAGCTTCTGCGCCTCGTGCCAGGTCACCAGCCCCGTCTCGGTGTCGCTGAACAGGCCCGCGCGCCCGGCGTCGTCGATCTCCCGGCGCAGCTTGGCCAGGCAGGCCGGGTTGCGCAGGAGGAAGTAGAAGACGGACGACAGCGAGATGGCCGTCGTCTCGGAGCCCGCAAAGGCCATGGACACGGCCATGGTCTGCACGAGGTTGTTGGTCATGAACTCGGGCCGCGTCTCGTGCGCGGCGAGGAACTTGGACAGCAGGTCGGGCGACTCCTTCATCGTGGCCGCCTTGGTCGGCAGCAGGGGCCCCTTCTCGCTCGACGTGTCCGACAGGCGCTCGGCCATGCGGTCGCGCGCGAACTTGGCGACGGGGAAGGTGGCGTCGAACCAGCCCCACTGGGAGAGCTTGAGGTAGATGGGGTTCTTGAGGAAGAGCAGGTCCAGGAAGGGGATCTGACCAATCTGTTTGTTTGTGGCTGTTAGTAAACCGCTTGCACCCATTTACCCCTCTCCTCCCCAAAAGGACCCCCATCCCCCCCCAAAGTGCGTGATCGGAAGTATCTTACCGGAGCGACATAGAGGAACAGACCAGTGAGGTAGCTGACGATGCCGTCGATGTCCTGGTTCTTCTCGATGAAGCCGTGGCGCTTGCTGTAGGTGATCTCGCCGATGACGTCAAAGGCGTAGAACTGCAGCCAGCGGGTGAAGTCGCAGGCCTCCTTGCTGGCGGCGAACAGCTTCTCGGTCTGCTTGAGGAAGATCTTGGTGGTGTTGTCCACAAAGGGCTCGTACTGGACCAGCGCCGACATGGCAAAGGCCGAGTTGACGCAGCGCCGGAACTGGGCGTGGAAGTTCTCGTCCGTCGTGCTGAACAGGCTGGAGAGCCTGTGGCCCTGGACGACAGCCTGCTGGACGATGTAAAAGTCGGACTGGGGGACAAGAGTATCGAGCGTCAGTCACAACAGCGAGAACAAAACGATGCCAGAAACCCTGGACCAGTAGTACGGAAAACACACCTTGACCATGCCCTTGTTCAGGCCATAGATCTGCTTCAGGGCCTTGGGGTCGGCGAAAGACAGAGAGTTGGGGCCCAGGCGAACGACATCGCCGTACTTTGCGTGCAGCTTCTGGTGCGTAATCTCGGGCCGCTGCCCGTAGACATCCCAAAACCTCCACCAGTCCGTCAGGGACGCCAGGAAGGGTCCCGGGTACTTGTTCAGTCCATTGTGGAACCGGTTCTTCAACAGGTAGGCGAACACCAGCGAGACCGAGATGGCGAGCCAGTGTTGCGCCACGGCGTGCAGCACGCTGTCGATGAGACCCATTGCGAGCTGATGAGAGCTCGGCTGACGAGGGGGAGATGTTGAGATCTCGGAAACACAACTGAGACTTGCTCCCACTCAGTAGCTCCAGAGACAGACGGCCGAGAGGGGATTCGGAATCGATGCCAAGACTAGGAAAAAAGAAGAGAGATTGGCGCGGATAGATATAAGAAGCGAACTACCGCTGTCTTATTGCTTGCTGCTGCAAGGGTATCACGGGGCCGAGTTGGAGTAGGGAGGGAGTAAGGAGGATGCAAGCACGGTGACACCGGAGGGCGACGACGAGATACACAGCAACGCTATTATAAGAATTGGAGTAGCGTCCTAGAGTGCTGCCTCGTTTGTTTTAATATACTTGACTGCTATCTTGGGAGCTTGGGGCCAGCGGGATCCAGGCCCACGACTGCCGTGCCTTAGCAGCGGGTTCCCGGGGACAGAAAATCGACCCAGGGGCGAGCGGGTTGAAATTGGCCCAAGGCGTTCCGTGAGCCAGCGCCAGACAGGAACAATCGATCAACCCTTCCCAGGTGACTGGGGCCAGGTGGAGAGGCACAAACATCAGAGCCATCGAACGAGCGGGTCGCGAGGACGACAGTCTTGACAGAGTCATTGGTGGACATGCGCGACAGCGGGTGGGCTTGCAGGGGCCTTGCATTCTCGGTATCAGCGAGACCAAGATATGGGTGTCGGCAAGTGAAGTCGACGCTTTTGGTCAGCCTGGAGAAGCTGAGTTTGCCCGGAGGCGATGGGGGGGGGGGGGGGGGGGGGGGGCC